TGGGGAAGAGACACATAGCCCATGAGCTCCCATGCAGAACACATTGTCTCCAAGGTCAGGAACATACCTCCTCCAGTGCCGTGTGTGTGTGTGTGTGTGTGTGTGTGTGTGTGTGTGTGTGTGTGTGTGTGTGTGTGTGTGTGTATGCGCAAGAAAGAGAGAAAGACAGACAGACTGACAGACAGACTGACTGACTGACTTTAAGAAACTAGCAGAAGGTCTAAGATTTCCTAAAGCCATGCCTACTAAGTGGCTCAATTCCCCTTATGCAATTATTGCTTTCCCTAACCTTCAAAGTTCTATCAGGCATATCTAATCGATCTCTGAGTGACGCATTTGCCATGTCATACCGTATCTCCCGTATTGCTCAGGCCCGTCACTAAATGAGGAAAGTCAGGGAGGCTAGTCAGCATCTCAGCCGCCCTCATCTCCTCCCCCTCTTCACCTCCCCTTCCCCAGGCTGCCCCCACCCCCTCCCCCACTCGTGTACGTGAAGGTGGTGGGGTTTACCCTGAAGACTCCCAGGAGGAAACAGGGCCTTAGGCAATAGGTGAACTTCAGTTGACTTCACGCCCTATGTTAAAGGTTTGTCTCAGATATGTATCATAGGAACTTGTGCCAAGAGACCAAGAATTGATACACAGTCTCATTCACTGACCCTGTTTATCTTAAAAAAAAAAAAAATCCTTAGCACTCTGGAAGAATGCATTTTATGAAACAAAAGACACATTCGGGGCATTCTTGGACCTAAATATTAAATCCCATGTGTACAGGTACTGCCAGTATGTTCCACCACTGGGCAAGACCACACAGACCAAAACTCTGTAAACTCCCCAAGCTGTGAGCAAATGAAGAGAAATCAGAGGCCACCCTGCGTGCTTCCGGAATTCGGTTTCCAGATTTTTACAGTAGGAGTCACACAGTTCTGTAGTAGCAAAAGCAAATGTTGAAGTTAAAAGACGTGTTGAGGTTCAAACAGCAAAGCCAGGAATGCTGAGGAAGGTAAACAGGAATGCTTGCAGCCGCGCCTGAGGCGGCCACGCTGACCACGCGAGAGAAAGAACAAGATTGTTGGCAAAATAACATAGTCCGTCTTGGTAGGCTCTGGCTGACCCTCACTGAGCCCCCATGAGGAACATGCACAGAGTGTCTTCACAGCTGCAACAGAGAAAAGCCTCCACCGAGTCCAGGATGGCGATCACTCCAGATTACCCTGTGGAATGGGCACCCAAGGGAAATTGTAGTTATCTTGGTAACTGATAGGAGTTAGCTGTTAATTCCCCATGTCCAGAACAGGCAGTGGTCCCTGGTAAAGTACCACCTGGTCAGGTAAATGTGAGAACAAAGAAAGCATGGCTTAATTAACATCTAGAACACCTAGCTGAGATCAAGAAAGAATGAATAAAGGTGACCATGACATAGTAGGATTAGTCCCTAATTGGACAAAAAGTGTGTGGTCATCTCCCTGCGTAGGCCATGGGGGCATGCAAAGAATATGTAGGCCTCCCATTGGCTCCATCTATGGTACACCAGAGAATTAATCACTCTTGATAGAAATCACATCAATCATTACCAATCTGACAGGAGTCCTACTAAAAAAAAAAAAAAACAACCCTTGGGCAAAGAGCTTGATGGTAGCTCCCTCAGGACCCTTCCCACTCTTGAAGTTCCAGTCTTTCTTGCCCTCTTCTTAGGAAAACAGCTTGTGCTTGCTCACTACTCCATTTTCACTGTTTTTGTTTCCCATCTGTATAAAGTAACAAACTTGAGAGTCGCTGTCTCAGGTTGACTTTTGGTGACCATTGATTTTTTTTTTCTAGCACCTTACTCTCTGGGTCAAGTCCAGAGGTGGAGGAGGGAGGCCCCATCACTCTCAGAGATCTGCATAATTCCAACCAGCAGCCCATGTCACGGTACCAGCCTACCTTCTGAGGGATCGAACCTAGTCAATGGTTCTCTGCTGTAGGGTCCCAGGGGTCTCCAATTACTCACTTCACTTCTCTGGGCCTCAGATTTCTTCCCGGAGAAATGAGAACAGCTGGAACAGGGGGTGAGTGTTCTTATCTTTTTCCTGCCCGGTACACACAGTCATGGGTACGAACAGATGAGGCCAAGATTCTGGGCACACCAGGAGGCACCACGATAGCCATCTTTACCTGTGGTCTCGTGTTCTAAGGTTTTAGCTACTCAGTCAACTGAGGCATGGTATCTTCACATGGACACAGATTGATAAGAGCCTTTAAAATGATAAGCTGTTCCGTGAAGAGACAGAGAATCCATGTTCACATACATTTTATGACAGTCTATATCGCTAGAAATGTTGGATTTTGTTCTCACTATTGTCTATCTGTTTCTAAAGTATACATTCAATATATATTTATATATTAAATATGTAAATGTTCCTACGTGTATGAAAAAAAATGTGGCATATACTGAGTTCAGCACTATCCAATTTGAGGCACCCACTGGGATTCTTGGACCAACTCCACTGCAGATAATGGGGGATGCTGTACCCCAGTAGACTTGAAACTCATTTGTGACCCACTAGTCGGGGAGCTCTAGGCTAGATGACTCATCCAACATGACTAAACTTCGAGGCTGCTTTTTTCCAATTAATTCTTAGGAAGATTCCAAATGACTCACTTCCTGATCACTGGCCTATCACACAGAATTCTGTAAAAAATTGTACCATTACCTGTTTTATAAATACAATAGCAAAGGCAAGTTTGGGGTGTGGATCCCATGGGCCTGCTGTAAATCTCACTGAAAGGCTGTAAGAAGCCCACCACCTTCTGTAAGTATAGTCAAGAGGGTATGCACATGGTCACCATGGCTTTCATCAAATGATCAACGCGGAGTCACCGTCAAAGAGAGTGGGGCTCCCTGATGTAGAATGTGCCTTCTCCATCTTTAAAATAGGGGTCTGTGTTTTCACAATTCCCACATCAAAGCAACGGCCTACCAACAAAAATGTATTCAACTCCAGAGCACGTGCCAGATGTTCAAACATACAAGGTGGTAATTCCTTTGAGCAATGGAGCTTCTGTGTTTCATTAAAATATTCTTTAATAAAAATATCAATGTGCTGATGTAACACATTCATGTTTTAGCACCCATAATACAGCTTTTTTTAATTTTAAGCAAAAGGAAAATCAAGGCATGTTGGCAAGATGAAAGCTTTCTGACTGAAAAAGAAAATTAAGGTTAAAAGGATTTGTTAGGATTGGCCTCACAGAAGTCAGGGAGTTTCAGAAAACAGTTTCTTCAGATGAGTTAGCTATATATATATATACATATATATATATATGTCCCATAAACGAATGAAATAAACAAATAACCTCTAGAAAATACATTTCCTAAAATGTGTGGGCAAGGGTGTGTCAAGCAGCCTCACAGAGAAGACACAGGGCAAAGTCTCTCTGCCTGACACAGTCTCAGCCACTGCCTCCCTGAATCTTTCAGAGGGTAATAACGAGGGAAGTAAGAGTCCAAATCTAAATGGGGCGAGATGTCCCCCAAGTCTTCATCAAAGAACCAGTTGTTGATCACTCATCCCAAAATGTCCAGATTGCACGGACTGGAAATCATCCAGGCAGATACATTACCATCTGTGCCTAGAGGTACCCCCTGGTGTGTCCAGGACTCACTAGGCACGGTGTCCTGGGCTCCACACAAGAAAGGCTGAGTCCCATTAGTCAGCCCCATCCCTAGATTCCTCCAGTCCTGCTGGCAATTTCCAGGAATCAATCAGAAGCAAAGACCCATGGAGGGTGAGGGAGACAGAATGAAGAACCCGTTAGCGACATCTCTTGGAAGCACTGAATACCTTGCTGTACTTGAACCAGCAAAAACCTCTGTAGGAAGTTATGATTCCCATGGTGCAAAGAGAAGCCGAAAAGCAAAATATTACAAGCGTGTGACTAGAGGGACCCATAGTGAGCTCATCTCTCTGAGAGCATCCAGAAACATCCATGCTCCTCTCAGCACCCCTTGGAGGAAGGAAACAAAATGTAAAGAGGAAGAAAAGGAAGAGAAAGACAGACCAGCCATAATGAATGAAACAAAAACTGGGTCTCAGGGCTGAACCTTAAGAGCAATTGAGGACACTGTGGTGTATGGAAGAAGTCAGTCATCAAATGAGAAATGCCTCATGATGTCTCTCCTCCTTGAAGTTCCTAGAATAGTCAGATTCCCAAGGATGGGAGGCGGAAAGGTGATTTCCTGGGACTGGGGAGGACGGAAGTAGTTATTAATTGAGAACAGAGTTTCAGTTTGCTATGATGAAAAGGATTTGGAGGAGGATGGTGACAATGAATATACTTAAAGGCCTTAAGTAGCAACTCAACTTAAAAATGACTAGTGGTAAATGTGGTGCTCACATATCTTACCATAATTAGTTTTTTAATAAAGAATATTAAAGTAAAGTGAGATCCAGTGTTAAGTCATGAGCGCCATGATGCCAGCCTGCTTTGGTGAATTCTCACAGCAGAGAGATGGACTTCACATGAGGCCTTCCTCTCCCTGCTCTCCCTTGTGCTCCCTCTCCTCCCAAGCTGTCCTACCCTGCCTGTGACCAGGAAGCCCCTCCCACTCCCTCCTCAATAAGGGTCACTTATTAGTCCCCAGTGTTTTGTTATGCGGTTATCTCCTCCAAACTTCTGAAAATTCCCTTCTGGATTAGATTGCTCAGTCTTCAGGAATTGGAGAAAAAGAGTCTCAAGACCCTGCTCCACAGCTGTAGAAGCAGAAACAGCTGCTAGGAGAGAACACAGTGGCTGTGACAATGCTTCACAGGAACTCAGCTGTCACCATGCTCGGTGACATGGGCTCTTCCATGATGCAGTTGTCTTTGAGGTATCCATGCTCTTGTAACTAACCCCTCTGTAACACAATTCTTCAAAGGTCTTATTAAATAAAAGACCCGGAGCCAGATATCGAGATTAAAATCTGAGAGATCAGAGGAATAGGAAAAGCCACGACTAACCTCACCTCACCAACTCTGCAGCCTCCAAAGAGACCTACTTCCTGTCTACCCCCGCCTATATGCTTTTCTGTTCTGTCAACTCATTTTCTCTCCACCCAGCTACATCACTTCCTCTTCCAGCCCAGTTTGTCACTTCCTGTCTGTCTGTACAGACCTCCAGACCTTTATGGTTAACTAGTGTCGGAATTTAAGGCATGTGCCACCACACCTGGCTCTGTTCCCAGTGTGGCCTTGATCTCACAGAGATCCAGATGGATCCCTGCCTCCTGAGTGATAGGATTAAAGGCATGTGCTACCATTGCCTGACTTCTATGTTTAATATAGTGGCTGGCTTTTTCCTCTGATCCTCAGATAAACTTTATTGGGGGACACAGATAAAATATCACCACACCCCTCACCCATATTCCTTCAAGAAACCCCAATAAAATCCCTGGTTCATTAATCTAGACTTATATGGAATTGTTTTCATGGTTTGTGTCCAGTGCCCTACCTAGGATACGTGAATATTTGTTCATGCTTCCCCAAGCAGTCACACATGTGTTAACCACAACTTGATAGAGTTGGATTGGAGCTGATTTTTTTCCAGGTTGGGCCTTGGGAAATAATAACAGTGGTTGGCAGCTCTGGTTAGCATTAAAAGACTGGACAAATTATGCAGTCATAAATTACCCTATAATAAAGGACGCACTCACTAACCAAAAGCTCACATAAATTTACTGGGATTAGAATTGCATCACCACAGAGCTGTAATTTGTATCTCTCAAATGTTCCTCAGAATTCTGGCAGGCAAAGCATCTTTAAAAAGTAGAAATTTTCTTTCTTAATTCTTTTTGACAGATTATCTTTCAAAGCTTGGAGTCCATTGGTCCAGGTGACATCCAAGTGGCTTTCCAGGGGCATCATGCTAGCTATGGTTAGCTATCTAACTGCAGTGGGAGAGTGGAGGAAATTCAGATGCAATCTACACTGCCTGGGGACCAAAGCCTGGTAGAAACTAGACAAGCACAGATACTGTGCTGCTGTCTTTGCTGGCCTTCCCCAAGGCTGCCCACTTGATATCCTCAGGCTGCCTAACCTCTCATCCCCGACATGGACCAAGCATCCTTGCCACCTGATCTGTCATTTTGACCATCCACTGTATCCCACTGGCATGAAGGCCCAGTGTCATAGATACCCCATGCTCAGGAGAGAATATGGGTGTTCAAGAGCCATGAAGCAAACAGGAGTACTAAAGAATCAGGTCTGACTACAAGCATCCCAAAAAATCCAACAAGGACAAGAACAAAGTCACTCACAGCACCAAAGAGCAAGCTGCAGGGGTAGACAACCCCAAGAGGATGTAGCTGTGAGTCACCACACACCGATCACTCTCTGTCAGAGAGTTATGAGCTCTGTGGCAGCATCCCATTTGCCTGATGTGCAGCTGCAGGGTGTGTGCCTCAGCAGCTGGACTGGGGAAGATGGTGGATACCTTCTGGCTGGCATACGGTATCTTACTTTCTTCCAGAACTTGGTCTTGGCGCACTGTGACTGCTCTGTCAAGTCCCCGTTCCATTGGATGGCCCCGTGCTTCTGTCGGATGTACTGAATGGACTCGGGCAGGATGCTATAGTCCTTGATTTTCTCCAGCTCAATCAGAATGACCTTCATGCCATCCTGGATGAGGGCATTGTAGACAGCGATTTGTTCTTCTGACATGTTCTTTAGAAAGCTGAAGCCGGATGATTCTGGTGCCACGAGGACAATCAGTCTCCTACACAGTTTAATGTTTTCATCAATGACATTGGCCACAGCTGGAATGGAGAAGAAAGATTCAGAAGACCAAGCATAAAAACAGCAAGGCTGTAACACTACCAGAAAATAGGAGAAATGGGCACAGGGAAAGGAAAGGGACTTTCAAGTAGACAAGACTGAGGCACAGGTAGATTAACATTCAATATCAACTGTTCTGGGCAGGGTTTGTGCTCCAGTCCACTGGAGTTATCAGTCACCTCTTGTTTGTGTCCTTTGGTTGTTACATATGTCCTGTTATCTATTGTTATGTCTCTTTCCCCAAGACTATCTTGTTGGACTGTATTCCTATAGAAGCAGACATCCTCATGTATGCTCTATAATAAGCATATTTTAAAACCTATTTTTAAAGATCAGGGAACCTTTCTTCATGTTCTTTATAGTTAGTTAAATGATCAGGGTTAATATCACTAATTTTGAAGCCAAATAGCACACCATGATGGCTTCTTGGGGAGGGGAGGGAAGAGCCCACCAAATAGTAACTTTATACATTCTGTGTGGCCTGTGGTTGCCTCCTGTGGGGTGTAAGAAGACAGTGTCATCTCTAAGGACAGATTCTTTTTCAGTTGGCTTATTTTTGTATTTCTACTGTATAAACAGCCCAGTATCTAGAGATAGCCAATACATATTCTTTAAATAACATTAAAAAATATTTTTCCTGGTGAGAAGAAAGGGGTTCTTATTTCAGTATTCAACTACTTTACTGTGTGGCCTACCAAGACAGACAGCAAAGAGGACAAGGGGAGGATTTTCTGTAGGATGAGCCCTGTGAGGGCATTTACCAAGGCCAGTCTCTCAGATACGCCAGGAAAACATTCTCATCCCTATTTCATCCACACAAACCCTGGTGTTCATGAACTGCCCTAAGCCACATGCCTAGTAAACAGAAGTAAAAAATTATCCCATCTTATTTAAACAGAGGATGCTGTATATATAGTTTGAATATGAAATGTCCCCCGCTGGGCTCTTCTGTTTGAACACTGGTGCCCAGATGGTGGCGCTGTTTGGGATGATAATGGAAACTTCAGGATGTGGACCCTTAATGGAGGAAGTCACTGGGGGTGGGCTTTGAGGTTTTATAGCCTGGTCCTACTTCTTGATTTTTTTCTCTCTGTTTTCTGTGCAAGTATGAAATATGATCAGTCGGCTTCTTGACTGCCAGACTGGTGTCTCACTCCCACTGCCATGCCTTCCTCACTGTGATGGACTGTAAACCCTTTTACCCCCTAACTCACCCTTGGCAGGGTATTTTTATCATAGCCACAGACAAGTATCTTATACAAGGGAAGAGATGCTATAAATTATGGTTTATAAAATCTGCTATGGGTGTTATTTTAACTAGGTAAAGATGTGTTACATTGTTTATGCTGGGGAATATTACTTTAACTGTGTAAAGGTGTGTTACATTTGTTTCTGCTGCCTTTGTTAACAATGTAAAGATGTGTTACATTTGTTTAATTATCTAAAGATGTGTTACTGTTTCACCTTGCCTGACTACAGCACCTGATTGGTCTAATAAAAAGCTGAATGGCCAATAGCTAGGCAGAAGAGGAATAGCCAGGGCTGGAGGACAGAGAGGATAAATACAAGGAGAGAGAAGAGAAGGAGAAGAGGAGGAAGGAAGAGAAGGACTTGCCCAGGGTAGAAGCCAGGCAGCCACCAGTCAGACATGGAGAGAACAGGAAAGTAAGACATACAGAAGGAAAGAAAGAAAGATAAAAAACCCTGAGGCAAAATGTAGATGAAGAGAAACAGGTTAAATTATAAGAGCTAGTGGGACAAGCATAAGATGAAGCCGAACATTCATAACTAATATTAAGTCTTTGTGTCATGATTTGGGAACTGGTTGGTGGCCCAAAAGAAAAATTATGGTACAAAAATCAACTATAAACATCATGGTATTTCCATATTTGAACTAATGAGAAACTAGACCACAGTTATTCTCAGTGACAGTAAAGGGAATGACCACTGGACTATTTCCAGCTTTTTCAGTTTTGACCAAGACTGCTGCTTATTCCCATGACTGAGTTAACTGTATCCCCATGCTGAAGAGACTCGCATTACTGAAACCAGGATTCCCTAACACTGTGTTGTAGCAATAAGCCTAATGTAGCAAAGGAATAACTTCTGAATATAAGAGGTAGTGGGACTAGGAGGCGCTGTGCATAGACTTTTGAAAGTCCCATGTGTCTGGGGACATTTGTAACAAAAGAGAGGTAGGGAGAGGAGAGGATTGGAGAGGAAGGGAGAGGGGACATTTCCTTTTTTGGTTTTGTTTGAGATAGGGTCTCTACGTACAGCCCCAACTGGCCCTGTATTCCCATTTATCCTGGCTCAGCCTCCCCTGTGCTGGGACCACAGGCATGGCCCTCTTATTTTTTTTTTTTCATTTGTTATCCAATGCCTCAGTTAAAACATACCTTGACCAGGGAATTCATCCCTGCCAAATATAAATAACTTATATCCACACTGCTTCTCCAGCACCTCAGGCAGGATCTTCAACACCAATGTTTCCACATCATGGCCCTGACTTTTTCTTGGGCACTTGGGGTATAAGACATAGGCATCATACAGTTTCTCATCTGAAAGAGAAAAGAGACGAGATCACAAAATGACTCTATCAGATCCCTCAAGTAAATAAAGTGAACCTTGGGTCACTGCTGTGATACACTTCATCCTGGTTCAATAACCTCCATATGTCCCACCGGCATTCCATGCTACCATATTGCATTCTCACAGCTGACCCATGAGAGACATGTCTCATCCTCACTACAGGGGAATAAAATCTAGACCAAACAGGTGGTACCATTTCTACCATTCCTAATTGACTCCTAAGTCTCCCACTGCCTGTGGTTGGGCTGAAAATGAGACTTCGGAGCCTGGGACTCATTTAACTGCATATGTGGGCAATGGAGACCTGGACTAACCATGTCAAGCAAAATGGGTTGAGTCCCTCCTAATCGAGCACACCAGAAAATTCACCATAGACCGAACAAGCCTCAGTGGACTCCAAATCTGTCATGTATCACTGAAAAATCCAACACATGCAATCCTGTAGCACATGGGGTCAATATGTTCATTGTGGACAAGTATTTCTTGGTCAACTATAAGACCCATCACTGTGCTCACCAGGGCAAATATGAACAATGCAGACCATTTAACTGTGCACACCACTCACATACACAAAATAAAATGGTATGTGACATTTACGATGTCAACAGCCAAAGGAACACAAAAAAGAAAAAAAAATCTCAGTGACTGGCATTCTTGATAGACAATATCTATAGAGGCTATGTAACAGCTCCTGGGTGTGAAACCGCAGGGAGAGCTGGGGGCAGGGGACGGGGGTGGGGGGCCGCAGGTGAGGACCTACGTGTAGATTAGTGAGAAGCCAGCACAGGTGTGTCTGCCTCCCTGCCCACTGTCATTCAAGGAAGCCGCTGTAAAGCTAAGGGGGACCTTGTAAAGAGGAAACCTCCATCAGCACTAACCGAACATCTCAAGAGAACTTGACTATGAGACCCATAGTCAAGGTAGGGGGCGGGGAAGGTCTAGGTCACAAGCTGATTCAGCTTGGGGATATAAGCATGTACTAGAGGACTGATGTGTGTTTGGAGACAATCAAATCTGACACAGCTAAAGCTCCTGTGACATCTTCAAGGTCACCAGATAGAACCGCAGGAAATAGATAACTTATTCTGTATAAAATTTAATGTTAAATATGACTTGCCAAAGTTCAAGTTTTAGGGGGTTGGGTTTTTTGTTGTTGTTGTTGTTGTTGTGGTTTTGTTGGTTTGTTTGTTTGAGGGTGAAAGAAAAGAATAAAGAGAGAAACAGAGATCTCACAAGTTCTTATTTCTTGACTGTTTAAGAAGGAATTGAACCTTCCCATGTAAGGATTTAGAAGTTTAGACTTGCATCCCTTGGGAGCTGTTGGCTGCTTGGTGCTCCATGTACCGAAGGGAGCATCCTCCTTGGAAAATGCAATTCCCAGGTTGGTCCCCAAATGTATCACTCCCCAGCCTCGGCACATCCACTGGCATCTCTTCTCATAGTTTCTCACTCTCCCTCCACTGGCTTTACTTAAACAGCAAACAGAGGGAACCACACTTGCCAGATGTTTTCTCTTTTGACAGAATCCCAGTTCTCCTTTGAAACGAGGCATCTGGGGACACAAGTTCTCCTTGGTCTCCAGCGCATTGTTCTCGGAACAGATGGAGAGGGGACTAACTGGTGGTGCAAAGTCTCATGTGTTTTGAAAACACAAACAAAGCAGGCCCCCAAATTTCATGTCCTTTCTTTTCTAAGTTTGTTTTCTTTCCATGCTGGAGACCAACCCCAGGGTGGTAAGTATGCTTGACCACTGGGCTAACGGCATCACCGACCCTCAGACCAAGATCTGGAGCAAAGGTATGATTTAGGGACTTGCTCTCCACATGCATTGGGTTTTCACCACTTTCAAAGACCCGTTTGTAATCCACACCTGCCCTTTTGTTACAGCCTCCGATTTTTAAAAATTATTATTTTATTTCATATGTGTGGGGCTTTCAGTTTGTGTTTGTGTATGCAGTGCCCAAGGAGGCCAGAAGAGGGCATCAAACCCCTGGAATTGAAAATAATAGACCATTGTCCCCTGCAGCGTGGGTTCCCCGAATCAAACCAGGACCTTTTGGAGGAGCAGTCACTGCTGTTAATCACTGAGCCATCTCTCCAACCCTGAGTTCCCTGATGTTTGAAGGACAGGATCAGACAGCAACACCAGGCACTTGCTGGCTAACTATGACAGATACCCTTGAATCCTACGATTCTGAGAAGGAAGCTGAGATCAACAGGGCTGCGTGATTTCTCAAAGGTATACAGAATTTTCTAAGCCCAAGCTGTCCATTTCCCCTTATGTAGCCAAACAAGACTTTGAATCAGAAAACCCAGGGCAGATTTCTTCTTGCCTTGACCTCCCAGCTCCATCAGAGGTATATTCTCCAAGAAGAGAAACACTCCTGGTTGATCATGTTTTTTCAGAAATATGCCATCTCCCCACAAAGAAGTGATGTGTAACTCTACTCCTTTAGAATTGGGCAGTTTTTCAAAGCTGTGTGTGATAGACCACACACACACACACACACACACACACAAAAAAAAAAAAAAAAAAAAAAAAAAAAAAAGAAAGAAACCTCAGATCGAAAACAAGGCTTCCTCAGCCTATCTCCAGAAATCCAACATCAGACTTCAAGGAAGCCCACCTTCGCCACTAAGAGACACTGACAAAAGATGCCCTGGTGGAAGGCACTGAGGAAAAGGTGACTGCTAGTCCTCCAGCTGAGGCCTCAGACACCCCATTGTGATCATCCGCAAGGCCTACAACACACACAAGCATAATGGATGGCCTTGTGCACAGTGAAGTTCCAAGGTGACTTGTTTCCCAACCATAGTTACAGGAATAGCAGGAGGAAAAAATAGCACAGGAGGAAACAGTGATGGAGAGCAGCAGATGATTTGAAGAATTACTAAAATTTCTGGTGGCTGATCTGAGGAGATTCCGCTGTTCTAGCTGCTGTTCCCAATATCCACCTCTCTCAAAAGTGGAGGTGGCAATGTATTTATGTCCTGGCCAAGCTCTTCTATTTTCTGAGGCTATTTAACCATTCCTTCAACTAAAAACAGCTTGTACACACCTCTATTGCTATTTGTAAAACCCAAACAAGATCATCTTTACAGGTTGATAGTTATGGAAAATCACCTAAAGTTTCTTCAGTTCTCATCTCTCTCTCTCTCTCAATTTGACGTGCTAAACTTTATGCCCAACAAACTCAGAGCAGTAGCAAAATCAAGCGGAGTTGATAGATGAAACTTGAATTTTAAAAGATACTCTATGTAAGGGCCTTTACAGAGTAGCCTGAGGACTGCTGTGTCTACCCCCAGCATGCATAGAAAGCACTAGAAGGAAAGCCATGTAAAACACGCGATCACGTTTACTTTGGGAACACTGAAAGCCAGATCCCTTACAGAGTACTAGCTCCTGTAAATGGGAACTCTCTGCAGGCACTGTCTTTGGAAATGAGCCCCAGAATGAGCTATGTTATTTCACAAACTACAGAAACACTTGTGGGAAAAGCCAGAATCAACTGAACTCAGTGTTAGGCAGGAAAGCAAATTTACCTTCAGAGACCAAGAGCTCCCCTCAGCTCTGCAGGTTGCTTATTCATTTTTTTTTCCCAGAGCTGAGGATTGAACCCAGGGCCTTGTGCTTGCTAGACAAGCGCTCTACCACTGAGCTAAACCTCCAGCCCCTGCACGTTGCTTAGTTTACTTCTCTGCCCTTTATTTCCCTGTACACCTGCTGGGTTAGTTCTCATGCCCCTATCCCCTGTGCACACTGCCTGCAGGTCTGGATGGAATAAAAGCAGGCATACACATAGTTCTCAAATGACCTGTCACTGACTGACCTTTCTAGTCTTACAAATACCAGCACACCTAACAGGCCAGTTCTGAAAGCACCCATGACCGCATAGAAATGCAGAACTCCCTGACTTCTACCAGGTTTGTGGGTGACTGTCATATTGTAACTCGTAGGTCAATTACCTTTACCTATTCGTGGCAAAGCCTGACTAACCAGGTTACAGTAAACTTTGCCAAGAAGGACAATTTCTCCTCTACATCCATGTTTACTATACTGTATATGTTCCAGAACATTCTCTCAAGAGAATCCAAGCAGGATTTAGGATCAACCTTGGAGGCTCATCACTTGCTCACTTTAGAGCCCTTATTCAAAGTTCTAATACAGGGGGGTTTAAATAGAAGGAGATATGGGAAAATTGAAGCACACACTTCAAAATTTAAAAAATAACAACAAAGAAAAACAAGAGGCCCCCCTGGCTGGCTGTCAGCTCCAATATCCAAAGCCACCACCCCCTGGCTGTGCAGAGTCTGGGCTGTGCTGATCTCGGGGAGGTGAGATCCTGATGTGTCATCTCTTGGGTTCCCCTGCTCTGCAGGGGTGAGTCATTCTTCCTCTGTCTCTTTCTATCAAACTCAGTGTCTCTAGCAGGCAGCTTCGCCATGCTATCTGTACACCGTAAGTCAAGGCTGTAGTCACACTCCTGGGAGTTACGGTGAGTCAGATGCACAAAGACCTAGGGGCCAGAGGGGCCGGGGCTTCCAGAACGACTACATGAAATAATGTCAAGCTCTCTGAGTCAAGCCAGAAAGAAGGCAAGCCACGCCTATCTGGGTCAGAAGAAACAAGTGGTGTGGGGCTGAGCCCTCTCCTCACAGAGACAGCCAAAGGGACAGTCACAGGGGATGGAGTCAAGAGGCCTTCTGTCCTAACCATGCCTTCCCTGGAGATCTATAGCGCTTCAAGCACCTCAAGTGGTATTGGGCTGGCCAGGCAATGGCCATGGCCGCATCTTATCATCACCACTGGGCTACACCCCAGCCTCTGGGTTACCAATTTTGAATTCTGACATTGAGTTAAAGACAATCTGAATTACAGCAGCTGTGTTTTATCAAACATGTAGACAATAATTTGTGTGGTGGCTTTTACGCACAAATAGCTGCTTAGAATAAATGGCCTTTTTGTATGTGGATTCTCCACTTGTGAATGTGTTTAGACTCTGAGGTCCCCCACTCTCTTGCGCCTGTTCAAGAAAAATGTCTAGCCTAGGAAGGTATGCATTTATTCGTCTCCATGCACGACGGTTGTGTAGATGTCTTTTGCTTTTTTATTCATTTGTATAGGCAAATGGGGGGCATCAGAGCAGATTAGTTTGTTCTTTTTCAAGCTCTTACTAGATCACATTCATTTTGAGACTAACAAATTTTAATTGCATCATCTTACAACCAGAATGGAGAGAAATGCCAACTCTGGAACACATGGAGACACTTCTGTGCCAAAAAAAAAAAAAAAAAAAAAAAAGAAAGAAAGGAAGGAAGGAAGGAAGGAAGGAAGGAAGGAAGGAAGGAAGAAAAAATGGTGGCCAGACAGAGACACTAAGGGCGCAGAGCCGAACAAGGAAAGACAGTTTTTAACTTGGCCTTCTTCAACCTCAGCATGGTGACTCCTTCAGCAAGACTAGAGACTGGGTCTTTCCTTCCCCTTTATTCTTTTCCTCCTTCCCTTCCTTACCTCCCTTCCTTCCTCTCCCTCTCTACGACCCTCCTTCTGTAGCTGAAAGAAAGAAGGAAATATCTTTCTAGTCTCACGACAGAGATGTAAATTACTTCAGGTACCAAGCACAGGGTTTAGAGAGAGGAGATCGCCCCCTCTCTTACTGTTTATCCTGCTGAGCTTTGGGGGTGCAATGCACATCATGTCAGACAAACTTTGTTCCTGCAGATATCTCCTTACTTCGCAGGCCCAGAAAAATGGGACCCTTTCTCACACCTGCGCATCAAGAACCAGGACAGCCCAAGGCCACCTACTGCTGCCGCCTAGTGGCTGTTTCCTGGGCACTACCCGCCTTCTAGCTTATTTGGCAAAGGAGGCTAATAACCAGGCACAGACCATTCCTCTGAAGCACATGAAGTTCTGCTGAGATTCTGCACACCAAATTTTCTAGCCAGAGGAAAGACTCGCTTGTAACAACATATGAGAAAAGCATTTAAAGAGCTTCCACGACTGGGCGGCAGTGGTGCACACCTTTAATCCCAGCACTCGGGAGGCAGAGCCAGGCGGATCTCTGTGAGTTCGAGGCCAGCCTGGGCTACAGAGTGAGATCCAGGACAGGCACCAAAACTACACAGAGAAACCCTGTCTCAAAAAACAAAACAAAAAAATAAATAGAGAAAGGAAGGAAAGAAGGAAGGAAGGAAGAAAGGGAAGGGAAGAAAGAAAGAAAGAAAGAAAGAAAGGAAGGAAGGAAGGAAGGAAGGAAGAAAGAAAGAAAGAAAGAAAGAAAGAAAGAAAGAAAGAAAGAAAGAAAGAAAGAGCTTCCACAGGTGAGTGGGCAGCCATTTGGAGGCATTTTTTTTCAAAGACCACACATACTTACTGTGGTGATATTTTTAATTATGCTGAAATGTCTCTGTATTTAGCTCTGTGTTTCTTATTTAATAAGACTGTTTAGAAATTTGTCTACAACTTACCATCTGGAGCCTGGACAGTGTGGAAGGTGCTTCTGTACCAAAGCACAATGTCAATCTTAAAACTGTTGTAGATGTACAGGACAGACATGACCAAAAGTAGGAAAGCCACAAGCCCTCCTATGAGGTAAGCCCGGAAATCTGGAACTGCAGATGAAAGGAAAAGTGAGTGTTAGAAGGTTGGTTTTACCCTCTACGCATGCCGGGGCGGGGGCGGGGGGGGGGGGGCAGCGTGAGGACACTGATTGACCATGTCTCAAAGTTTCCTGGTGAGTATGGGAGTTGGATAGGTTCAGTTTGGACTGTGGAGTTGGGGATCAAATGAGTTCTTCAAAAACCCAGGAAGCCCTAGGTGCAGATGCAGGAGCACCAGGACTCCATTTGCATGGGGACTGTTTCAGAGCATGTGGGTCCAGGTGCCTTCGTGGGGTACAGTCTGGCCATATCTTTAATGTCCCCCAAGGGTTCCCTCTGGGGATTCTGGATTACACTCCTACTGCACTGCTTCTCCAGCCCCTCAGAGTCGAGCCGAGGGACTCCTGGTAAAAATGGTAAAAAGCCATTGGCCCTCTGCCCAGAAACCAGCTGTGCTGGCTCCATAAGACCAGGGGTGACACAGGCCCCATGCAGCCCTTCCCAGGGCCCCTGAAGTCAGGGCTGGTGTCTGTCTGAGAGTTCCTGACATGGTACCCATTGCCTGCTCTGCTGTGTGAGCATGCTGCAGAGCGTTTCTAATAGAAGGGAAGTGGGCAGACAGCTGGGGGGAAGAATCAGTTACTCCAGAAGGGAAGTCAGGGTTGCTTCCAGAACGGTTCCGAAACTCCAAGAAGAGGAACCATGCAACACCCTACCTTGCCACAACCCAAATGGGTGCTGCCAGAGGAGGGGTGCCTTGGAATGAGGGAAGAGGATAAGGAACCCATCTCACCAACCACTTCCTTTATTAGCTCATTCAGATTGTCCACACACCCTAGAAGGGGGTTGGTGGATCTAGGGCAGGGTAGGGGAGGAGATGAGGAGGAGGCACCTATGTTTGGGTCTCCCAGAAGAAACACTTTCAGTTTATAAAATCTTCATGAAGGAGCTTATCAAATCCTCCCCAGGCCACACACACAGTAAACATCGCAAGGCTTAAGACTTCCTGCATATTTTCACATGTCTTTAGATATAACAGCACAACTACGTACAACGACAGAAAACACTAGGTGCTCGCCTCACCCCAAATCAGTCCACTGAGTAAGTCCTGGTGCAGCTAGTCGAGACGGCTCCCCAGGCTGTTACCCAATCTGATCCTAGCCTGTCTTTAGAACGTTGTCATCCACCTTCCTACTATGAGATGGAGTCTCCCCTCCCATCCATCATCTCGGCCAGCTCTTATCACAGTTGTGTGAGTAACACCATATCTCCCTTTGGGAGGATCTAGTCTGGGAGAGTCAAAGTCTATGACAGAGCTCTTGGAATTGCAAAGCATGATATGACTATCCCATGACTAAGTCCATGGGACTTATGAGATTCAAAGAATCCTTAGCAACCAAAGTGTGGCCGGAAACTCTCCAGTCCACCGTTCCTTGCACTGAGTAGTGTTGGCATGCTCTGCTCTGCAAATGTGTTCCAAGATGATGGCGTTGGAATTGCCTTATTAGTGAAGAAGCTCTAATGAGTAGGTACTCTGAAGTAGAAATAAATGTAAAACTTCCTTATTAAGGAAGGGATCTGTCTAGGCTGGAAAGATGGCTCAATGGTTAAGGGTACTGGCTGCTCTTTCAAACGACCTGGGTTCAATTCCCAGCTCATAACTCCCTGTAACTCCAGTTCCAGGAGATTTGATGCCCTCTTCTGACTCCCATGGGCACTGGGGTTATATATGTGGTTCACATTTATACATGCAAGCAAAACAAACATACAAGTAAAATAAAATCTAAAAAAAAAAAAAGGATGATTTGTTATTTGAGTTCACGGAACTGCCATCAGCAGCCTTCTGATGAGATGAGAGTGGAGGATAAATGATGATTAAAAAAAAACACAGGCCGGGCGGTGGTGGCGCACGCCTTTAATCCCAGCACTCGGGAGACAGAGCCAGGCGGATCTCTGTGAGTTCGAGGCCAGCCTGGGCTACCAAGTGAGTCCCAGGAAAGGCGCAAAGCTACACAAGAGAAACCCTGTCTCGAAAAAAAAAAAAAACACAGAAAGAAAGAAAAAAGACTTTCACAGAATGACAACTTTCTAGTGATCTTGCCTCAGATGATCCAAGTAAGAAATCTGGAAGTATCTTCAGAAAAAAAAAAAAATGAGGAAGTCAAATGAAGAAGCTGCCACCAAATAAACCAAAGAGTTTAGATTTAGGAGGGTGGGGTTCCTCAGAACTCAAGGCAAACAGAACAAGGTATACACGACCGACCAAAAAAGCCGCTATGTGTGGGCTGGGGAGTGAGCGCTTGGAGAAACCAAGGGATGTTTAGCAAGAATTTCCTAAGTAGTGGTCCAAACTAACCAAACAAATAATCCCTCCTGCTCTCACATGACTGACAGGTGTTAACTTGTTAGCTGATAACAACATTAGCCCCGCTGAGCCTGGACTTGGCCTCAAAATCCTTCCAAGCATAGTGTGGTCAGATAGTCAGGATGAACAAAATCTGTATTGGCCATAGTGGGGCTAGGTAACTAAACAATGCAGTCAAACTTACACATTAAGTTAGACTGAAATTGGAACCATGTTAGGTGTCCCACATTCCCTAAGGTATGTTGTAGAGTGTGCTTTTCTCTTTTCTCTAGGGTCACACTCCCTGGCCTAACTAAGCCAGGTTCTTTTTCTTCTGGAAGCCACTGGAGTGTCTTCAAGTTCTTCTCTGTTTCTTGGCTGAGAAAACATATTCTCACTGGATTATTAAAATCAGCTCCTTCATCAAAATAGGGGGACTTTGGAAGGGGCTTCTTTGCTCTGGTCTGACTGTGCTCTGCAGGCAAGACAAAGGATATGGATGAGAAGTGAATGGGAAGAGGTGGATCACGAAGGCCAAGAATGCCAAGCCAAGAGGATCTCTTCTATGTCGGGGGAAGGAGCAGTGGTGGAACTTCAGCCATTCTTGGAGAAATAACTTAGACAAGACCAGAGAAAGTTCTCCAGGCAAGGACATCATTTGGAAAACTGATACAATCATGCAAATAGCTCAGAATAATGGCCTAAACCATAATAGTACCAATGGCAGTAACCCAATGTCTTAGACCTCACTGAATGTCGGTCTCCATGTTTGCTTTGCAAAATTATCTCATCTGGTTCTCTCCTACACTACTTTGTGGGGAGTGAGTATGACCTGGAACAGTCACCATGTGGAATAATGTGGCATTATATAGTAAAGCTGATGGCAGAGGTTCGTTTAGCAATTCTACCCTCAAAAATATACCATAATTTTGGAACCTAGTGCCTATGGTGAGACACTTTGCACAGCCTTGGTGCAGGAAGGAGGGGCTTGGTCCTGCCTCAACTGAATGTACCAGGCTCTGCTGACTCCCCATGGGAGAACTTGCCTTGGAGGAGGCAGGAAAGGGGGGTGGGTTGGGGGAGGATTCTGGGGAGTGGGAGGAGGGAGGACAGGGGAATCTGTGATTGGTATGTAAAATGACTAGAAAATCTCTTAATTAAAAAAAGATATCATAAGGAATGCTTCCACATTGGGACCAGGGCATACACACAGGAACTTCCATAGTGTCGTTACTTATTAACTGTCCCAATCTGGAAACAGTCCAAATAACTACATATTTATCATGTAATTGATGAAGGATGACCTGACTGTTGAGTGGAATAGGTTTCTAGAATTCAGATGAAAAAACCAGCTGCTTCCTGCATTATCAATGAACCAACATATCCCAGGTACCTGAGAAAAGAATCATGTCACAGAAGAAATAAAATCACCTAATACTCTTAATATAAAGACCCTAATCAGACAAAAATAAACTATTTTTAAGAAGCTCAACAGATATCACAACACAAAGAAATGACTTTCCTAAAAGTAAGAGGTGTATGGGTCAAAGTAAGAAAGAGATATTTGGGCCAGGAAGGGCATAGGAACCTTTCCATCTCACACTGTTTATCTGTTGTCCCTAATGCAGATATGGTAGCTTCACTTGCATTTAATTTGCAGTATAATTGTTTTGTGGTATGCACATTTTCTGTGTATATTATATTTGACAATAAAAAAGAAAATTTCAATTTGTTCTCAAAACCTTCCCCGTCCCCACCCCACCCCCCGCAATAGTGTGGAAGGTAATATCATAATTCTCATCTTACAGGCAAGCAAACTCAGATACTAGGTGGTCAGCAGCTGCCCAATGCTAAAACCAGGACTTAAACATAGAAACGTCAATGGTTAAGTCCTTAGGTGCAAAGCATCCCCACCATCTAGCTAGCTAGTAGAGTGGGCAGGTGGGACAGAAGTAGCAGGCAGGCCCGAGGAAGACTGCAAGAGTTAGCAAGTTAGTCAGCCATTGCCATAGATAAGGAAGCGAGAGGATCAAGATGGCATCCGACTTGGAGTCTAACGTATATGGAAAATATGGGGATGTATTTTGAAAAGGTAAGAAAACAAGGTTTAAGAGATAAAATATATTTGTAATTATTTTTACCATTATAATCTGTACACAGGAGGAAGGCAAGGCTGCCATGAAGGAAGAGAGAACACACTTGCATATGTGGAATGTGTTTGCCTCTGCCTTAGGGTGATGGTTGAAGCCATGGAGAGCATAAGGTCACCTGAGCTGAGGATGCAGAACTAAAAGGGGCACTGATAGGGCCTCAAGAACCTCCAGAGAGAACAACAGGTACAGAAGATCCACTGGCAGGAAAGTGATCAAAACTGACACTCCTTGAACTGCCCCTGAAGGACAAGCAGCTGGTGGACACAGAGGAGCCCAATGTTCCTCCCATCCAACTCAGCCATGAGGGTCCCCAAGAAACCAAGGCAAGGAAGCAGGTGCTGCATGTCCACTCACAGTTGACATAACTAGGGACGGAGAGAGCCTAGCCCCAGGACATGAAAGTGAGGGAGAAAGCATGTACACAGTCAGAACTGCATATTGCCTTAGACGTGTTCCTGCTTGTAGGTACTCTAAGGGAAGTGATGGACATTCCCCAAGATAAGAATTTGATAGTAACAAAGCCACATTGGCCAAGTTCTATAGAAACTAGTCCATTGAGCTTTACCTTGATGCATGTGATTAATTGATATTTTGTTCATTTGTTCACAGAGACAGGGCTTCTCTGAGTATTGCTGAATGTCCTGGAACTCACTCTATAGACCAGGCTCACCTGGAACTCAGAGATCTACCTGCATCTGCCTCTCAAGTGCTGGGATTGAAGGCATGTGCCACCATCACCCGGCTTGTGATTAATTGATTATCAACATATTCTAATGAATTCAAGCCCTCCCTTATGCCTATAGCTACACACACACACACACACACACACACACACACACACACACACACACACACACACATGGCATTTCACAAGGTCTCCTGTATACTCCCCCCAGCATGTTCTGAGTTTCAAGTTTATTCTCAAGGTCAGCTTCTCCCCTACACTCTGCTGTCTGGCTTTACCCTCTCCAATAGTCGCCAAGATGACAGGGAAGCCTGAGGCAGACCAGTCAAGAACCAGAGAGCCAGCAGGAGCAAGAGACAGATAAGAGAGGGTCACGAGGGGCTGCATGTGATCAACAAAGGTGAAAGAAAACATTTAAAAGAGATCTTTAGTCATTGAAAATGATCAAGAAAAAACAAAGAGGCCTTTGTAGTTGAAAGTTCTCCTGTTCAGACACCAGATTCATAGATAATGTCACAAAGTTGCAAGGTTAAAAAAATTAAATATAAACATTTTATTTGTCTAACAAATTATTTATGATAAAATGAAACTTGAAAGTCACAAATTAAAGATTATAAACATTGAGCAATTGGGTTAAAAAAGGAAAACTCCGATTTCTGGAATTTTGCTGCATAAAATCTCACTGTCTATGAAGATGGCCCAGCCAAAAAATACCCTAGTAGAATCGCAGCTTTATCCCAAGACAGCCATCAGACACGGCCCCATCTTCCAGTAAGTGGTACCCCTAAGTCCTCTATTTAGTGCCTCCTGAAGCCGCCTACTGAATGTATGCCATCACTTCTCTTTAGTAAGCCTTCCCTGGCCATCATTTTCAGTGTTCTGGGTAGCCTGTGATGTGCTGACGTTACCTGGGAGCTTCAGCATGATGTAGGCTGTGGACACTCCAGCATGGCACACGAAAGGAAGGCCATAGTCCTCCATTTTCACTTCTAAGAATGTGATGTTCACTGTGTATGAAATGTGATCCTTCAAAGAAACATTGGTCCTGGAAAGAAAGAGTCAGCCATTAACATGTGAGCCAGGTTTCCCCAACATAAGGTGTAGCTTATCTTCTAGAAACAATTTGGGGGTTGTTCTGTTTTGTTTTTCCTAGAGAACTCTCTGGGCCATATTTTACTCTAAGATGCTTGCTGGAGTGACTCAATATATAGAAATTCTATAGTTGTAAATTTTCGTTTTCATCTAGACAGTCATTAAAAAAAAGTGACTCTGCTGACTACAGTCTCAACTGCAGCGCTAATGGGCATCTTCTCCCCCACCCAAAACACACACCCGATTATACCCTAATGTGTCCACACAGCAATGCTTCCCACGACCATTAGTCCTGATTTCATTTACATCGCAAATCATAGCACTATAAGCTGAGTTTGAACACCACTGCCTGTGCAGTCTCGCACAAGAAATCCTGCACTGATCCTCACTGTGCTAACTCCACAGTGGAGGACGGCAGCTCCTAATGTAACTGAATGGGATAGGCTGGATTTGAACGGCAGCTGGCATACCTGGACAATGTTTCTCTAAGGTACAGCTCATGTTCTGCTGACACTGATTCAGCTGAAAACTTAAGCATCTAGCGTTGCATTGTCAGAGCTAGATGCCTGTCTACATGCAGCCCATAATGATCATTAAAAGACAAAGCCAAGAGCAGAAATAAAAGGGTCGGTGGCACTGTCCATCAAAAGCAGTGGTCACAGCATATTGAGGTGGAGGGAGGAACTCTTGCTCGCTTTCAGAGAAGCCCCCAAATCAGCACCTACTCAAATCCTTCCCGGATGCGTTTGGAGTCACTGTAGTAGTCATCCACCAGGGTGTCGTTGACTCTCCAGCAGCGCAGGTTTGTGTTCTCCTTCGTGTCTGTTATGTTGCAGTCCACAACAAGGCTGGAGCCTGGAGCAATCAAATCCACAAACACTGAGTGAGAGGGCTACAGATTCTGGAGCTGTCAACCTGGTTGATAATGCAATGAACAAATACCCCTTGCTTTGGGGCCTGGAATATTTAATTACCAGAAACATCCCCCAGGTTGACATAAAAGTGCCTGATCCTCTCTCTGCATAAAAGTTAGGATGAAGGAGAAGCCTTCCGGGCTGGACTGTGAAGAGATCTGCACACACTCCCCGACAGTGACACCTCTGAGGAGAGTCTCCCACAACAGGAAACATAAGTACTACTTCATCTACCCCTACTGATGTTAGCAAAGTACTTTAGAGCCTACATAGTGTTTCCTACTCAGCCGCCACTCCCAAGACTGTGCATCTTTGAAATAATTCAGTAAAGAAAAGTGGAAGGTACTCCTCTTGTGACAGATGAAAAACTTAAGTTCAGACAGATTGAGTGGCTTGCTCTAGGTGACACATGTATTGTAGAGAGATGTGAGACATGAGCTCTATTTCCTAGTCTCTAATCCAGTGATGCCCTACTTTAACAGATGCAGCCCCTGTACCCATTCTCCTCGTTCCCTTATCCTATATCCAAACATCCCAAATCATATTTAGTAAGTCTGTATTTTCAATGTATCTTACCCTTCAGTCTAATAAGGCCTACTTCACCTTTCAAGAGGAGTTCTTCAGTCATGTGGTATTGTACATTTTATTGTGATGTGTAACACATACAATAAAAAACCATGGAGTACAGCTAAACATCAGTGGGTTAAAAGAAAGTAAATATCCACATCATCTTCCCTCCATGGAGAAAACAGTGTAGTTCCAGAACCGAGAGTTTTCCACATTCCCTTTCCTTCATTTATATTGCACTGATTGCATATTTATCACCAGATTCTGGCTTCTGTTGCTTAACATTTACTTTGGGGGCTGGTGCATGTGTTTTACAGGGCAATATACTCTGCCTATTTATTTCTCCTAAAATCACTACATACTCATTTGTGTTGTATGTGTTTCTGATATTTGCTTGGCAAGTCTTTTAGGAACTCTCATGTGTATGTTTCCTGAGGCATGCATGAACCCATTTCATGTGTGTGTGTGTGTGTGTGTGTGTGTGTGTGTGTGTGTGTGTGTACATATACATGCATATAATCCATATACATGATAGGAACACATAACTTCTCTAGTATTAGTATTGGATGTATACAATACTCAACTTCACAAGATTGTGGTGGACTGTTTCCCAGAGGATTGGTTCAAGCTGCACCCCTATCAGCTTGTGGTAGACCAGCTCCCACATTTATTTACCCAAGGGGCTCTTGAGGAATGAAGAATAAGAGACTTAGATCGAAATAGAGGGGAGAGAAACAGATAGAAATGCAGGATAGCCTCGGGTGGGCCTAGATCCTTATCCACCAGCCCAGAACTTTATTACAAAGGGCTTTTTATAACAATGCCAAGGGGAGGGGCAAAAGACCTCCCCCTTGCTAGATACAGCCAAGTGTAGACCCTTCCAAACACCTGGTACCCAGGCCTGTGGTCCAATCATCCTCTTATGCAGTCCTGCTGGGTAAAGCCACCAGGAAACCTAGATGGGCTCCAACACCAGCTCTGTGTAAGCTTCTTGTTGCTTCATATACTCAATAGTGGTAATGGTCAGACCATTTTATTATAGATGTCCATGCTCCGAATTTAATTTGTATTTCTCTACACTGCACATGAGCAAACAGCCACCTTAGATTTTATTGGTCACATGGATGGTATTGATTGAACATTGTCCATTTTCCCTCCTTTCCCAGGTCCTATTTTCCTTATAAATGTGGAGAGTCTATGTTCACCTATTACAAGCATTTTCTTCTGCTCCAAAATTTTTATACCTTTAATAGTCTTTTAATAAACAGAAATTTATCTTTAACAGCATCTTACCCATACATTTTTTCTTTACAACTAAGGTTTTGTTTGTCCCAATTTTAAAAATATCCTTTATTACTTCAGAATCATGAAGATGATTTCCTGCGTTTTGACTATCATATTCAGGTCTACAACTCACCCAGAATTATTTTTATATGCTGTGAAGGAGAGGTCAAATTTCCTTTTATTATATATTACATCTAATAAGCAAGCACTATTTATTTAAACATTTTTAATTTCCCAGCTCAGTATGGTAGCACACACCTATAACCCGAGCACTTGGGGAGATGAAGGCCAGAAGATCAGGAGTTCAAGACCAGTCCAGGATACATGCGCTCTCTCTCTCTCTCTCTCTCTCTCTCTCTCTCTCTCTCTCTCTCTCTCTCTCTCTCTCTTTCTCTCTCTCTCATTATTATAAATTATCTACTTTTCTGTAGCACCTTTATCAAAACCCAAAAGACTGGTGTGTAAGAGTATTTTTAATCTTTCTCTTCTGTAGTCATTCCTTATACCAGCTATAGACTGTATAAATGTGTTAGCCTCCTAAAACATCTTGAAATTATTAGTAATCCAATCTAGTTCTTCCTAATTTAAAGTTCATTGATTCTTATACAACCAAAAAACTGTTAAAATCTATAGAAGAAAACACATTAATCTGACTTTTTTAAATTCATTGAAATACTGATAAAGAGTTCAGTACTTGACTACTGAACACTGTTCCTGTGAATGTACAAGTTTTTAAGGTCGTGTTATCATATTATGTATTCACAGATTCAAAATTGGAATTTGATCACTACATCTCTATTGGCCTCTAATAATGCTTTTGCCTTAACATCTATCTTGATATCTACATAATTGTACAAATGTTCTTGGAAAAGTGTCCTTGGTGCCTCAGAGATGGGTGATGCTGAGAGCACCCAATAGGACAGATATTTGCCAACATGTAATTTTCTATAGTACTTATATCCCAGAGGAAACAGCCTGGTGGAGTCATTAACAAATCATGTTAATGTCAAGATACTATACTAGTGTTTCAGACATGTAAAACTGGCTTTGAAAATCTTTATTGTATTAGAATAGTTTTAAAGAAAAAGTACAAGTGATTGTGGCATTTTAAATAATTTTCTTAGAATAGCTAAGTAGATAACCAAAGATCCTTCAACATAATTATGTTTACCCTCCTTCCTAAAAACTCCAATTCCCCTGCCTCTCTCATGTGCATTTGTGTGTACGTGTATGTATGTTTGTGTGTGGGTGATATACGTTCAGGTAAGTTCACATGTGTGTGGGGATGTGTATGTATATGTGTGTATGCATGGGAAGGCCAGATGTGGACCTCTAGTATCATTCCTCAGAAATTTTCTGACTTGGTTTTTGAGTCTGGATTAGCTCCTGCCTCCAGGTTCCTGCCCTGTTTGAGTTCCTGCCCTGACTTCCTTCAATGATGAACAGTAATATGGAAGTGTAAGCCAAATAAACCCTTTCCTTCCCAAGTTGTTTTGTTCATGGTGTTTCATCACAGCAATAGTAACCCTAAAACACTAGCTAAGTAACAAATGCGCTATCTCACTGATCTAATGAGTAGGATTTTAATTGTTTGATTTTAATTGCAGGTTCCCAGACACCACACTGTGACTAGAGTCTATATAGTCTCCTCTCCTGAGGCAGCATCTCCCACAGATAGTGATGTTAAGTACATTGCTTTAATCTTTTGGGATCTTACTTATCTAATAAACCTGTCAAAAATTCAGTATATTAAATTTCCCATTACATGGAAACAATTGTTCTGCCTTATTGTATTATTCTTGTAATTCTAAGACTTATAGCCTTATGTATTTGATGCATGGTGACATAAAAATAGTATTTTTCTAGGCCTGCTGGAGAAGTAACTGAAGCCTAAGCAGAAAAATTAGAAATTCAAGGCCTGCCTGGAATAGAGAGTGAGTTCAAGTTAGTGAGACCCTGTCTCCAAATAAAGAAACAAAAAGACTTGAGAATATAACCCAGCAGTAGATTACTCATCCAGTGTGTGTGAAGCCCTAGATTCAATCACCATTATCAACAACCCAAAAAAATGTATTTTGAAAGGCTTTGCAGTTTTAATTAGAATAAAATGACTCAATTTGTTATTTAAGAGTTGGGGGTCTTGAAAATTATTATTATTAAAACACACAACCTGATTTTTATGATCATTTTTGCAAATGATACCCTGCTAGGGCTGTTATTTTTAAACTTTTAGATCATGCACTTTTTTTTTTTTGAGACAGGGTTTCTCTGTGTAGCTTTGTGCCTTTCCTGGAACTTACTTGGTAGCCCAGGCTGGCCTTGAACTCACAGAGATCCGCCTGGCTCATGCATCTCTTTTGAAAAAGCATACTATTGGACTGACAAACTACTAACTGGATTGTGATATTGACTGTATCTGAGGAGCTTCCTTTTAATGAAGACTTGATTTAATTGCTTTTTTCTTTTCTAGAAAGTGCTCTCTCTATTTTATTGGTGACATCTCTACACACACAAAAAAAATCTGAGCCCCTATTCTGAGACATTGAATTTTGGTCTTTTACTGTGTGAATGATGGATATACTGTAGTCATTTCCCTTACTCCTTGAATGGATTTCCAGAATAAATATTAAATAAATAATATAATAAATAATAATAATGAATAAATAACCTAGAATTCCTGATCCGGACTATCTAGGAGCAGTAGTTTCACATTTCAGTAACTGTGTCTCTGCTCTCATTGCCTTTGGATAAACGAATTCACACAAGTCACTGAGACTCACAGTAGTACAGTCCGCAGTGCCAGAATGTCAACGCCATAGTATCCCAAGCTCTCGCTTTTCACTTTGATACACCTCCTGTTGAGCCAAGGCCCACCCAGAGTTGGAAACTAAACATGTACTGGGATTATCTACATTTTGAACATTTAATGTACCCATTGATACAAGTGGGTGCAGTGAGCTCTACCTATGGTAACCCGGAGGGGTCCGAGAGCTTTACTTACCGAGTTGAACTTCGATGGAGTTGTTTTTTGGATATGTGATATTAGGAATCCTTCCTCCAGACACAACTTCCTCTGATAAGAGATCACACCCACAAGAACTAGTCATTAGAACTACAAAGAAAGTGATATACTTCCCAGAAACTCAATGTGATGGCATGAAGCCCAGTGAGAGAAGACCTTCGTAAGCACTGGTCAAGAAAAAAAAGCCAAAACTCAAGAGTGTGACACTCAGGATGACCGTAATATTGCTGCATTCTGTCTGTAAAGCTCTTCACTTCGTTATTCATGAGTACAAGTCATCATCAGCTAGCCACCTACTAGATCACATGCGTGTCAAATCTGGAGGTCATTCCAGTCAACAGCTTTCTCCTCATCCTCTTCACATTCTTCACCACACAGCCCATCACATATTACCTCCTGAATTTTCAAAGGCTGGGCCTCTGTCTTCACTTCAGAACCATCTATTTTCTATTCTCTACTTTTTTTTAGACTAGCTTACCCACTCACATCTTGAATTACCATCTAAAGTCCAATGCCCAGAAAGTCTTAACTCCAGGACTTGCTCTGCATTCCAGAGCCACAGAGGTTATAGCCGATCCTAATTCTCCCCTTGCATGACTCATGATCAACCTGCTAAAGACTAAACCTCTCCTACACCTGTTTTCTCCTTGAGCTGTCTTGTCTCATTGATTAATGTCACCTTCCACCCAGCAGCATATGCCCAAAGGCCTAGAATCCATGACTCCTTCCTTCCTCCCTACTCAATTAACTCTAAGAGGTGTGTTTTCCCCCTTTGGAGATGCTGTGATTGCATCTGGACCACCCCATCAACCATATTCCCATGGTGCCTCTGCCTGCTTGATGTCTCACCTGTACTTCTGCACCTGCCTCCTAACCACTGTCCTCTTCCCAGCACAGTGGCCAGCCGGCTGCTTCAGAAATGAAAAGCATCCCAAGCTGTTCTCATGTAATCAACCCCACTGGCTGCTTGCCATGTTCTGAGAATAAAATCCACATTTCCCTGTTTGGAATTCAAGGTCCACCTACCCCTCACTCCTGACTGATTCTCTAACCTCATCACCTGTCATGATCTCATCAACCAAGGCCAACTTGCCTGTTTTACATCCTTCATACTCAACATGGTTCCTCTTGTGGGGCCTTCACAGCTTCTTGGTCTTCTGTCTGTAAAAACCTTGGTCATTCTGTCTATCTACGAACTCTTTCTTGCATATCAGCATACAATCACCTCCCCTGTAATGACACATCTCATAGTGGATTGTCAACTGTCTCAACCTCTGCTGCCTCACAGACTTCAAGCTTCATTATGGCAGTACACAGATTTGTTTTCCTTCCTCATCATTTTCTCTCTACCTGGCTAAGGCTAGCCTTTCTTATGCCCTCAGTTAAGAGTTACTGAATAACCATTGCACCAAGCCGAGACTGTCAAGATTCTCATTAGTCCCATGTCTCTTCCTTTTAGGATACTAGCACTGCACTTATGAAAACATGTATTCAGTATTCAAAAAGAAATTGAGTTCTTAGTGTTTGCCACTCTAGTTCAAATGAATAAGTGTTTGGGTTTGGTACCAGTAATTGTAATACCTAAAAGTGTTCTCTTATGATATTCTGTGCTAAAATATAAATAAATAACTTCTTCAAATTTTGTCATTAAATTTAATCTACTGTAAAAAAAAAAAAAAAGACTTTTTGGATGTTACTGTGGTATCCTAGGTGGTCTCCAGGCCTCAATGCTTGCTTCAAACCATCCCATGGTCAGTTTCTCCCATTACAAAGCACCCTCATAATTCCCCACTCATTTTCTCCCAAAGGCCTTTCAGTGTGATAACGGTTACAGATGGGTGGTTACCTGAAATTTTTCCCAACTTGAACTCAGCTCCCAACCCTCCTCTTCCCTGACACACTTATATTGTAGTGAAATTCACTATGGATCCAACAAGAACCGTGGTGTCTGATACTGTTGCCCTTGCCTTATCTGTGGCTAGAGAGCTCTTCTTATTTTCCTTTATGGTTTAAAGATCCGTCCATCTTTCCAAATCCCACAGGGAACTCATTTCCTCTTGGAAGTCTGTCCGACCTGTTGGTTTGCCAGCCTTCTAGTTCCTTCTGATTGTTCTCTGTTACCTAAAACATGAGCTATAATTCTAATTTTAGCACAGGATGCCCAAATAGCCCCTTTGTAGCTCTGAACTAACTACCCGTGGATCTGAGGCTTCCCAATAGAAGAATTACATATTTAATTTTTTAATTATTAGTTTCAAACATAATTCTAAGCATATAACAGACTGTGGATAAATATTGATTCTACTGATATGGCATGAGGATCCAGCAACTTCTTAGAAACTTATCCTTTTAAGAAATTCCCTCAGCTACTCATGTAAGACTAAAGCATGGTGGCCATCAATTATTCAGTCAACGAATGGATCTATTCCTAACAGAGAGTAGGGGATCCAAATAAGAACAAGATGAGGGGCTATTTCCAGAAGACACCATCAGCAGGAGAGCCCAGGAGCAGGACAATCACAAAATAGACTGCAATTTGTTTTCTTAATGAAGAGATAGAATATTAAAATTGAAGACCGTCCAAAAATATTTCAATCTCATGAGTAATTTCAACAACAACAACAAAAAAAAAAACAGTGCAAGATAAGGCAGGAAGAGCCATGTTGGGAAGAACAAGGCTAAGATACAGAGAAGGACTGGATCTCTGTAATAAAGGGTCCATCCTGAGTTGCCCTGGAGAGGCTGCAGGTGGGCAGCAGAAAGCCACCATGGGAGCAGATAGCCAAGGCCCATGCAGCTCCCACGAAGCTGAGAAGCAAACAGGAATATTTAAGTAAACTTACTGGTGCTCACAGCGATGTAATTTCTAACCATGAACTGTCTTCCCAAGTGTGTGAGTCTGGCCGTGCACGAATAGCTCCCACGGTCCTCTGCAGCGACATTGTTCACGAGAAGCTTTGTTCCAGAAAAAGTATACTGCTTCCCTGGTTTAATCTCTTCACAACCCTAAAGACACATACATGAGAACTGAATGAGGACTGAAAATGCTAGTCACTGTGTTAGTTAGCATTATCCTATGAACTCCGGGGAGACCCAACTTCTATATCCACATGGTCACCGACAATTCAAACCTTAGTTATTAACAATCTAACCAGAAGACAATGCATAATATATGCCAGATAGATGCTAGGTGGATGGGTAGATGGATAGCTGATGGATAGATAGATAGATGATGGATGGATGGATGGATGAATGGATGGATGGATGGATGGATAGTAGAGAGATAGAGAGATAGATTGATTGATTGATTGATTGATTGATAGATAATAGATATATAGATGATAGATAATATATAGATAGATGGATGGATGGATGGATGGATGGATGGGTGGGTGGGTGGGTGGGTGGGTGGATGGATGGATGGATAGATAGATAGATAGATAGATAGATAGATAGATAGATAGATAGTTAGAGATAGAGAGATAGAGAGATAGGACGGTGGGATTAATGAACAAACAGATTAAGGCTGTTGTGCTAGTCAGTTGTTTTCTGTCACTTTGACAAAAACACTTAACATAAACAACTTAAAGAAAACATTTAATGTACTTGTGGTTGCAGAGGTTTTGCTCCATCATGTTGAGAAGCGTGTGGAGGAGAAGTGTGTGGAGGAAGCCAGGAAGTAGACAGAATGTCTGAAGCAACAGGCCTTCTCTTTTTCCTGTTGATTTCATCTGGAACATGGCCTATGGGATGGTACCACCCACACCCAGGGCGGGTGTTTTCCCCTTAGTTAGTCTTCACTGGAAATGCCCTGAGAGACACACCCAGAGGTGTTCTTTAACATCTTAAGCATTTCTCAATCAAATCAAGTTGACAATCAACATAGAGAGAGAAAGGGGGGTGGACACATCCCTCTCTCTCTCTCTCTCTCTCTCTCTCTCTCTCTCTCTCTCTCTCTCTCTCTCTCTCGTTCACATGCAGAAACCAGAAGTCATTATCAGGTATCTTCCTCAGCTGCTGTCTGTCCACCTTGTTTTTTGAGACAGTCACCGACTTGGCTGACTGGTCAGCAAACCCCAGGGATCTGCCCGTCTCTGGCATCTGCCAGTCTCTAGTGCACCACTACACCCAGCTTTTTTATATGTGTGTATGGCGGGGGGGTGTCAAACCAAGGTACTTGTGTTTTTAAGACAAACATCTTACCAAGGGAGCCACCTTCCCTGTTCCCAAATCTCAGTTTATCAAGCTAATCATCTTCACCTCACATACCCACTTCCGGACTCTTGCCCAAGCCTGTTCCCCATCCTTTGGGAAGCCCACTCCACAGAGAGGCTGCTCGACTAGTTAAGTCCATTTTTTTTTATTCAAATATTTGAGTTTCTATCTTTCCCAGCACTATGAGAGACTTCAACCACAGGGGAATTAGACATTGTGACTGTCCTCAGGAAGCTCATAATCTAATAGATAAAACAGATAAAGTCCTAATTCAATAAAAATGTAACTGAGTCGGTGTTACATTCTCTCCAGACTCAGCCAGCCACAGATGAGTCCTTATTCTCCAGCCCAGAGCAAGGGGAATAAATCTATTTTGCAAGCAAAATTCAATTTAAAAAAAAGTCAGAATAACTACATGATTAGTTACAATGTGCAACATGTCTTCCTAGATTTCTTACATTGTTCCAATAGAATGTAAGAAAACTCTAGTTATCATTTGACAATTGTTCACCAATAGATGGGAGCTACTATTAGGAATTAGAAGGATGAAAGCATCAGCCCCTCATAATAAAATTGCTGCTTTGAATACAAAAGGCATTCGAATGAGTGTTGGGAAAACTAGGTGTTTTCATAGCTAGCAATGGGGTGGAGACATGACATCCACATTTACATGGTCCCATAGAGTTTAGATTATTTACAATCTTCATCTATTAGACACGTTAAAGCTGACCTCAGAGGCAACAAAATCTGTTGGTGTTACGTTAATGGGGAAAAAATCAACACTTACCCTTGGATTAATTTGACCAAGAGCAAATTCAAGTTTGAATTCTCCTCTTCTCTCCCTGTGTCTTCTGTCTGTATGTAGTTTGGGGTCTGGAGCTTGTCTTTAGTTTGCAGTTATGTGAATTTCATATTTTTTAGAATTTTTCAGAGTACAGAGTCACAAATTTTGAATGCTTTGGATTTCAAAAGTCTCTTTTCTGTGTAGACTTAACTGGCGAGTCCCCGGCTAAACACAATCTGTGCTGGGCTTCATGGTTGAGCACTCCTCCTTCTGACTCATTCTCTCTTCCACATATCCAAATGATCAATCACATTAACCCTTAACCTTACTGTGTGAGGGTCGTCTTGCCCCACTACAGTGACTAACAACACCTTTTTTCCAATCTACTGGAGTGAACAGACTTTCTGCTGGTTTGATTTATTTTTTATTTCAGGGGATATCTCATTATCAAGATTTAAAGTGTAAATAATAACAATAGCATCCATCTACTGTTTTCCAGTTAGATTGTTATGGAGATGCATTATTATGGAAATACATCTTATATTCTAAGAGACTGGAACTCTTTTTGGAAGCGTACAGCCAAGTTACTAAGGCACCTTAAGATCTCTTAAGATTTAACCTGATATCCTTCTGTGTCCTCAGCCTGGTTGAATAACCTACCTTTAAGAGAACAACGTAACGACCAGCCTTACTTGTCTTGGATTTCCATGTATCAGCTTTTACAACATAACTAATACATAGTAGAAATTTCAAATTATGTACTCTTCCTCACCCAGAAAGGAATGCATGCATGTATGCATGTTGCAGTAGTAAATGCTGAAAACATCAAACACATGTAAAGAGACCTTTGGCAACAAATATCTAACATAAACATTGGAAAGAGCATCCAGATATAACTTGATAGTGGTATGCCTTCAGTACTGAGTACTTTGGGGTCAGCTAGAGTCAGTGACCCAATCCCTTGTAAAACTCCGTTAAGGAATTACGTTAAGTATCCCTCATTCCTTTCCCATATGATGCTACAATGTTCAATAAATACAGAGCAAAGCTCCTTGTTGGAGACACATGGCAAGAGACAGTAAGACATCAAACAGGCACAGACAGACACAGACACAAGGATGGATTCAGACTCAACAACAAACAGACTAATGACAACCCCAAAACCACAAACTAAGACAGACAGAAGACACAGGGAGAGAAAAGAATTCAAACTGGAATTGGCTCCTGATCAAATTAATCCAAGGGTAAGTGCTGAATTTTCCTTCCTTTATGTGTCACCAACACATTTGAGTACCTCTGGGTATGTCTTTAGTGCATTTAACTAATGCAGGTTGTAAATAATCTAAGCTCTAGGGGAGCATGTAAATGTAGATGTCTTATCTAGTCGTAGATCATAGGATAATGACAACTATGAAAATACAATATTCACCAACATACGTTCAAATATGTTTTCTACCTCTGGCTCAGCAAGTACAATATTTCCCAAACGTAAAATATTCCAGAATATTCTAACTAATATGCACTGGATATAAAAGTCTGATGAAGATGAAATCAATAGGGCAGGCAGGAGTCTGGTCACCAAAAATGACGGCAAAAGAAAGAATAGCTGGAATGCTACTGGCAAGAGAACAAGAGAGTCACATTGGTTTTTGAGGGTTAAAATGGGCCATTCCCAAAGACTGGGAAGCAGTTTAGAACACCATTGCCAAAACAAGGCCGAACTAGAGATCACAAGAAGAAAGCAAAAAATCAATAATGTAGCTTAAATTTGAAACAGGGACGCTTCATGGCCTCAACTTGATCTAAACTTAGAGAAATGGAAGACACAAAGGAGAACCAAGGAATGAAATGATCAGACAGAGGCTTCAAAGTGGTGGTGTTTGACTTGACGGGGTTACCAGCAGCACTGAGAACTTCAGCCATGTGTAGGCAAGTTACGGAAAAGGACAAATACAAATTACAGAGTTCAGGCTGAGTAGCTGGCTCAGTCGTTAACATGTTTGCTGTGCGAGCTTGAGCATCAGAGTTTGGATCTACAGAAAACCAGCTAAGTGTCAGGTGGGGGAGGCCACCGCCTGTAATTCCGACTTCAGAACACAGAGACAGAATCTTTCATAGTTAGCTCACTAGCAAGGTTAGCTGCATAGGAAAGTGCTGGGTTTGTTTAAGAGACCCTCCCTCACTGAATAATGTAGGAGAGCAATGGAGGATGAATCTTGACACCAACTTCCTGCACACACTTGCACACATACCCACGTGCACCCACACACATGAAAAAAACATACATGCAAAATGGAAAAAGGAAAAAAATTATATAGAGACTTGAATATCACAATAGCTACACTTAAGCGAACTGGTGAATTTCATGGAAGGTTTTACACACCTAAGAATAAAGGAGTATGTTGGAAAGCATGCCAGGAAGAAGTACCCACTAAGGCACATGCATACAAAGTAACTGAGAACAGGAAAATGCATGTTATTTGTAGAAATTACATTTTAAAAAAACAGATGGAATATATAGTTAATTAGAGTTCCAAATTAGACAATAAGAAAATACTGAAGGAACTAGTAACTAAGGAATATGGAGGAAATACAGAGTAAGCTGTAATTTCAAAAGGCATGTGCAGAATAGATGAGAAATCTCTATCTCAACTCACTGGAGCCATACTACTAAACTCCAAAGTCGAGGAGAGTATTTTCAAGGATTTCAGAGATTGAGGCCTATCATCTTCAAAAAGGACAGGAAGACAAGAATAAGAAAGGTGACCCTGTCCATGGAGCATGAAAAATGCTGGAAATCATAAACCAATGAATAATATGTTCAAACTGCAGAGTGAAAATAAATGCCAATCCATAAGTAAAGAATAGTGCACAGAAAAAAATTAAAATAACGTCTTCAGAAAATGATAATTCACACTAAGAAAATACATGGGTGATGTTAGTTGGACACATATACTATACATAGTTATTCCATGAGCTGGAGAGTTGACCCTGTGTAAGGGTTAAGAGCTCTTCTTGCTCTTTCAGAGGACCTGGTTCGGCCTCCAGCTCCTACAGCTGAACACACAATCATTTGTAACCCCAGGTCCAGGGGATCTGATGCCCTCTCCTGGTCTCTGTGGGCACTGCATGTGAGATACATTACATTCAGTCAAAACACTGACACATATAAACTGAAAATAAAGAAATCTTTAAAAAATGATTCCATGCACAAGCTCAGAGATATTGGTTAGACTATAGATGAAGAGAAAGTTCTATGTTTGGGGAAATTCTAAAAGAATACTGATTAGGTATAGCAAGAACGTCTTTGGGTGTTTAAATTATCAGGAAATTAAAATCAGCAGCTACAGTAGCGTGTAAGCCAAAAAACCTTTTAGGGAGGGTTTAAAACACGGCAGTCTTTCATTTCTTCAGAATGTGATAAAATACTATTTCATATCAAATGGCAATAATTGAAGGCTGACTGGGGATGAGGTAACCAGTCAATAATTATTGAAGATGTCCGCTATGAAATTCATAAAAATAAAGATGAACAAAAAATGCTTGATTTTTAAAAAGTAAGAAAAAGAAAGGGAATAATTTTAGAACCAGAATGATAAATGAAAACCAAAAACAAAGGGGTTCAAAGGTAATACATCAGGAATCACAGAAAATCTGAGGACTAAAAATCTAGCCTAGACCTTTTAAAGGCCCAGACACCTACTACTTAAAATAAACATGCCCTAAGAGCATACAAATACAGAAGGTTAAAAGTAAAAATATAGAAAAGGAGATCAGTATCCCACCAGCTACCACAAGAAAGCTGGTGTTGTGGTATTAGGACCAAAGGGAGGCAAACTTCAAGAAAAAAAGAAAAAGGCACACCTCAGAAGCTCAATGGAGCAGGAAGCCAAAGTAGCTTGAAATATTTCCGGAAATAACATCTCAAAAGTATAATGCAAACATTGATAGAGTCAGAAGTATAGCAAAATCAATAATCACATTAAGTTGTGTTAACAAGTCTAAGTTAAACTAAAAGAGAATGGGGAAGGATAAACCCGCTGACTTGCATAACGCAATCCACAAGCCCAAATTTCAGTGTTTATGCTGTCTTCAATACGCAAGAAACATCAACAGAAGTTGAACATAGGCTGGCCCAAAATGCCAGCCTCAGATTTCAAAGTTCTGAAATTGTCTAGAATGTGCTGTCTGTCATACTTCTTTATGTCACAACCAGAAATGTTACCTTAAAAAAATTACCCAAACACTGTGACATTTGTGAATTAAGCGACCCTTCAGAAACATCTAGAATCAAAGAAGATGTCACAAGGAAAATCGGAATAATTTGAGAATGATAGATTAAAACCTGCAGAAGTCAACCAAGATGCAGTTTCAAAGAGAGCCACAACCTTAAATCTGCATATTAGAAACTCGGGCTTAATGACAGAAAAATCTGTCTCACAATGTTCATAAAATAATAGCAAATTAAAAGCAAAAATCAAATAAAGTAGTAGGGAGAACTAGACAAGAACAGACATTGATGAAGCAAAGAAAGAACAAATTAATAAGAGAAGATTTATGAGGTCTGCAGTTAGTACCTTGAAAACATCTCTAAAGTTGACAAACTCCTGGCAGAGTAATGAACTAAAGAAAGGAAGAAAGTGGAACTAAAAGACACTGGAAATTAAATCCTATGGACATTAAAAAGAAAATAGAAGTATATTTTAATAGTATCATCTTAGTGTATCAAAATCAAAATTTCTAAATGAGCATACCATATCAACACTGTCACAAATAGAACCGGGTAAGATGAATAGTTCTTTAGCTCTTAAAGACAACTATATAGGACAATGAACCTTGTCCTCCGAGAATGTCTGTCCAAGTCCTGGGTGATGTCACTACTAAGGTCTGTATGTGTGTAATAGGAGAGCTAACGGGTTTATTACTTTCTAGTTTCTTCTAGAAATCTGAAACATTTCTAGAGTAAAGAAAACTGAAGTTTTGCTCTATTTACTTTACAAAGCTAGACTGCCCATGTGTGAAAATCTGACATAGATATAACACAGGAAACAAGATCTCAGAACATTCATGATACAAAAGCTAAATTTAAAAAAAAAAAAAATTCTAGCAAGTTAAATGTTGATGGTGTGTATGCACCATGCCGAGGGATTCCAGGAATGGAAGATGACTGTAAGATCCCCAAAGCAATCTTGTCATTTGCGGTGATTTAAATGAAAAAGCCCCTATAAGCTCATGTGCTTGAATGTATGGTCCCCAGTCCACAGAATTATTTGGGAAAGATTGAGAGGTGTGGCCTTGTTGGAGGAGGTCTGTCACTGGGGGTTGGCCCAGCTAACGCTATGCACTTAAAAGAAAAAAAACTCAATGAAGGACTGATGATAAGACTTATCACTAAAGTGCTTGCATTCAAATCTAAGGACACGAGTTCAATCCTCAGGACCCATATGGTGAAGGGTGAGAACTGAGCCCCACAAGCTGTCTTAACACGCCTGTCACAGCAGGTACATGTACACACACACACCAACAACAACAACAACCACCAACACCACCACCCCCACACCACACTCATATTTAATCACAACAATCGAACTCAAGAAGAACAAACACTATCATTCATCAGGAAATATAGTAAAGACAGAATAGGACACAATCTGTCACCTGAAATGTAAACTCTACAAAGAGCAGGGCTGCCGGAGCTGAGTGGCAAAGCTCTTGTCTTGCATGTGCAAGGCCCTGGGTTTCATCCCCAGCACTGAGGGATGAAGGGAGAGGAAGGGAGTGCAGGTTAATCACACCCTGCGCTATCAGATACAGACACATTAGAACACTAGCATTTGGTCATATTCTCCACAACCCAACTGCTTCATTCTTCTGCAGAACATTCCACAAAACTGCAAGCATGCATGAACCCAATGGTATGCACATGGAGGTTTCCACTAGCTTTACTTTAACTGGAAACTACTCAAGAGTCTGACGATGAAGGTGAAATACTATACAACAATTTAAAATGGACAATGACCCGAAAGTACAGACTGCGGTGTGGATGGTTCTCACAGGTTTACTATTGGTCCAAAGAGGCTAAATACAAAATACTGCACACAGATGACTCAAATATGAAGTTCAGAAACCAGTAGAACTAATGTAATAGTCTAAATTAAGAAAGCGGTGATCCTGGGAATGAGGAAGGCATATTTTGGTTTGGTTTTTCAAGGTAACAGAGGAAGTCTTTGGAGCTAATGGTAATAGTTAACCTTGACCTTGGTGGTAAGGGCAATTAAAGGTGCATTTACTTTCTGACAACCCATCATCACTTGTCTACCTGTATGTCATTCATCTATTTTCTACATATATTTTAAGCACCAATGAAAATACTTTAAAGCATGCCATTTGTTTCCCAGGACAAAGAAATGTGTAAAATCTGCAATAAGTTACAATAAAATGACAAGGAAAATTAAGAAATGCAGCAAAAGACTTAGACAGACCTGAAGAGGATTAAAAAACGGACAATAAACTCAACAAATGGGCGATCCCATTGATAATTAAGAGGAAAAAAACCTAAATTAAAAACTACAAGGCAGCATTTCACGTTCACCAAATTGATTTTTTTTCCAACAGGGTATATATATATATCTCCCTGGCTGTTCCAGAACTCTCCATGAAGACCAGGCTGACATTGAACTCACAAAGCTGCCTCTGCTTTCTGAATCAAAACTGATTTTTGAAAATTAAAGTTTACAGACAGTTATCCTAACCTTATAAGGAATCGCCTATAGGCCTAATGAGTCAATTTGATATAAAACTTAGGAAGCAGTTTTTGACATCGGTAAAGCAGAATGAATTATTTATTTGTGCCTTTGCCATCTTGAAAATGCCACACTGTCAAAGATGCCAAAGACAGGTGTAAGGACATTGATTTCCACATTTCACACCGGGAGCCAATGAACATAATTGAAGATGATGTATGCTACAGGTGGGCTTTCAGAAGGACAAAAGGCTTTGTTTTGAATGACCTCGCATGGGAAGATGGTTGTACCAGGTTAGGGAGAGAGAGGATGGGAGGGATACGCTGCCCTGGAACGAGGACTACACACTAAAGCAGACAACAGAGAAAAGAGTTAATAAATAATTTGCTGGTATGGATGAAACTGTCAATGAAAAAACTCAGCAAAGAAAAAGGAAGACATTTGAATAATCCTGTCACCACAGAACAAATGAGGAGAGGGGACCTGACAGATGAAAAACCCATAAAGGAAATTCACGACCCAAGTGGTTGGAAGCAAGCAGAGGGACCTGAGACCCAGTGTCGAACTGTAGCTATTCTGCCAAGACAAAGCCACGGTTCGAGTGAAAGCGAGATGAGGAAAGACGAGCATGAGAAACTGTTCACATTTCAAAGGGGACCGGCTAAGATGCAGATGTTAACTTCCAAATACAGCGTTATATGAGGCTGTGACCAGAATTGATGATAGTGGCAGCCACCTGCCGGGGGCAGTGTGTGTCGAGTAACCCGGAACAGGGATGGCAGTGGTCTTTCTTAGGCGTGACTTTGTATAATTCCTAATTTTTATAGCACCAGGACATCACAGTCACTCAAACAAACCAATGTGAGTGAAAAAAGATAGCAAGAAGAGCCTGAAAAAAATGGATAATTAGGAATATAGAGAAAATACAACAATATTGCAAAACAGTAACAACCATAAGTTTAAAGTAGTTATCAGGGTCACAACCACTTATTGTCTTAGACATACAGAATACCAAATTTGCCCTGAAGGACTTAATTTTCCCTCGAAAAGAAAAGCGGGTTTTATAGAAGAAGAGAAAATAGTATCAATAGAGGTTCTATATTGTTGCTTTTTTGTTTTTACCTTATACCACTTTATTGAATCCAAAATACAGCTGTCTGGGAAGTACAGATGACACATCAGACTGCCTGATTTTCCCATGGGTAAGGTTTGTTGATACTCATCCAATGAACTTATGGGGCTCTCCACGGAAGAATCACACCACTGCTTTCTAAAAACAGTTAGGTTTACAGCTATTCGGTAACAGCTGTGGGCATCCCTATAAGAAAACAGGTTGAACCCAATGAATGCTTACACAGTCCCAGAATTCAATACGTCATTTTCACATCTTTCCTAATTCTTTTCTAGACATTGTACAGACCCTATGCCTCATACGAAATAACAAGCAGTCCACAAACCATGCATCACCCAAAGAAAAGAGGTATTTGTGCAGTGGAGACAGCAGCATCTCATTCAGTCCGGCCCAGGAGGGGCCAATAAACACCGAGGGCCTCTGGCACTGTTTCTCTGAAGAGACTAGACAGTGTTTGTGCTGGATTCGTTGCAGCCACAAAAGCCACCTACACTTACTCCTAAAGAAGTAACTGATAAATCAGAGGATTGGTGAAATATAAAACAACTCTCTGTAATCCTTAAAAATGTGGATGGGGTGAAAACCAAAGACCCAGAGCTGCTCCAGATTAACAGAGATTAAAGGTACATGGGACACGCCCAATCTACAGGTGGGAAAAGCAAGGTTTGGAGAGAGAGCACAATATGTTGTCATCGGTCAAGCTAGTGTGGGAAGTCACAGAATTAGACCTCTCTAGCCAAACGTGATTTACAGGAGGGTTTTACTGAAATCTTGAAAAGCTTTACAAACTGAAAAGGAGAGGGAGGGAGGAGAACAGACTGACAGACAGACAGATAGAGAATATATGAGCAAAAGGAGCACCTTTGGTGGGGCATGTGCGTCCAATTGACCATAGTTCTCTCCAAGCTCAACTGTCTTTCACGGAAATAGCTCAAAAGGCCACTGTCACTCAATGACATTACATCTGGCACAGGGGCTCATGTAGACTCTAGAACATCTCCCAGGCTCGCTACCTTTTCAATGCTGGCTTTAAGCAGGTGCCTTACGAAAAGTTTTTGAAGGAGGCTCATTTTGATCTGGATCAACCAGTGGTCAAAAACTTTCAATATTCTGAGGAAATGGCAACGATAATATTGATATCAGCATACCTTGTAAGCTGGTCTGGGCTGAAACAACGTCTCAATGAAAAGGATGCAACTTGTGCTCCAAAACTGATTCATAAATCTGTTCTGCTCTCAAATGTGCTTGCTGGAAGTCACCTCATAACCGTTTAAGGCCATCCTGAAATGTTGACTCAATGCGCTTTGCCTCGACACACATCCTTGCTGGTTGTGGCGGCTCACACCTGTCATTTAGTACTTTAGGGGCTTGGGTGAGATGGAAACTGGTCTAGGCTTTGTAACATGTCTCAAAAATCAAGGTTAATAATACCCATTTTCTTCAAAGATGTATACAGAAATGAAGAGGGAAGTGTGTGAATTGGTTCTCCTTTAAATGAACTTACCTTATAACACAGTGGTAGATGCCCGAGTCCTCATTTGCCAAGGGAAGAAACAAAATCCAGGTCCCATCCTGGTGATTTCTAAGCTGTCTGTTATGGGAGAGTGGACTTTGGTTGGGTGTTTTGTACCATGTCAGATTGACTGCCCCGTTTGTTGCTGGAGGGTATGAGCAATTGAAAGCAAAAGGCTGGCCCTCTGAAATGATCTCATAGTACATATCAGTATCTTTACACCTCCCTAGGGAAGGAAAGGAAAGGACAAGAAACACCATGACAGAAAACTGGTGTTGTTACTCATTTTAGAAAACATCTTGTTCTGGGCAACGTGAATTTTTGTTTGGGAGTTTCCAAACCCAGTCGTTTAGAAGCATAATGCCAAGGCCTTCAAATGTATCACCAAGACAGGCCTTCTGCAGGCCCTCCACAAAACCACCACTTCCTTTTGCCTTTATTCTTCTATTCTTCTGCCCTTAGTTCTCTGTCCTCCTCCTCAGCCCCGACCCCATTCCCGTACTTGCAGTCCGTTACTGCCTTGAATAAAAGGCATCCTCCCCGCACAGTGGATGGTTTTAAAGACGCCTTCCTTTTAAAGCCCATTTCTACCAAGTTAGTTTTTCTTAGAAATTTGTTCTGTCTCTGGTAGCTTTGGACCATAAAACAACCTGTTATACAAAATAGACGCCACTAGTAATCCAGCCACGTCAGCACTGGAATTGAGTCCACGAGCATTTGGACTTCTCCATATCACCTAAATTACTCCAAAGTTCCAAGGTGACATTTGGGATTGAGCCTCCAAGAACTTGGGAATGAACTTTTTCTATTTCCCCATGTCTTGGACTCTGCCTACCAGATCATCTGGGGGCAAGAGTGATAAGCAAGGCTGGGGCTTAGTTGATGCCTTGAAGGTAGGTCAGAGGCCTGGTAACAAAGGATGCTCCCCTCAAGGTGACAGGTCTCTGGGACCCAAGAACTCACAAAACAAACGTACCTGCTGTCACAAAATGTGGAAGCGCGAAAGACACCCCGCAAAACAGCAAAGGCAACATCCCCATTTTGAGCTACAGGGGAAAAAGAAGACAACAGGAACAGTAAGAGGGGCAACTGGGCTGGGTGCATCTTCCCACAGGCATCAAGGCTCAGACTTCTGAGAACCCAATCCTCCACGTTGGCCTCACCATCCCAACGCCGGCCTGCCCCCACCCTTATTCCACACCACTTTTCTGTGCCAGACCTCAGAAGCCAGAAAACTCAGTCTGGCCTGTGGAGGGGACCGGTGGGGAAGGTTAGGGGCCAGGGGGCAGATATAGTGGCATGTCTTTCTGCCACTTAAAGCGATCCCACTGCAGCCAGAGCAGGCTACGGACCCGCCCAGCGTGTGCCTGAGATCCGCCTGGGACAGCTGAGCTCCCCGGAAACCCCAGACTCTCGCTGGCTGAGCAGTGGTCCCAGGTTCATCTGGGAAGGGCGGGCAGGAGGAGGAGAGAATAACCCGAGCCTGAAGACCCCCAACTCACGTTCAGGCTCCACGCCTGGGCAGGGACAGTCACCAAAGCCGCCCCTCTGTCCTTCCCTAGCATCAATGCTGCCCGGGGCAGGGGGAGCGGGGAGCGGGGAGCGGGGAGCGGGTTGGGGAGGATCCACCTGCCTATGGGATCGCAGAGCGCGGGGTCTCGTGGAGCAGAGCGGGAACCCCGCCAGGGACCGGATCCCCGTCAGTCACCGCATTCCACAGCCTGGGCATGCCTCTCCGCCGCGGGCGGAGCAGACTCACCTTCCCCAAGTGGAACAGGACAGAAAGAACCCAGCCCTAGAGAGACGTTCCGTCTTTTTTGCCTGATTCCAAACTAACATGTTCATCTATCGGGAATGTCGGCTTAAATCTGCTCCAGATTATCGCTTTAAAAAAAAAATATTTCCTTTCCTTTCCAACTCTATTAGAGTGGTTCTTACATGCCCAGCACTGCCCTAATATGGACTATCCCAGAAGTGGAAGAAGTCATTCCCCATGGCTTCTGCGGAAAGACATTAACCCTCTGTCGTCACACTCGATCTGCAAAGCAGACATCCTACAGGTTGAGCACCGCTCCTGTCTAAACTCGCCTTAAAGCGCTGCTCACCCAGACCTGTTGTCCTGAGGCACCGGAGACCCTCCAACCCCTACCCCACTGAGGAGAAAGACATCCAGTGCAATCCGCCCACCAGCTTCTTAGCTGGGCTTTCCTAGTGGTCTTTGTGGAATTAGGGACAGTGAGACTTTCGAAACCACCACAGCGTCAGTCTTTTCTGTGAGCTGTCCCACGCTCACAAAGTTAAGAAGGACAGGTGCCACCCATCATGCCTTACCAGAAGTACTCGGGACCCCAACCTTACACTTCCGGGATGATCTCAGTGTCAAATAAGTTTTTTGACTCATGAAGAATCAATCACTGGGCTTGGGATACAGAACAGATTTGAGGAATGCGAGCTTTTCAACAAACAACATGATGTTAAGCAAAATAAGAAATAGTCTAAGAAATAGATGCTACAGGTTCGGCCAGTATGGAATTTAAATAAACAGAAAACTCAAATGTGGAAGAAACCGGTACGGGGAGGCCAGATTTGATCAGTATAAAACGAACGCCAGTCATGTAAGCAATTAACACAGAACTGATTAAAGTTTTAAAAATGAAAATGAGAAACTGTAACATGTTTGCCTGCAGAATCTCCCAGAACAGCAGGTAGGAAGGAAATGAATGCGTGCTTGCAGAGGTCCAAAGAACAACTTTAGCTTTGTTTATGACCGCCAGAAGAAAGTCTGCTTTGGGAGAACTTTCTGAATTCAGTCTCTTCCCTTGTACGCTCTGCTCTTCATTTTCATGTCTTTCCAGTTAAGTGTGTGCCGTGCAGTTGTTAAGGGCAACGTAATTCCAAGCAAGTCGTGTCATGTAAGCAGCGAACGAGGAAGGAATCTTCTCTGGGCTTCCTGTAACTATCCTCCATGCCCAAACTCTCTTCTTAAATTAGGTGCTTATTCTCTCTTCCTCCCCACTGTGTGTGTGTGTGTGTGTGTGTGTGTGTGTGTGTGTGTGTGAGAGAGAGAGAGAGAAAAGAGAGAGAGAGAGAGAGAGAGAGAGAGAGAGAGAGAGAGAGAGAGAGAGAGAGAGAGAATTCCTTAAGCAATATAAGGTATTCTTATTTGGCTTCCTTAGTCATTGTATAAAATTGTCTACATTGCATGCCTATATAATCTACTTCTTCATAGATAGAAGCATTATAGTTGTGGGATTTAAACATTCGAGGTGTCGTCCTTCTTCATACAGGCATGCTGTTACATAGCATACAATTGTATGAGCGTGTGCAACCTGCACATCCCTCTCCTTCGGCCGTTGTGGTTGTTCCAACTTTCCATTTTGCTACTCATCGTAAAGAGTGTTGCTGTGTCAGCCTGGCAATGTCCTCTTGCATGTTTGAGAGCAGTTCCCAGATTACTAAACGAGTGTGTCTTCATCGGCATTGGCAGACCTCTAAATTGTTTCCATGGTAGCATCCTCCAGAGAAGGATTCCATTGCCCGGTGTTCTTGCCAAACATTAAACGCATTCCCAATGTGCCCGATGACACAAACAGGGCTTAGAGAGACGGACCCTTCCAAAGCGTGCAGTCATTGTTTTCTGGCAAATCCAGTTCTAAAGGATCGTCAACAGGTAAGAAGCACATAAGATAGCAATTCCATTGAGAAGACAGGAAAGGTGTCACAGTCACAGCCTCGCTCCTGAGCAGTGGCCTGGAGCCCAGCAGGGACACAGCTGGGAGAAGGGCTCTCCTTTTCTTTTTTAAGGTTTGTTTTTATTATTTTTAATCGTGCAGGTGAGTGCAGGTAATCATGGGTCCAGAAGAGGATGCCGGATCCCTTGGGGTTGGGATTACAGGGGGTAGTAAGCTACCTGATAGAGGTTCTGGGAACCAAACTGGTCTTCTGCGGCAGCTGAGCTGTCTCCCCTGCCTGGGAGAGCTCTCCTGGAGAATGGAAAATCAGGGCAGAGTTTGGAGAATTCCAACAAAACTGAAATGAATGCGATGTGGTCACCCCAGCAAAGAAGGGGAGAGTTAGGTAAACAAAGGAGTGGAAGGAGATGGGGGCAAGATCACATGGGGCCAGAGAAGAGCAGTAGAATGGCTGAGTTTACTATAGGTAAAATTAAAAGATGTTAGAATACTTACATCAGGAAAGTGTAATCTCAAACTCATTGTTTCAATGTTATCTTTACCACTGAAGACCACCAAAAGAGACCACTAAGTGGACTCCGTGGGTCTTAAAAACAAAGAGCACTTGAAGTTGGGAAGGAATGGTATGGTGTGGGGTAGGGGACAATCTGAGGAAGGAAAGAGGTAGACATCATATTCAAAACCAGGTAAAGTCGGTATATGCTACTGAACATCAGGATAGTGTGTTTGTTCCCTTGGGACACTGGTGGTGGGGGTTGGGACCTCGACCAGCAGGTCGTTCTTCAGTAACAAGGTCCTGAGAGAGAGGACCAGGAGATCAGAAGTTAAAGCGGATAGAAGATAAGAAAGTTTGGCATTAGGAAGTCTTGTACAAGCTACGCCTTATGCCACACAAGCTTATTAAAAAGTGCAGCATCTTATATACTTTTCCAGGGGAGAAATGGGGTGGTCAGAAGGAGCTACCATACACTGGGACGAGGTCAGCAGGAAGCTAATCAAACAATGTTGCACAAGGGGAACTCGGGGTATCTCAAGAACATTACAGACCAAGCTCACAGTGGCCTTGAGACTGATAAGCAATAGCCCCATACAGTGGGAGGAGTTGGGTTCTCAGGATCTGAAGCCACAGCTCCCCCAGGGCACTGGCTCCAGGCCACTTGGTTAATATCAACCAAGTAGATTCCTGGCTTAGAGAAGGAGCTATGTTCTTTCCCCATGCATCAGGGCCTCCAGGAAAGCCTCGGTTGATCAGTCAGACAAACTATCAACAGATGCCCAAGGAAGATGCTCCCTTATTGGGGTCTTTTTTTGACCTATATGCTTGTGACATTGGTTTGCTCACTTACAGAGTGCGTTTTCCAAACCTGCATCCCGATAAATCAAGAAAATCCCTTGGGAAAAACTCTTAGGAGGTAGGGTTACAAGGCCCCAGTCAGGTGGCCCCTAAACAGTCTATGAAATAGGTGACGTGGCTGGGGTTTACCCATGACAGTGGAGATTATTATCTGGAGACACAGTTTGGGTCTGTACCCATGTCTCAGCTGTCTAACTTATATGAAATTTAGAGAGCAGCAAACCACACAACGGAGTAGAACCTAAAGCCTGGACATCTGTTGGGTAGAGTGGCAAATACCTGATTCTAGATGGGGCACTGCCTGGTATAATAACCAGCACCATAGAGCTTAATGGATTCTGTGTTACCTTTACACTCATGCCCATGCAGGCACACATTCACAAAGTTCTTCAGCTTGTGCTTGAAGGAATCCACTGCCTCCAAGACATCCCACTCCAAAGTAGAGTCCTGTAAGCAAATCACTTCCCCCTGCAGAAAAAGGAAGCCTGACTGTGCGGCTTTCAGTTGGGAACTCTTGTTCGGTACTCTAGGTCTGTAGAAAGAGGAACCTAGTTTGTCTGAGAGCTGTGTATCTAACTTTGCTGTGATTCCTCGATGACCCTCCTTTCCAGAACAAGAAACCAAAGTCAGAGGTGCTGACAAGTCTTCAGAACCCTCACCTTTAGCTGATGGCTCCTGGTCCTTCAAGCCTGGACAGCAGGGAGCCATCTTTCCTAGCACTTTGCAGGTGAGGCTCATAGTCACAGGACCCACAAGCTGATGGCATATTTTGGTTCCACCCAGCACTACTATTAACACCCCAGATCCTTTCTTACTCTGGCTGTTCCTGGGCCGTGTTTTCAAACCAGCTGTGACATATTTCCATATCAAAAATGAAAGGGCTCATATCTATCCCGCATCAATGCCATCTGGAGAAAGTGGGTGGTTAGAGTACCTGCCTCCTGTCTCAGCATGATTGCTCACTGATGAGGGCTGGCGTGAACTGGGAGCAAAGGCTGTCCCAAAGGCCAGGTACTTCTAAATACAGTTTTTAGACACATTAATACTTAAGAAATACTCATTTCAAAGGATATTGATTTTGACCACCAAATTTGCAATGATGTCCAGATGAATACTTAATTCCACTGCTGCCTTGCATGTGAAAGTGTTGTGCAAAGTCTCTGGGGAGTGTTGTCAGCCAAGAACCTGAAATACCCATGTCCTGTGCAGTCACGCCAAGTAAATCACCAGGGAGGGGACCAAAGTTATTTTCGGAAGGATGTTTTGTCATTTAGGCTGTGTATATTTAAAAGCGGGGAAGGGAGGGAATCTAGATAGCCAACAAAAACAGAAAAGCCATTCATTCGGCAGCCCTTAATAACAACTTAGAGAGCATTCTTCAAATATATTAGCATGAACAAAGATTTGGGCTAAGTTTTTGTATGTATGTGAATGTGGATGTGTGGGTATGTATAGGGGTGGTGTGTGTGTGTGTGTGTGTGTGTGTGTGTGTGTGTGTGTGTGTGTGCAGGTGTGCAAATGACATGGCACACATTTAGAAGTCAGAGGATAACTTTTAGTCCTTGACTTTCAACCTTTCATTTTTAACTTTATTTTATTTAGTTAGTTACTTAATTATTCTTATCTTCGTCATCTCTGGTGGACTGGAGACAGGTGGGGATGAGAAGAGAAGGGATCGGAGTCAGGGGAGGGATGGAGGAAGAGAGCACTGGGAGAGACAACTGGAAATGGGGCAGCAGACACTTGGGGGATGAAGTAGAAACCTAGTGCAATGGAAACTCCCTGGAATCTACGAGGGTGACCCTAGAGCAAATTTCTAGTAATGGGGGACACAGAGCCTGAATGAACTGGCCATCTTCTGTAACCAGGCAAGGCTTCCACTTGAAGACTGGGATACCAACCCAGCCACAAAGCCTTCTACCTACAATTTGTCCTGCCTGCAAGATGTGCTGGAGTCAAGGTGGCGCAGAACTTATGAGAGTGGCCAAACAATGATCTAACTTGAGAGGGAGTCTACACCTGATACTGCCTGGATGGCCAGCAACCAGATGCTGAATAGCCCAGAGAGCTAGGGTAGAAACAAACATGACTTGCCAAAAAAAGAAAAAAAGTCAATGACATGATTCCTAATGATATTCTGCTAAACTCATAACTCATAGATTGGAGCCTAGCATAATTGTCATCAGAGAGGCTTCATCTAGCAACTGATGGGAGCATATGCAAAGACCCACAGTTAAACATTAGGCTGAGCTCAGGAAATCCCGTGGAAGAGGGATAGGAAGAATTGTAGGAGACAGAGGGGTCAAGGACACCAGGAGAACAAGGCCCACAGAATAATCAGGGCTCATAGGAGCTCACAGAAACTGAACTGACAATCGGGGAGCCTATATGGGTCTGACCTAGATCCTCTGCATATATGTTATAGTTGTCCAGCTTGAAGTTCCTGTGGGACTCCTAACAGTGGGAATGGAAGCTGTCTCTGTCTCTTTTGCCTGCTCTGGGGACCCTTTTCCTCCTACTGGGTCTCTTCGTCCAGCCTTGATGTGAGGTATGTGCCTAATCTTATTGCAACTTGCTATGCCATATTTGGTTGATATCCCTGGGAGGCTGGCTCATCTCTGAAGGGAAAAGGAGGAGAAGTGCATCTGGGGGAGAAGGGAGGTTTCCAGGAAGGGGCTGAGAGGAGAGGAGGGAAAGGAAACTGGTCAGGATGTAATAATGAGAGAAGGAAAAACAAATGAATTACCATGGCCACTGCCTTGTGGCTTTTCCCTCTCAGCTTTTGATGTCTTGGTTGGGAAAGAAGAGAGTGCATGCTAGACAAGCATTCTAGGATGGAGCCTTCTCCTTCCACTCACAATAATGCCACCTAATTTCTCTATGCCTATAATGAGCACTTAACCAATAACCTCTGAGAAAACTTACTTCAAAGGTTACAGTCAAAATAAGTAAGTGAAGAATATAAGATATTTTATCATGCAGAGATGGGTAAGGGGAGCCCACTGCTCACTTTGGCACTGGGCAGGTGTTAAATATTGTTAAAGCGCCATTGAAATACATTAAAAATTGCTGTTGGTGTTAATGCTGGATTCCTTAAGATCTTATTGTAAGCATTGTAAGCACTCCTGGTGAGTTTCCTGTAGATGAGCAATGATACTTAGGAAGAGGCGATCTGACGACCTAATTTGCTACAGCTAATCTTGCTGCTCTGGTTGCCTTCAGGAAATGGACTGTCAGTCATATAGCCAGCCTGACTATACTTGGGACAACACTGGCCATTTTGAACTCTCCGTGGATGCCTTGAGAAGGCAAGCACCCCAAGATCTCCACTGAGTGTGCTGGCTCCTGAAGGTGTAGCCTCAGCCAGGCAGTTTCAAATCACTGTACTAGATTTATTGCTACTTTGGACCTTAGTGAACGCCAAAGGCTGTTGCATCCTCTTCCACCCAGACCAGAGAGGGAGCACATGCCCTGGTGGCCTAGTAGAAGGATTGCCGTGGCATGTGTATATCATGTGATATCAATGTCTGTAGAACCCTTCATTTGCATGTGATGTGCTGAGATGGCTACAAACCCCCTCGTCTATCTACCTAAGCATTCTGTTCAGACTCACTTGGTGTATTGGCTGAGACACCGTCCTAACTCCCTTCGGTTGTAATACTCACTCAGTGAAAGAGTTCTCCTGCATGGTCTCTTCCTGCCAACTTTAAGAAGGGGCTGAGCTGGTTGCCTGAAGAAAAAACGCAGAGACAGCTGAGCAGTAAGCAAGTTGAGCACTGAAAGGGACAGGGCAGCCAGCTGCCTGACAGAAAGAGGCCAAGCTGTAGAAGAGGAAAGGTGTCTGGCTGTCTAACTGCTGAAGAAGAGGAGAAAGATGACATTTCCTGTAATTTTCCCCTTCCGTAAAACTTGTTTGGGCACATGCACATGAGTGCAAACACACACACACACACACACACACACCCCTATTCATTTCCTGTGACTTCATTTTTCTTTAGAGCTGAGTAGGATTGTTTTTTTTTAAAATATGAACTACATATTTATTATCCATCCATCTGTTGATGGACAACTAGGTTGTTCCATTTCCTTGCTATAGTGAATACAGCAGCAATAAACACTGGGTTGTAAATACCTCTGTGGAAGGTTATGAAGTCCTCTGGGCCAGGAATGAAATAGCTGGTTCCTATAGAAAGAGTTCTATTTTTTTAAATTTTAGGAACCTCCAAACTGATTTCCATAATGACTGTATCAACTCGCATTCCCGCCAGCGGTGAATAAGATTCTCCTTCAGGTTCTTTCCAACGTGTGTTGCCAGATTTGTTGATGACGGCTGTTCTGACTGAGGTGAGATCCTATCTCAAAGTAGTTTTTCATTTGCCTTTTCCTGATGACTGGATGTTGAGCACTTAAAGAAATATTTACTGCCCATTTTGTGTTTCCTTTTTGGAAATCTATCTATTCAATTAGTAGCCATTTTGTTTCCTTGGCATTTGGTTTTTGCAATTCATTTTAGAGTCTGGAGATTAGCCCATGGATCTAATTGCAAGGGAAATTCGAGGCTTCCGAAGCAACCAAGCAGAACAGGGAATTCTGTTTAACTATCAAAAGTGTTCAAGAGTTCGAGGCCAGCCTGGTCTCCAAAGCGAGTTCCAGGAAAGGCGCAAAGCTACACAGAGAAACCCTGTCTCGAAAAACCAAAAAAAAAAAAAAAAGTGTTCAAGAGAAACAGCCACTGTCCACAGCCCTCAAGGTAAACAGGGTGCTGCATCTGACTCAGGCTCAGCCAACAAGTAAGTAAGATGGCTGGAAGTTTAAAAAAAAAAAAAAAAGGGTAGTGGGGGAGAGCAGGAGCCAGGCAGAAATAAGAAACAAGCACAGAACAAAAGCAGAGGTTGAGTCCCAAGTGAGTTGGAAACAGGCCATCCCTGTCATCAGCGAAGTCTGAGGGGTCCTTCTCAAGATGTACGAGTGACAGAAAACCGATAAGCCCCCAAACACGTCCTCGACCAGGAAACAAAACCCAAATAATACTCACAACCACTTCTAGGTAAAAGGTCCTTAAAAAGGTTGAGTAAACATGGCTCCCAGCAGGCTGAGCTCAGAGCGGAGTCAACAGGATCCTTCCTGCCCAGAGTCTAGTAATTCAGGCCCAACTGGTCTAACAGCTTCCCAACTCAGAGAGACAGTTAGTGTTTCACCTTCAGATTTAAGATGAATCAATGTACAGGAATTAGACGCTTCAATCTGCCAAGCTTTCCTCAGCAGACCCCCTGAGCAGCCTGGAGAAAGACTAGTGCTCACTTTAAATAGCGTCATCCATTTCCTGTAATGTTTTCCTCCTCTAAAACTTACTTGGGCACATATGCAAATGCCCACCTCGCTCCTACACGCAGAGAGGCCTTAATTCTGTTTATAAAATGATATAATTATGTCCCCAAGTCCCTCATCCCCATCTTGCATGCTGTTTCTTTGTTTATGATTTCCTCTCCCGCGTGATCTTGTTGCTGTAGTGGTTCATTTCTGCATTTTATTTTAGTGAACGTGAAAACCCTTTTCAATGTACCATTCACTAGGTGCTAAAACTAAGAAGGTATATTTGGAGATTCTGTCCCAGAGACTGGATGGAGGTGCTCCATGTGTGACCTAGGTACATATGGATTCTGGACGGAGGTGCTCACGTGACCTAGACGCATATGAAGTCTTACCACAGAGAGCAAAGCTGAGGTTCAAGGCAGCTGGTGCTCTGCTCTCATTCAGAATTATGCCTGGTCAGGAATTCATAACTCAGGTCTTTTTAAGCAGGTGGCACTTTTATGGAGAAATAATTCCAGAGACCTCTACCTCCAAGAGAAGCTAGTTTAAGACAAGCAGGGAATGTTATTTTATGGAGAGGGGCTACAATGACTTATTTATAGTTTTAGATCTGACCTAACACATTGCTAAAACAAATATTGTCAAAGAACAGAAGTACGCTGGAACATGGGTTTCGTTTGATGAGAAATTTAGAGAAGGCAAGTTTTCTAGATACCAGACTGCAAACTTTTGTGTTCCTACATTTTAATTTTTTTATTGAGTGGTGTACTCAACGAAACTACAATCTCTGATCATTGAAGTCAAGCAGCTTTACTGCATTTGATTTAGTTCATAGATGTTTGCATGAAGCATGAGGGTAAAGGGGCAATAATAACAATAGTGGTAACAGTAACAGGATATAAGATTTATATATGTTTACTGACCAATTTAGTGCTGTGTTGAGGATCAAACTCCCACATGCTAGACAACTGGTCTACCACTGAGCAACAGCCTAGACCTTAATCCAATCCACAAACAAAGGAACAGATGGGGCTACATAAGGGAAATCAGGGATTATGGGACTGTTTGACCAGTGACCTCAGACCCTGTCTTAGAGTTATCATTGTTATGATAAACACAGTGACCAAAGCCACCTTGGAAGGGAAGGGTTTATTTGGTTTACCTTCCACATCACTGTTCATCATTAAAGAAATCAGGACAAGAACTCAAACAGATCAAGAACCTGAAGGCAGGAGCTGATGCAAAGGCCATGGAGGGTTGTTGTTTACTGGCTTGCTCCTCATGGTTTGCTCAGTCTGCTTTCTTATAGCACCCAGGACCACCAGCCCAGGGGTAGATACATCCACAATGGGCTGAGCCCTTCTCCATTAATCACTAATTAAGAAAATGCTTTACAGGGTTGCCTACAGCCTGATGTTATGGATGCATTTTTTCAAATGAGGCTTCCTCCTTGCCTATGACTCTAGCTTGTGTCAAGTCGACATAAAACTAAGCAGCACAGACCTCTACTCCCACTACCCAAGAAGAACACTCTGCAAAAGGCATAGTCCTTTATATCAGGCCTTGGAACATGTGTAAGCTGAAGAATGGACAGATAGGTTTTCAATGATACTCAATAGAATGTAGCCAGAAGTTTTCCTGTGTCCTGCCTGGCCTGTGGTCAGGACAAATCACTCTCACCCGCCAGTCCTACAGCTGCTCAGACCCAAATAAACATACAGAAGCTTATATTATTTACAAATGATATGGCCTAATGGCTCAGGCTTCTCACCAGCTAGCTGTTATATCTTAAATTAACCCATTTCTATAAATCTATAATTTGCCACATGGCTTTTGGCTTACCAGTACTTTACATCTTGCTTCTCCTGGTGGCAGCTAGCAGCATCTCCTCTGTTCTCCATTCTCCTTCCTCCTCTCTAGCTAGAAAGTCCCACCTAACCTTATTCTGCCTCACCATTGGCCAAACAGCTTTATTTATCAACCAATCAGAACAACACATATTCACAGCATACAGAAAGATATCCACAGCATTAGAGGGTTTAACAATTTATTGGAAAACAAGTCGAGTCTATTGATTCATAATACACACTATACATAAATTTGGGGGTTTGTGATACATAATATTTAGCATCTGCTGTAGAATTATAAAACCGAGGTTTTTTTTAATAAAAAACACCCTTCATTATCGATCAGTATAAATATAATTTATAAAAAAAGTCATTAAAATGGCTCAATATTTTTTCTATCATTATAAGTAAAATTCAAAAGGCAGGAGAGAGAAAAATATACATTCTGCTAAACCAGTTTTAAACACTGGTAATTAAATACATCGTTGCATGTGCAAACTTCTGCGACACTTGCTTGGTCTTTTAAAAACACCATCAGAAAGCACAGTGAAATCCGAGTCATGGGGAAAGCATGAAAGATAGCTTAAGCCAGATACTTCTGGGGAGGAGGGGGCTAAGTCAAAGGAAGCCCCCACTGCTGGATGTGAAGTTTCATCCTCTTCACCCTCCCCAGGGGACCAGGAATGACACCACCTTCCTGTTCAGGGTCTTTCTTGGCACAGGTTTATCCCTTGCCTCTGCCCCCCACCCCACCCCCAGTTCTTGGTGTCACACTATTTGTGGTTCTCTGCTGTTGCTCGCTCATACTTTCTGGCCAAGTTTCCCATTAGCTCTCATTCACTCATACTATACACGTATGCCAATGCATTTTCTGGATGACAGGCAAAAAAATTTATCGGCAAAATTAAACTTTTAAAGAAAGCATCATGGGTTAGGCGCAGACTTCTGGTTGCCACCTGGGACAGCCTTGCTTTCTCTGACTCAGCAATCCAGTGACCCATCCACTCAGTGCTCGCAGGTTGGATCCAGGAGAAAAGAGGTCGAAAGTGAGAGTCAGAATCTCAAAGTGTGTGTTTTTCTCTACCTCTATGTAGGTGAGCAGATGCCTTTTAAATAATGTTTGTGCTCACCCATAGCAGATGTTCAAAACATGAAAAACAGAAGGGTACCCATATTCATACAACCCTTAAAACCGTAGGTTTCTTCTTGGCATGTGAACCTGGCTTTGCAATCTTCCACAACTATTAGGATTATTCTGAAGACAGTCATCAAGTTAAAAACAAACAAACAGAAAACTTCTGTACCACAAAAACCAATTGGCTTTCATTTGCAGTTAGAGAAGAAACGTTGACCTTCAGGGGGAAAGTATTGGGAAATAAAAACATCATGCTGAAAATTCTAAAGTTAGTTTTTATAAATTCCGTCACTGAAAAGAACTGTGTTTGTTCCTTCAGTAAAAACATTCCTGGACTCAACTGCTTCCTATAAAACACTCACATCTTCTCCCATGAAGATTGAGGTAAGGGTAAGCAGACAGTGATGGACCTGAAATCAAAAAGTTGGAGCACAGGGACAGAAGCCAGAAAGTTCAAGTTCAAGGTCTAGTTACAGTAGAGTTAAAAGAGTAATTCTGTAAATAGGTCAGTTTCTCTGACCTATGTATAAAATTAGAATAACTGCAAAATTTATCCAAGAACATTTTAAAATAAAGGTCTTGGCAAATCTATATCACATGTTCACATTGCAGAAAGCAATAAAGGACGGAGACACCCCCACTAGCTCTCCGTGCTGGCAAAGAAACCACCTTCTAAAGTGACCACGGGCAGGCGGCATGGTTGGCATGACAGACGGGCTTGGCAGCTTGAGTGGCCAAGATTTAGAGTAAGGAGAGATCAGGAGCTTGAGGATTCTAGCATTGAAATCAACTTGGAACTTTAGCAAATTCCTTGTCAGGTGAAGAAAATGAAGAGTGGATCCTAGTCACAGGAAGTGGGGAGCAAGGCAAAGACGGAAGGTGTGCTGAGAGCCAGCCGACATAAAGGCTCCACAGGCTGCTCTGTGGTCACACAGCAGGAAGGTGACCAGCAGGCTGACGGGAGAGGCCTGGGACAGGGAACAAGACAGGGAGGACTGCTGTGCAGACTTCAGCTTCTGCACATGAAGAGCCTGCAGACGTGCTGTAGCACCAGGGCGTGAGGTAAGAGCAGTCTCATGCATAAGGGTGAATCCTCGGGCTATGCTTATGGCAGAGTGGAGGGAGGCGGCACTGCAGAGCTACAGGTCCAGAGAAGCAATAAGTAAAATGCACAAGAATAAGGACGAGGCAACAGTCCTTCCAGAGCGGACGTGTGAACAGAAGAAACTTGTGGGTGGCTTCCTTCTACCGTTAACTTTAAAAACCCACTCTCTTTTGCAAGAAAGATAAGGTGGCTGCAGTGGAGGGAACCCTAGAGAATCCTTCTTCATTGAAATGACAGTTTTCGAGGTCTATAAAATAAAGTTTAGTCTTTGAAAACTAAGTTTGGTGGTCAAAGGGTCTGGAAAGTACAAGGAAGTTATGCCTTCTACTGTGGGGTGTCAGTAAACCTCACCTGCATTGAGGCTTAGGAGAGCCACTTCTTTGCCAATGACCCCCAAAGTGTCCTCAGACAGCCACAATCCCACTGTAAGGCTGCAGAGAATTGATTAAACCACCCACAGATGTGGCCATTTCCTGAAATCCTCCCAGTTCACTGCCTCAACAGCGAGTAAGCCTCCAGAGCCGCATCCCTGAGCATCCATTGCCCTGGGGCTTCCCAAACTCTCGATCCGAACTGTCCTAGCCCACTATTGTCACCAAGTCCTATTCCCTTAACATTCTGATTCCAGGTGACCCAGGGATAAGGGACTATGGAGGTGCATGTTCATGACAGTACACATAACTGGGAGGCGCAGCCCAGCTGCAGCATCCTATGACAGAAGGCATCCCAAAGTTCTTGGTCCACGTCTGTCATGCTAGCCGAGAGGTAAGTGAGTCTCTGCCTGCATTTTCTCCTTGGTGTCCAGGCCTAGTAAATGGTGTCTGGACATCGGAGACTGACGTTGGGCCGGCATGTGGTATCTCACGTTCTTCCAGAACCTGGTCTTTGCAGACTGTGGCCTCGCCTTAAAGTCCCCTGACCAGCGAATAGCTCCTTGTTTCCGCTTAATGAATTGAATAGATTCCGGCATTTTCTCATAGTCTTGGATGTTCTCCAACTCAAGCAGGACAATTTTAATTCCTTCCCGGGTGAGAGCATTGTAGAGTGCTATTTGCTCTTCAGATGAGTGACCCAGCCAGCTGAAGTCACCCATATATCTCATTAAAATGATAATCAGCCTCCTGCTTTTCTTTACATTTTCATTAGTAACCTCGATGGTATCTGCAAGACACAGAGCACAATGTGGTCAGTCAAGCTGCCACCTAGACATTCTTTCCTGAACTCAACACTCGGAACGTTCTTTGCAATCTCTGTTCTAAGGCTCCTGTTACTTTCCCCCGGCCTTACTTGAGGTCCAAAGACATTTTCATTTTACAGACCAGCTTAAGAACCAGCCCACAAGAGATGGACTTTGCTCTTGGAGCTCAGAAAATCCTCAGTCAAAACTTTTAAAACATCTTGCTAAATCATTTGATCTATAATACTCCTGGCTTAGTAAAACAGTTGCAGGGTAACTATTACCTATAACTAACTGTCATTAAATTTTCCAAAAGGATAAAAATCAATTAGACATTGACCCAACAAACTAAGAGAAAAATGTAACATTATACACCATTGAAGAAATTCTTTAAAGTCTTCAAATATGTCTGATGGTACCAACCCTCTAGAACTGGAGCTCAGCAGCTAACTTCACAAGAAGCATTTCCATACCTTCACCAGCATAGTCGTCCCTTCCACAAATGAACAGCTTATATCCAAACTGTCCCTCCAAGACCTCAGGCAACAGTTTAAACACAAAAGTATCTAAGTTTGAGGAGGATCCTTCTCCGAAAGTCTTGGGATAGAGAATATAGGCATCATAGGCCTTTCCGTCGGAAGCTAAAGCGAAAATGAGATGTATTTAGAACCATGCGGGGGTGGGGGGGGGGGGGAGTGGGAGATCTGATAAAGTCAACACTACAAACATTTGATTGAGCTTGATATACTCACCTGGCTGAAAGAACAATACCTTACATCTAATGCCACTTTAAAATTCAATGTGGTAGCAACTTGTAATTTTTGTTCCTATACTCCTAACATTTTAAAGAGTGGTATGCCTTCTCACACATTTTTATGTGCGCATTTGATTTTTCCCTCAGATATTTAAATAGTGTCCAGATTAATTGTTCTTATCAACTGGACACAAGCTAATCAACTGAGAAGATGGAGCCTCAGCTGAGAACACTTAGTAGGCTAGTTTGTGGGCATGCCTGGAAGGCATTTTCTTGATTGATGACTGATGTGGGAGGGCCCAGCCCACTGTAGGTGGTGCCACCCCTGGGCAGGTGGTCCTGAACGGTATAAGAGAGCAGGCTGAGCAAACCTTGGAGAGCAAGCCAGTAAGCAGCACTCCTCCCTGGTCTCTCCCTCCCTTCAGTTCCTGCCTCCACGGTCCTGCTTGAATTCCTGCCCTGGCTTCCTGACTATAAGGTGTAAGGTCAAATACACCCTTTCCTCACCAAGTTGTTTTTGGTGATGGCATTTTCTCACAGTAACAGAAACCCTAACTAAGACCAATAGTCACAAAGCCTGAAATCAGACTATAACCCTTGACTACTAAAAAAAACTATCGTATCACTCTTTTGAATATATAAAATATAATCTACATAATAGACTATTTTCTATACACTGACATTAACTTTAAAAGCAATTTACTCCTCATGAGTTTCACACATGTGCAGAGTGTATTTTGATCGTATCTACCACTCACTGATCCTCTTCAACTCCTCCTAGATCCCCCCTCTGAGCATTTCCCCTTCTTAACTTCAGGTCCTTTACTCATATCCCACTGAACCTGATTAGTGCTTTTTGTACTGGCATCAGCATAGAGCCGTCTTCCGAGCATGAGACGCCTACCAGGGGCCATAACATCACAGAAAACTGACTGTCCCCAGCAGCTAGCAGCTACAAATCGCTCCTCAGCTATGGGTGGGGTGGAATGGATGGGGTAGGGTGGGGTGAGGTGAGATCCTCATCCCCCATGCTGAGATGCTGATTGGCTGGATCTTGTGCAGGCAGCCACAGCTTCTTTTCTAACATTAGCAACTTGCAAACTGCTCCTATTGCCTTTGAACATGCACATTTGACTTTACCTACAGAATATTGTTAGTTACACTTGAAAGCTTTTTACTTTTCTGCAACAAAAATTGCATGTTGAGATTTTTTTTAACATCCGCATCAGTTTTCATTAATATACATTAACTTTAAAAAAATTATGAGTTTCATTGGGACATTTCCACCGATGTGCATAGGGTACCCAGATCACACTTACCCTCATGACCCTTTCTTTACTCCCCTCCCTCACAGCACCATCTAAAATTCTTGTGTCTTATGTGCTTTCTATTTATTGTGTTTTACAACAAAATGGTCCTCACACAGCATTTAATGCTACCCTATATACTTTCAATATGACCATACCTTTATCACCCTTTCCTTACCCAATTCTCTAAACATCTCAAGCCTACATTCTACTTTCTGTATTCCTTCTGTATGATGCTGTGATATTAAAGAGAAAGAGGGACTCTTCCTAGAGTGTGGAAATTTCTTTCTTTCATTTGAATGTGGATCATGGATCCATAGGGCACATGCAGCACAGAACATGTCCTAACAGTGGATTCTGGGTAACTAATTTACAGACAGATGTTCTAAACACCTGTATATCATGCCAATATGGAAGCTAGGGTGGTAACTTAGAAATGGATGACATCAAGGCTTATCAGTTATGAAACTAAATAAGAATAAATGTTCTTCTTGTCTAAGCCAATATTATCATTAAAAGCCTTCAGTAAAAATACTATGAATCATCTTTGAACTGTCTAGAGGAAACATTTAATGGAATATAAAAGTATACCTTTTGAGGGGAGGAAATCAGAGCAAGAATCCCTGTACCAAAGCACAATGTCAACCTTGAAGATTTTATAGATGAAAACACACCATACAATTGTAGCTGTTAAGATGACAAAGGTCCCAATGATGTAATTCTTGAAATCAGGGACTACAAAAAAAAAAAAAGAGGAGAAAATTATTAGAGCCAAGGAGAATGAAAACTCCAGTCCCATGGCAATTTTAATATATTTACTGCAAAGAAAGCTTATTTGGGAACCACTGTGCACCCAGATTCATGTCTCTTCATTCCCTGTCATTATATCAATGGACACTAACGAGCTGGGCAATGTAGCTTAAGTCCATAGAAAACGAAGGTGCATTCCTTTACATTTCCACCTAAAGCATAATGTACACTCCTAGAAAACCTGTTGGGGACCAGACAGAGTTCACTGTAGCACAACAGAAGAAGTCAAAGTCACCCAAAGCCTGAGTGACTCCCTGAGGGAGGGGAGTCTGTCAGGAAAAAACTAAAAAGGAAGTGATGTTTCCCATTTCCACAGTCTTTTGGTCCCTCCTCATAATTCACCCAAAGAAGAGGAGTGTGGGGGAAAGGGAGGAGAGAAGCAGCAGGTAAAGAGGAAGGAGGGTGGAGCAGAACCCAGAAGAGGAAAGACAAAGAAAGTGCCTCCTTTTTGCTGTCAAGACATGGGTAGCATCCAGAAACTATCTAAATACTCAACGGCTTTATCTGTTTTATTTATTGAAATTATGTTTGTACACATGCCCTGATTCTTAAGCCCTGTTTTAAATACTATGGAGTATTTAAACAATATTCACAATTATTTTCAGCACTGGTTTTTGACGATACCAGTTCTTGAAAAACCAATGGCTTCAGACATGCTTCTTATAAACAGGACATTTAGGCTTTCCCTGTATAGCCATCTTGTTTGGTTATGTGCTTTAAAATATTCATGAAGTCATGAATCCAAAGCAAATACTGGTAGTTACTGGTCCTGGGGAAAGAATAATTTGTAAAAGAAATGGTTGGCATGATTATGGACCTTTTACTAAAAAAAAAAAAAACTAAGAAGAGTTCCTTCCTGTGCCCGGAATACACGATGCCTCCAGAGCGACACCCAAACAGAGGCAGGGAGGTAGGCTGAGACCAGGCAATGGGGTGGGAAAGTTTCCTAACAGAAGAGAGAATTCAGGCCAAGAAGCAAAAACGATAAGAAGTTGCAGCTGAAGAGGGACAAGGAATGTTCCAGGTGAAGGAAATTACATGGGAATCCACCAGGCTATGCAATATGTTAGGTTAAGTAAACGTTCGTTACTTACCTGGATATATTAATTTGACATGTGCTGACTCTAGAATATTTGTGTTCTTGACAAAACAGATAAATGGATACCGATAAAAACGACTTTGGACTACTGAAATATTAAGTGTTGTAATGAGCGTATACTTTCTTTTGGATGACGGATGTTTCATGCTGTTCGAGAGAGAGAGAGAGAGAGAGAGAGAGAGAGAGAGAGAGAGAGAAATTAGAGTAGGTAAGATGCATCAATAAGGAACAATACCTACGGGCCCAGTTTATTGCTTTATTTGTAACATAAATTATAGCTCAAATAATCACCTCCGCCCAATCATGTGCAAATAGTCTATTGACAAGATAAATGTGAAATTGTATAACCTCAAAGTCAGGAACACCCAGTAGCAAAGAATCAGGTTAAAATTATGAGCTTGTGAGGAAAAAAATACACACACACACACACACACACACACACACACACACACACACACACACACACATACACACAGCCTTACATATTCTGGCCTCCATGGGTATACAGAATTGGGACAGATGACCAAGGGCATGGCACAGAAGGGGCGGGGAGGAGGAGTTAATAGAAACCCTGGAGATCTTTATCCAACCCATCACAATGGAGGTGAAGTGACAAATTCTTGATTCCTTCCATGTGTCTTTCCAAAGGACTTAACACACAGGAAGAGCACCTCATTGCAATGCTGTAGCAGCACAAATCGGAATGTAAGATAAGGGCTTTTAGCTGGTGTGGAATTTGTCCAGTGATATGTATTTTTAACAACAACAACAACAAAATACTGGTCCTCACAAAGTCATCTAGATTACTTAGCAAAGTTCAGAGTGGGCAGCATAGGGCTAGGAATAGTCAACCACCAGCTAGCTTGCAGTATTAGATTCAAAAACTAGAACAGGTGTGGCACAGAATTTAAAACTGAAATTGACTGGCAAACTCACGGATGGAAGTCTTCAGCTAGGACTGGATCATCAATTTCTGATCCATTCCACTTCCAGTAGACAAGATCCGATAACTGGCCTGTGACATTGCAGATGAGTTGTATCATGGATCCTGAAAGGTAGTGTATTTTTAGTCCAAAGACCAATTGGCCTTTATTACTATATTTATCTATAGTAATATATCTATATTTATATCTATATTTATAAATGGCTATTGAATAAACATTTTAAAGTATAGAAAAGTAAAATGAAAGAGGAAAATTTCCCTAATCCTCATCACCCAGAGAACACCATTGTTTGTTACTTTATATCTCTCCTCCATCTTGGTCTTTCTCTTCACACATCAGCAATAAGGTGGATGGGATTTTACTGTCTATTACTTCATCATTGTGTGGCCTGGGAACTTCAGCCTCTGTGATCAGTCCTCATGTGGATCTGAGACTACTTAGTATTTCATAACTACAAACTAACAATATTGTTATTGCTGGACAGAATTTCTGAAGTTGCATTATTATGATTAGTATTTAAGGAATGTTCTGCTTATATCCCTGTTTTCATATATCTCCAAGTATTACCTGGAATGAAAACCTGGGGGTAGAATGTCCTTACAGTGTTGAGACTGAAACCCACAGACTTGTTGCATCGCCGGTCCTCCCACGAAGATAAGAGTTTCAAAGCCAAACTCCAATCAAGTGAGGCTGCACCAGACCACTCACCCTCCAGCAGCATATGCAGCCATTATTTCACACAAACCCCCAGTACATAAGGGATAATCACTAAGCATTGTTCACTGAGAGAAGAAAAATCAAACTCAGTTTTCACTTGATCTATTTTTCATCCATGAGTGGCTCCAGAGCAGGGCTTAGAGTACCCTAGATGTATACTTCATCACAGCCCAGCCCACCTACATTTTCTTCTTTAGATTTCTTTATTTTGCATACATTCATGTTTTGTCTGCTTATATATCTGTGTGCCTGTGTGCCTGGTGCTCACAGAGGCCAGAAGAGGGTATTGGATCCCCTGGAACTAGAGATCATTGTGAGCCACCATGCTGGGAACTGAACCCAGGTCCTCTGGAAGAGTAACCAGCACTCTTAACCACTGAGCCATCTCTGCAGCACCCTACACTTCTTGGAATATTGTTGAATTAACACATTTTTCGTACCTTAGTATTCACCAGACCTCACTGCTCCTCACATGTAGGATCCATTAATTAGCCTCTTTCTCAGAATAAGCTCACAGGAGTCTAGCTGTTCTTCATTAATCAAAGACACTCACTCTTCACAGACACAAAAACTTCCCAGAAAACTTTCCAGGCTAGCTGTCTTTATTTTTGTTCATGAAAATTCTTTGACATAGATCTTTTGTTTTTTCATGATCAAAATTTGTAAGAAGTACTTCTTCTTATATCTATATTCACTTTTTTCTAAAAACCCTCTCTACTACCAACCAAATCAGGACAGAATCGAGGTCCATATCTGGGGTATTTGCTGTGTTCATTTCCTTTTGACACTATCTAGGAGGTAGTGCTCGATCTTCTGGGCTACCTTGAATAAAATGTTTTAATCCAAGTAGTTGATTTTAATTCCAGACCATTGGTTGATGTGAAGTTTCTTCTCTAATTTATGTTACCATTACCATAGGATAAGTTCTCATTTATTTTTTACTTCAGTAAAAATAAGTATGTATACTTATACTCATCCTCCTTCCCAGTTTTGGGGTGTGTGTGTGTGAGAGAGAGGGTGGGGGGCGGGATGGAGCAGATGTATCTATGTATGCATGTTGTGTGTACCTGTGTATATACGTGTTTGTGCATGTCAGGGTGCAGGTGTGTGTCCACCCAGCATCCAGCGACAGGTCTGTACCTGTCGCTGCCTCCCCAGCACCGGGATTACAAATGTGCATGACCACACCCAGCTCTTTACATGGATGCTGCACACCGACCTCAGGCCCTCTCAGGCTCTTTACTGACTGAGTCATCCCCATCGTCTTTTTGTTTTTGTTTTTGTAAGACAGAACCCATCTGTAGTCGAGGCTAACCTCAAGCTCACCATCCTTCCGCACACACCACCACACCTAGCTGAACATGGCTCGCTCCCCAGGAGGAGTGAAAAGATTGGTTCTATACATGACAGGAAGGGGTATTCAGTACTGGAGTGATCAAGATGGATCTTTATTCTTGATATTTTAAAAAATTGACTAATTTGGAAAATTATTTTTTAACTATCGCCTGTGGCTACTGTTTGCAGAGATAGTCAGACTCCACTGGAAAGCAAGGTAGGAAAATTGGATATGGCTAGATTTTTGACAAAAGAGGCAAAAACTTAAAAAATAAATTTAAGAAATGAATTCAAAACATTTTAAAAAATCATTTAAATATATGATTCGTGCCACTGTCCCTCGATAGGTGTACACGGTAGGTGGTTTATGCTGTGTGTGTTGTGAGGGTCGTGTTATCTTCATCTTGAATTCAGAATAATGGTTTCACCACACCCTGCCTGAAGCCCGCTTACCTGGGTCTGCCTCCATGGTCTCATTCCGTGGGCTCACTATCACAGGCCTGTCGCTCTTGCTCTCACCTGCAAGGAGAAAATCAACCCACAGAGCTCTTCAGCCTTTCACCAGACAGAATCCCGAGGGGTGCCAGCACTCAGCCAACACTGAACTCGATCTGGCCAGGCAGATCAAGTACAGCAGGAGACAGAGGGGACAGAAGAGGAACAGAGCCTCCAGAAACCGGCAAGGTTGGACCACACACACCATACATACAGGTGGACCATACAGGTGTCCTCCTGTCTCCACACACATGCATACACAGGTACACCTGCACTCTTACATACATGTAAATACACAACACACACACACACACACACACACACACACACACACACACACACACACACACACGCATGCACGCACGCACGCACGCACATGCGCGCACTCAAAAAGAGAAGGAGAAATAAGTATAATTACATACATCTCTACTAAGAGAGTACACACATGAATAAGAAATGTCCTATGTGGACAGGACCCTGGGAGTTGAAAGGCTCCCCTCTCCCTGCCAAGCAGGAAAGGCAGTAGCTGGCCCAAAAGCACCTCCTTGAGCGGAGGGGCCAGTGCTGGACCTGATGTGCTGGGTTACTGAGGTACCAAGTCAACAGCTACTGGCGCGTGACAAGCAACTTGGCATAATTTATTTAAATAGAAAAATTTCAAAAAGCCTCTAAGAATGCATCTCTTGCTTCCCTACACGATCGGTTCCCTGCGCTGATCTGTGGCTGAGAAGGAAGAATTAGAAACAGGCTGGAATGCCAGTAATCCTCCATCAGCACGTAAACAAAGAAAGCACGGGAAGACAGGAGGTTGGATTTCCTATAGATAGGGCAGTACATGTTCAATAAAGTTAGACATAGCTGATGTTTGTAGGGCCAAGAAAGGGATAAATTTTTATTCAATGAAATTAGTCTTTGAAAAAGAAATGACTCTAACATTGGGAAAATACAGCTATATGTATGTTTGGTCCTATTCTGGGTTTGCCTGGGATAGTTGCGACTGTGTCTCAGCATAATTACTCAAAGCTGATCCTCCTCCCTCCTCCCCACCAAAAAAAAAAAAAAAGTCCTGGTTAGGTTAACTTCTTATTACTGAAAGCTACCATTTACAGAAAGGCCAAGTAGTCTGCCCATTCCCAGGTAACCTGTGAAAGTGCAATAGTTTTTAATATGACATACGGATACGACAAGATTGGAAGCCCTGGAAACATTAAGAGCAGTCATTATGCACCTGTTTCGTAGCAAGGCAGGCCTGCTTTACATCAGGCACATGACCACAAGCTGAGCCTACCTTATCTCTCTCTAATCTCCTTAAAGCCTTACAGGCCACACTATCTTCTTATAGAAGAGGAAACATTCTCAGAGATCAAGAGATTGACCTAACAAAAAAGTGCGTTCTGGACACCTAACATCTCCAAACTCACGGGGATCTACCCCCTTCACGCCAGTGACTGTTCTGCTGTACTTCCGGGTTTGTCTCTTGCAGAACTGGGAGTTGAACCTAAAGCTTCACACACGCTATGCAAACGCCCCACCACTGAGCTTTTCCCCCAATGTCCGTGACTCCTGTTGAGTCAGACTCCCCCAGGGCAGGCTCTCAAGTGGTCACATATACCTGTTAAGGGGAGTCCTAGAGCTCTCAGGAGGAACTATCTTCTATGATGTCTAAGACTTGTCCCAGACCCCTCAGAAAGCATAACTCATAACATGTTGGCCTTGCTAGCACTGCATCTGAAGCAGGAATGAAGGATATTCATGCAATGTTTACTAACAAAAATGAACTTAAAACCATAGGATGCTGTGTCAGAGTTTGAAGATAAAATGTCCCCCACGGGCTCATGTGTCTGAAAACTTGGTCTCCAGCTGGTACTGATATTCGGGAAGGTTCCAGAAGATGAGGCAAATCTGGAGAAAGGACATCACTGGGAGTGGGTCTTAAGGTTTTTATAGCCTGACCCACTTATGGTTCTCAAATTTGTAACTCAAATTGCTAAGTGGTCTTTTTAAATAACAATAATAATAAAAAACAAAACCTGGAGACAGATGTTGGGGTAAAATGCTGAAAGATCAGAGAGACAAAGGAACAAGCCACAGCTACTTCTCACCTCACCAACTCCACAAATCCTGACTGAATATCTCTGAGTCCTCAGCCGAAAGAGATCCAGCCGAAAAGGCTTCAGCAGAAAAGGGCTCTAGTTCCTGTCTCCTCACACCTTATACATCTTTCTCCGCCCAGACATATTACTTCCTTCCTAGTGCTAGGATTAAAGCCATGTGATTCCTAAGTACTGGGATTAAAGGTGTATGCCACCACTACCTGGCTCTGTTTCTCTCCAAGACTGAGTCAATCTCATGTAGTCCAGGATGGCTTTGAACTCACAGAGATCCAAATGGATCCCTGCTTCCCGAGTGCTAGGATGAAAGGTGTGTGCCACCACTACCTGGCATCTATGTTTAATCTAGTGGCTTGTTCTGTTCTCTGATTTTCAGGCAAATTTTATTAGGATACACAATCTCTCTCTCTCTCTCTCTCTCTCTCTCTCTCTCTCTCTCTCTCTCTCTCTCTCCTCCCAGTGTGCACACGAAATATCATTCTGCTTCCTAACTGCTGGGCTAGCCTCACGCTCCAGGTACCATGCCTTCCCCACCATGACCAGCCTGTATTCTCCACAGAACTGCAAGCCAAAACAAACCCTTTCTTCCCTAACTTGGTTTTTGTGACTAATCAGTCTTGTGAGTCACTGGCTGGTTCTTCTATTTAGTTCCTTTGTGAACAATGAAGTAATACCAAAATGAAGGTCTTGAGGCTGTCCCACATGCAAACTCCCGGGGTCAGAGCTACAACTCACCTATTGTGACAAACTGTATCACTCGGGTGACTGGATATTGCTTCCCCAGGTATGTGTAGGACACATAGCAAGTATAGTTCCCTCCATGCTCTTCAGTCACATTCTTCACCATCAGTTTATTTTTGCTTCCAATGAAGTTTATGTTGTCAAGAAGCAGTGGTTCACAATTCTAGACAAGAAGACAGAAACAGAAGCATTGGAAAAGTCGGTAACTCACTATGTAACCAGAACAGGAGCCCCAGTTTTTCACCTCAGCAAATTCCTAAATGAAAAAAATGACTGTTGGGGTTTTTTAGGGGGGCAGGGGGGAGCGGGGAGGCAGGGAAGAAGGATAATTGCATTTCAAAATCTCAAGCCCAGAGGTTTATGCCATAAAGACGAGTGAGGACAAATTGATTTCACAGAAGACACAACTGAAGCAATAATGTTGACATTTGTCAACACCATGATCCATTCCTGTGCTGATATTATTTATTTTGTGTTCTTTAATTTCTAAAAGATGATGTTCCTGTAAATGTTCCACCAGACCACCTAAACTGAAGGCACCAAAATATGCTGTGTCCCACCCTAATATTTAAATAGCTACAGACACAATCATGTTATGTGTGAAGCACTGAACTCCTCATTAGGCTTCTAGGATTTATTTTTGCTTTATCTTTAATTATGAGTATGTGTATGTGCCATTATGGGTTTGTGCACATGAGAGCAGGTGCCCATGTAAGCCAGAAGGGGGCGTCAGAGTCCCTGGAGCTGTAGTTACAGGCAATTGGGAACCTTCTTTGTGGATGCTGAGACACAAACTCCAGTCCTCTGCAAGAGCAATTTGCTCTCTTAATCACTGAGCCATCCCTGTAGCCCCAGCACATAAATGTTTTTAATAAAACACAAAATAATATCTGCTATAAAAAGCTATCTCTTAAATGGCTTAAATATCTAACCCATCTTCTCAAACATGTTTGATTTCTATTACTTTCCCTGAAACTATGTCTTACTAAGTTAAGTAGAGACAACCGTAAGATTTTACAGAAGTTGTAAGAATCAACAAACACAGGCTTCACTTTTTTCCTTTTTGTTCTCTTTGGAGTTGCACCACTACAGAACAAACTGTAAACAAACTGCCAAAGATTTTTGTGGATGTATTTTACTGTTCGATCCAGAAAACTGTGTAAAAGTAAAGTACCATACTTAAAACGAATTACCTTATACCACTGAACTTTGGGCAACTCATTCTTTTCATCTTTAAAAAAATCCAAGTAAGGGCACACAAGACTTCCATCCCCTGCAATGTGGAGACGCTGGGGGAAGGTAGCTTGTGTGTTATAACACAGGCCAGGCTCATTCTCCAAAACCTCCACATTTATTTTAGTTTTGAGGCAGTGAGTTGAGTTTCTAAAATAAAATAAAATATGGAAATTAATCATTAGTAAAGTGATTTTTCTGTCCTTAACTATCATAGAAGCTTTGGACATATGTCTGTGATGAATTGATTCCTTCCTTACCTTACTATACAATAGTAATGTCCCGAGTCCTCAATCTTGGCAGGAACAAACCAAAGCCGTTCATTTCGCTGATGAATCCTGGAGTCCTGGTCCACTGATATGGGTGTCTTGCCGTCATTTTTATACCAGATTATGGTGCCATGCTTTTCATTCGGAGTAAGAGGACAATCACGAATATCAATTTCATTTACAGATGAAAATAAAATGATCTGATTTGGATATTCTTTACATTCATCTTTAAAAGAGAGAAAGGGGGAGTCATTTCCATAAGAAAAACTTCCAGTGTTTCTAAAAGTAATGTCAGCATTTGAACTCATTGGTTAGCTACAGTTTATGGCTGTGTGGTTAAGAGCGAAGTCTTCAGGGTTTGAACTCTTTACACTCAGTTCCAGCCCTGCCACATGTCCCCTGGTGGACTGTACTCTGGGCAGGTTACTTACCCCCTCTTACTTTCCACTTATTCATCTAAAGGTGGGAATAATGGAGGAGAGACATTCACTTCTGAACAGTGGAGAATAGTAAAGACTGAAAATACCCTCCCACTTGACCAGCTAACACATGGACAAGCATAGGAAATAACACTGTTCAAGGCATGACATAATACTATCTCCTATTTACTCAAGATGCTGGAAGAGACATAAGACAGGGAACAGAGACATAAGACAACAAAGAAAAAACTTCTAGTAATAAAAACAGGCACTGTCAAGTTGAAAATATACTGGAGAAAGAATTAAGAAAACCTGAAGACACAACATTAGAAAGCATCCAAGATTAAGCAAAGGGAGAGGGGAAAGGTGAGCAAGCAGGGCATCAGATAGCTTAGGGCAACTGGAAAACGTCTAATATGAATTGCTTCATGAGTGGAGAACACAGAAAACATACTTGAAATACAGGCTGAAATTTCTTAAGATTTGATAAAATGATTCTGGGCCCCAAAGACACAATGAACTCTAAAAAGAAAAAAAAGGAAAGATGGCTGGAAAGATGGCTTAGAGGTTAAGAGCACTGGTTGTTCTTACAGAGGTCCTAAGTTCAATTTCTAGCAACCACATGGTGGCTCACAACCATCTCTAATGGGATCTGATGCCCTCTTCTGGCCTGCAGATGTACATGCAGCTAGAGCACTCATATACATAAAATACATAAATAAATAAATGTTTGAACTAGGTGGTAGTGATACATGCCTTTAATCCCAGCATTCAGGAAGCAGAGGCAGGTGGATCTGAGTTCGAGGCCAGCCTGGTCTACAGAGTGAGTTCCAGGACAGTCAAGGCTACACAGGGAAACCTTGTCTGTCCCAAAACAAACAACAAAAAAGATGAAGAAAATCACACTACCTGCCAAGTAATCGGATTAACACCAATGACCAAAAGAAAATCTTACATAGCCAGAGAGCCTTTTTTTAAAAAGTTACAGCTATTACAATAAAAACAAAAGGGTTACAACCTTCCTTCTAGAGAAGAAAAATAGTATCCACCTGCAATTCCAGTAAAATATCTTTTAAAGTTACAGAAAAGGTTTGAAAAGCTCTAAAAAGCAATCATCAGAAGACCTGTACTCTCAAGAAATAGTCAAAGACGTCCTTCACAAAGAAGAAAATAATATCAAATAAAAATGCTATGGTAAATACTTTATTCCTATGTGAAACTGTATAGTTTCAGGTGCTTAACACATGAGCTTATGGGGTAAATTTAATCTTCAAACATTCAAGCCCCAGCCCTCAAAGGATCACGACTGGTTACAATGAAAACTGCTTTTAGCCCATCTCTAAGAATCCACAAGAATTAAAGAACTCTTTAGAGTTCAAACACTGCTCAGAACTCGGTTCCATCTCTTACTTACAAGCACCTGCACAATCACAGAGTTACATCACTCACCATGGGCTCGGCCCTCACACATCAAGTACTAACTAGGAAGGTGTACCACAGGCTAAGCTTCACCCTCTGACCTCTTGTGGCTGCATCCAGGGCTTTCAACTTGTTACAACCTTCCTTTGTGGAAGATTGTTTAAATGAGTTTATGCTTTCGTTACCTTGAGACTACTATGTAAAATATTTAATTTCTTTTCAAAGGCACCAATATCTTAAGAAACCACATCTTCTTAGCTTCAACTTTACTCTGGCTTTTCTGACCAAATGGCAAGGTTTTAACTCTTACTCTGCTCTGAGATCTTGAATCTCCCTACAAACCTGACTAAACACAGCCAGGAGTAACCACACTATAGTCTGAATGCTGGGCTGTTTTGAAATTAACCACTATAATTAATTAAGTCAATCACCTTTAAACTCAGCGCATACATAGTTTGCAGACACAGACATTAGACAAGTTCTTTGTTAGAAGGTGGTATAAATGGCCTCTGAATCAACTGAGTACATTCTTACTGTCCACAGTCCTACTGGCATTCTGTTCAGAGCTACCACTAAAACCATGCATGAAGTTCTGATTACAAAATCCCAGAGTGTCCTAACTGACCTGTCTGTAAATTATTCATTCATAAAAGCAGGAAAAGGACTAGATTTTTTTTTCTAAATCAAAGGCTTCTAACATACAGAGAAGCATTCATTAGAAAGAGGAGGAAGGCTGGGCGGTGGTGGTGCACACCTTTAATCCCAGCACTTGGGAGGCAGAGGCAGGCAGATCTCCATGAGTTCGAGGCCAGCCTGGGGTACAGAGTGAGTTCCAGGAAAGGCACAAAGCTACATAGAGAAACGCTGTCTCAAAAAGCAAAAGAAAAAGAAAGAAGGAGGAGGAGGAGGAGGAGGAGGAGGAAGAGGAGGAGGAGGAGGAGGAGGAGGAGGAGGAGGAGGAGGAGGAGGAGGGAAGGAACAGAAGACGGAGGAAGAATCAGAAAGTTGCTGATAAAAATGGAGCAGCATGCTTTATCGCTTCACGAATTAGCTACCACCCCTCTCCCCTCAGATCCCTAATATGAAAACTAGGACCTGTGCATACATAGTAGCTCTGAAACCCGGAAGCCTTGCAAGAGCAGAGCAGATCTGGAGTCTCAAATGTCTCAGGTCATTGACCTGACCCAGAGATCCTCAACAAGAGTCCTATCCCTGGGGCATTTGGTGAACAGAATCGGTGTCGACTATTTAATAAGGCAGCAACTATTTAATAAAAGCTACAACATAGGCTAGAACACAAGAGCCATAGCCTAAAGGGAGATGGGAATGCTCTGGCATTTTCCTGCAGAATGAGAAGCATACATATGTATGCATAGCTGCCCAACAGGTCCAGAAAAGGTTTCAGACTCACACCTGAATAACTCTGGGGTCATACACAGGCAGGAAGTGAAGGCTAAGGTGAGCTGTAAACACCCTATGCTGTCCCGCAGCAAAGGGTAGAGAATATATAGACCACAGATCATCCAATCATTAGCCAATCACTGAATTTAATGACTTCAGGGGCCATACAATACAGACTTTTTTTTACAAGGCTGGTTCAGAAAATCCATCAAACAAATGAACACAAACAGCAACTATTTTTAAAAATGTAAAAACTGGTAACAATGGACTGGAACAATAGCTCACTGGTGAAGAGAACTTACTGTCCTATCAGAGAGCCAGAGTTCAGATCCCAGCACCAGCACCAGACATCATAAATGCCTGTGACTCCAGCTCCAAGGGATCCAGCATTCCCTTATGGACTCCATGGGCATCTGTGCATGTGTACACACACACACACACACACACACACACACACACACACACACACACAGAGGGAGGCAGAAAGAATTAATCTCTTTTTAAAAAAAAACTCAGTCATAACAACAAGCTATAGGTACATATAACAGAGACATGTGAATTCCAGAATTATACATTACGCTATCAAAAATGTCCAATTTCCAAAAAAGAAATGGGAAAGTAGGGTCCATTCACAGGGTGAACAAAGCTTCCAATGGAAAATGTTTCAGGGGAGTTGGGGTGTAATATTTAGTCTACAAAGACTCCCAATATCTTTAAAATTATATACAACACTACTGAAAACCCACTTCTAAAATATAAAAAAGAACTATATGACAGCAATGTCTTACCAAGGAGAGTATTAATTAAGAAGAGGAAGAGGAGAGGGAGGAGGAGGAGGGGGAGGAGGAAGAAGAGGAGGGGAGCGGAGGAGGAGGAGGAAAGGAAAGGGGAGGAAGAAGGAGGAGGAGAAGAAGAGGAGGAGGAGGAGGAGGAGGAGGAGGAGGAGGAGGAGGAGGAGGAGGAAGAAGAAGAAGAAGAAGAAGAAGAAGAAGAAGAAGAAGAAGAAGAAGAAGAAGAAGAAGAAGAAGAAGAAGAAGAAGAAGAAGAAGAAGCAACCATGAAGAGAACTAACTGGAATTCCGTGGTGGAAAAATCCCCTAAGATGAAGAAGAAGACTGTTTCACTACAAAGGGCTGAACAATGCATGTGCATCGACAGCAAAAGAAACTTGCAAAGGACATTAAATCAACTGAGTGTCTTTTGTGGCTCCTAGAGCAAACTGACATGTACATAATGGGAATCCCAGGATGAAAGGAAGGGTCGGTAAAAATACATGAAGAAATAATGTCTCCCCCCCAAAAACCCACATTAATCTACACAGCCAATGAGCTTAAAAAACTACCACAAGAATAAAGTAAAAGACACATCTACCTAGGTACTTCAGAGTCTAATCATAGAAAGGAAGGGAACCTTGGATGCAGTAAGAAACGGCTATCTTGTTACGCTCAGGAGTTCTTCATTAAGTGTAATTGTTTCTCAGAACCCACCAGGGCCAGGAGGAAGTGAGATGACATTTCAAAATGAAGGAGAAATGAAGACATTTACAGATAAACTAAAGACTAGGACAATTCATCAAAAACATGACTCCTCTATTAAAATGTTTTAATTAAAAAAAAAACACTTCAGAGAGGGTCATTCAGGTTGAGATAGCCTAACCTAGACAGCAACTCACATCCACACCAAGAAATAAGGAATGCCAGTAAAGCAAACAAATCAGAAATCAACACTCTGGTTTCCTAATTGTGCAAATAGGTAATTTAAATAGATTTGTTTTTAAGCACACAAGTAGTTTTTGGCTTGTCACTTCTCTCTTTTTTCATCATTGGTTGCAAAATTACATAAAATGACGAGTATAAAGCCACTTTGCTAGAGCAGCATAATTCCTAACTACATTCTAATTCATTTGCGTATACTGACAGGTACGTGTCTCTGCCACACCCCTTATCAAAGAAGCCTCTTTACAGCAAACGGAGACCATCACAGAAAAATCACAACAATGTAGAGATCCATGGATTGTGATGAGGAGCCCAGCCCCAAAAGACACATCTACACCACAGCTTCTGCATCTATATGGCACGGGGAGGAAGAGTGGGCGAAAAGATTCTAAGAGCCAGCACACCAGGAAGCCTGCTATGAAACTGTCTCCCCTAGAAATGGCTGCATAAACCAGAACAATGGCAACATCAGTGGGTATATTAACTTGGACGGAGAACATTTCCCGGGGTCCTATCCCTATCCCTAGACCTATAGCTAACTAATGACTGCCGTGAGGAGGGGGATTTGGCCTCACCCAAGGCTGAGCCCCATTATTGGTTATCCAATGCAGAGTGATTATCCCTGAAACGACACATGCACAAACTTTTAAGTTGCAGCATTTAATAACTCACAGATACCATCTCACTGGGCACATCTGCCCTGGACATGTTCCTACTATAGTCTCTTATCCTGAAACATTTTCTCTACTTCACTCTCCAAATTTCTGGGCAGACTTTTACTAGTTCTCTGACCACTGAAAGCTTGACCGCTAATCACCCTCGAGGAAGCCAGGCCTCCGTTCTTGATACTATCATTCCTTACCACACTCAGTGACCTCATTTGGTCTCTCTGCTCTCACACTAGCTGCTGTTAACCTTTGGGCCTTTGCACATGCTGCCAATGACACTTTCCTCCCTTAGCCTGGAATCTACATAGCTTCTTTTCTTCCCTACTTTAGGGTCTACTCAAAATCAACCTTTCAATTGAGATATTTTTGTGGCCAGATACAGTATGGAAAACTTCTGTTTATTCCCATCTGCCAAATATTCCTTGTTTTCCTAGTGTTTCTGACTACTTTATCTACACTACTACATGACTTATGCAATGTGTCCTGTCTCTCCCAATAGGGATGTCACCTGTAAGCAGCTGCTTCTCTACGGATTAGTCACTGCTACCGTTTTAGCATCTACCAACCGACACATTGTAAAGGCAGGAAATGAAGAAGAGAAACAGAATTTGAAGGAACTGGAAGAAAATACAAATAAGTAGCTATGGGTCCGTGGATAGTGCTTGACACCTATTCCAGGATAAGCAGGCCTTACACAGTCCCGTGAGCACTGAGGTGATAGGAGGCCTGGACTAGACCGGGAGCCCTACACGGGACCTCTTATTCCAAATCTAGAGACAAGACCCTGGGCTCTTAACCTCACTGGCCTCAGTTTCCCCAAATACCAGGCATAGAGAGGTGAAGATGCAGAAAAGGACATTCATATGGACAGTTCTGGGGCCAGGAGAGTCCACGTCCTAGCTGTAACTGCAAACGGAAAAGAAAATGACTCTGCTAGATGACCAGTCATGTGTTCTCCCTCAGCTCTGCCTGCAGATGACAGAGTAGAGGAAACATCGGACTCACCGGTCTCCAGTGAAAGTAGAGGGACAATGGAGCAAAGGAGCCCAAGTAGCACTCTCATATTCTCCTGGAGAAACAGAAGAAGGGAAGGAAGACAGAGCGTTAGTGACCTAGCAAATCTCTAGGTTTCCTGACCCTCACCTGTCCTCACCCATAACCCCCCAGGTCACATGGAAGAGCCTTCCCCACCATTCCAAGTTATGTTAGGCTTCTAGTTAGAAAGTCAGGGTGTGTGTGTGACAGAATTGGGGACAAGTTAAGATTTAAAGCATTTCCAACATCTTTCCCCAAAGACATTTCTAGTCTTATATTCTGCTTGAATCCCCTTAGAACACATTTTACAATCAACATAGTCTATGGCCAGATCTCTCCACCCATGGGCGCTACATCTACAGATCCAACCAACTGCCATGCTAAATAATTTGGAAGACTGTACTTCTGTGCTCAAGATGCATGGCTTTTAGGACAGTCCCTAGGACACAGAAGAACAACTGTGGCCATGACACTGACATTTCATTAGCTATTGTAACTAACCCAAGGACGATAAAAGTACATAGGCAGATGTGGAGGGGGTTTGAGCACCTACATACTTCAATATCTACAGCAGTTGTGGAGCCAATCTCCCTTGGGGACAGATGTAAGTGGACTCACTAAACCCAAGGTAACCATCTCTACCTTTGTACATCCGTCTCTACCCAGAGGTATTTCCCACACCCAAGTCACGCCTTCCTTGAAAAACCCAATATTCAATTGCCTGTACAACATAATACACATGGAGATGTGCCCCAAAATGACTAAAATAAATCATATCAATATATTAAAGCTGCGTTTATTCTTGTGGTTTGGGTGGATTTCCCCTTCGCTGGGGATTTTTATTCTTTCCAGAAGATCTATGATGAACATGTGTGAATCTTTTCACAAAGGAAATAAAAACACCATTGCTTCTATATATCTGAAGGCCTCACCAGCATGTCCTTAGAGGGTGGTTAGCATTGGGGCTCCATATTAAATGGAGGTCCTGATGACTTACTCTCCTCTTAAAATTCTTATCTTTATGTATTCGTTTTATGAAGTGTTGAGTTTCATGACATTTTTGTCAAGTGTGTCATGTACATTGACCCTATGTAGCCTTCATTACCCCCACCTGGCTCCTTCCCACTCTATCTTCCCTCTAACCCTACCCCCCTTCTCCTGTCATGCCATATATGGGTCTTTGCTAGGGTCCACATATGGAATAAAACACATTTGCATTTGCCTTTCTTTCTAATAATATGATCTTCTCCTGTTCCATCCATTTTTCTGCAGATGATTATAACTTGGTTCTTTTTCATGACTGAATAATGTTCTTTTGTGTATATGTACCACATGTGTGTCACCCATGTTGATAGATACCTTGGCTATTTTAATTACATGGGCCTTAGGCTATCTATATGGCAGTGAATGTCACCAGATTAACTACCTGCCTAACCTTCTTCAGGACATGCCCAGCACCTCATCCACAAAACAAAGTCCTTAAAACAATATCAGATTAATGCAAAGAAGAACACCAGACTCACAGTTTGCCTAAACCTCTCAAGTCCCAAATGAGGTAAACTTGCATATCGTCTCCTTTCTCTACTTATTTCATTCTCCTGAACAGGTGCCTCATGATGATGTTCAGTTAAGACATGAGACTTCACCTCATGTCTCCAGCAAGCTTTTATACAAATCCACTCAGGGGCCCCTGAGAACCCCAATCCCAATAATACAGCAAGTAAGTATTCTTGCCCCACCAAATTGCCCTCCCCTGGGACTCCCCATCTAGTTAAGAGCCACACAGGGCTCCAGATCTACTAAGCATGCACTTAAAAGAGACCTGGGCTTCCATCCTGAAGCAGCTACCCCAGGACTCTCTCCCTAGAGGTAACAGTTGGTGTTCTATATCACGGACATCCCCCTCCTCCAGTTTATAAAAAACTCCTGTAATGCTGCTCTCACTCAAGCCCCTGCTTGGACTCATTGCAACACCAGGCTCCTTATTTGTCTCTCTGCCTGTGGATTTCTATATGCCAATCAAATCAACTACTCAACACCTTCCCTAGGCTCCCAGTGCATGTAGAAGAATCCTGCTCCCTTGCCAAGCATAGGGCTGCTCTGTTCTGGGCTCTCTTAGCTCTACTGAATGTCCCTCCCTCCCCCAGCTCACTCCACAGCAGTCTTCACCATGTGCTCCAGTCTCTTAGATTTGTACTTAACTGTTTCCTCTACCCTTTCATTCACTGGCTCCTAGTCCATCAGAGCTCAGCAGCCTAGGACTAGAGGCCTCCCAGAGCTCCTGCCTGGCTTCATTCTCTGGGCCTTCCCAGCAACGTATGTCTGCTATGCCCTAAGCATAATCTTCCACTTAACCCAGGATGGAAAGTAGCATGTAACACTGTGCTTGAAACCCAGAAGTCCTTAATAAAGCCTCAAGGAATGAAGGAGAAAAAAATGAGCAAAATAAACAGCTGAATCCTCAGTGCAATTCTGGGCAATGTCCAGAGCAGACTATGAAACTCACTGCTGGGAAAAAAACAAAACAAAACAACACAATAACATCAACATCAACAATATAAAATTGCCTTTCATTTTATGAGACACTAAATGTGTCTATATTTTTACCTGTAGCTGTAAGTGTGAAACCTAAAGTCCTTTAACTAAGATAACACTCCTGGAAACTAAATGTCTGAAGGACTTGAAGATTAGCTGGAAAATGTTCTACTCGAGAAATTGCATTAGAAAGTATACAAATGTTACAACACACTTTTGAAATGAAGATTGATGGAGGACAGGTTTTATCTGAACCTTTAAGACACACCCATTCAGTTCTTGTGGCTGTAACTCCAGCATCAGGATGTTGATTCTTAAGCCTGGCTTAAGCCTTGTTGGGAGCTACCCTAAAGTAGTAAGACTGCATTCCTTACATATCCTGTAACTCTGATCCCTCACCATAAAAATCGGTCATCGACCACAATGTAGGTTAATAGTACTATTGCTGTATTTACTCTAAACGAGATTCAGATTATGAAATATGATAGGAGGTTTGGAAGCTTGTGTCCCGGCTTCTTACCTCCTTCTGTGAGCATATGGCAGTGTGTATCAAGTCTTAGAAAAGACTCCTCAGTATGCTCCTCAGTATCAAGTCCTGGCTATTCACTCAGTCATCTTAGTATCAACAAGGGTGTTTTTAAATAAATCACATGGATGCTGCTGGTTGCCAGTTCACTCAGGTACAAGATCGGGCTTGTTTGTTTATTAGGCAGAAGAAGGAAAATATGCCAGGCTGCCCTTTTACAGTGTATGGCTCTCAAGCTGGAATTCTAGGTTAACTATTTCAAGTCCATGGCCAATGACCTAAGACCAGTTTCTAACCTCGTGGTTGACTAAGTGGTGGAGGGGCAGGGAGACAAGTTTTCCATCTACCCCTACCCTGCTCTAGGGAAAAAATAAAAACCAAAGCAGGATGTGAGGAAACCCTTTGCAGGGTTTTTGAGTCCTTATCTGGCAACAGGACCTGGGGGTTAAGGTTCCACACCAAGCAGGGTGGGGTATTAAATGAGTGAGGAGATCAGAAGGGGGTGGGGGCTGAAAAACACACCCTTGAGATGACACCCACTGCACTCCCAAGAAAAACCAACCAATGCTAGGTATGGTGGCACACACCTGTAATCCCACCACTGGGCAAGCGAGGCAGGGGAGTCATGAGATTGAGGTCAACCTGAATGACACAGAGCAACTGCACCTCTAAAACAAATGGGCGAAACAAAAGGCCAAACAAGCAAACAGATGCCACCCAAAATCAGCACCAATCCCTTATGCCCATCAGCAATAATGTTAAGACCCAAGGTAGAGACGACCTAGGCTAGACATTTCAGGACCAGCAGTTAAAAGACTGTCCAAGTGTGGACATGGGCTTCAATATACTTGGAGATTTTAACCACTGTGTGGAAAATAAGCTGGAGACAAGAGGAAAGATGTGGAGAACAGACCTCTTGGAGGCCCAGATGAGCAGCAGGAGGGGATGGGCAGGGAAGAGAGACTGAGGGTAGCTGAAGGTCAGATTCTCTTGAGGGTTGGGATGCTGGATAAGCTCAGCTTCTGTGCCTCAGTTCCTCTATGTGACAACTGGAGCTGAGAATGGTATCTGTCACTGAGTGCTGTGATGATGGTGAAATGAGTTGCCACACGGAAACCATGTGTAGCAAAGTCCCCACCACCACCACTGCCGTTATCACCACCACCCACACTGTGATGACAGGTTTGGATAGAAGATTTTCAGCTTCCATTCGTGTCTTTTTCTACCCACTGCCCTGCTCAGCGGCTGTATATTGAAGCCCATGTCCACACTTGGTTCTGGGCAAAGAAACAGGAATAATGACCCAGGGACCAGCTCATGGAGTTTGGTGGCTCCAGGGGAAGTGAGTGAATCCATATTCATTCTGCCGGGTCACATGCCTGCAGGATGAGACCCGCCCCACACACAAGGGTGACAGGAGACAGGGCCCTAGCTGGCCTGTGGGAGTGAAGAAGGGTATTAAGAAATGCCTTCATTATGGAATATAAGCCGAAGACAGGTGTCACAAACTATCTGGAAGGGGGGGTGCTGAGTGTCTACAACAGGGGGGGTGCACTGAGGGGCTGGATTTTAACTTGCACATGGCAGAAAGTCACTTAAAGATTTTACACAATGGAGTGGGGGATGGCTACATTTTGACTTTCTATGAAGATTTTAACCACTGTGTGGAAAATAAGCTGGAGACAAGAGGGAAGATGTAGAGAACAGACCTCTCAGAGGCCCAGATGAGCAGCAGGAGGGGATGGGCAGGGAAGAGACTGAGGGAAGCTGAAGGTCAGATTTTCTTGAGGGTTGGGTAGGCAAGGTAGATGAGCTGGGTTGAGACACAGACTGCTCTGACATGACCCGAGTAAGCTTCCGGTACCAACACTGGCCCTGGTCTCCTCAGGAGGAGGTCAGGAGTGTTCTTTCCAACAGAGATGAGGAATTTGAAGGTGGGGTGAAAGAGGCTCCGAATGTTCTGAGAGGGCTCTGGCCCCCAAACTGGGAACTCACTTCAATCAGATGGCCTGAGGAAGAAGGTCAGCAATGACCTGCCATGGGACAGCAGGGCCCTAGGGCCACAAACTCCCTCAAAAATCTGACAGCACCTCCCTCTCTCCCTCCTCCCCTTCCCTCCCCTCCCCAGCCTCTAGGGTCTACTGCCTTGCTCTTCTTCTCTGCCATCAACCCTTTGAACTTCCTTCCACATATGCGTGAGATCACATGGTCCTTGTCTTATTCCGCCAAACACTGTGTCCTCCGGGCCCATCCACATTACCTCACTGTGTCCAAATTCTGTGCCTCCATAAAAAAACAAAACCAATAACTAATTTGATAAAAACCCACTGTCCCCCAGTAAAAATGTGACAGCAAATATCTTTGCACACAGGGGAAACTGTCCCAAGACTGCCTGTGCAGCTGAGGTTAGAAGGCTTTGATTGCTTATGAAAAATGACTAAGGAACCCTGCGGTGACCCAGCCTCTTACCTCGAAGAAGGCTGCTTCCTATGTGAGTGGTCCTACTTCTCAGGAGGGAGAGAGCATCTTTAAGGGGCGTGTCTACCTGGGGAAGAAGAGCATAGGTATATTGAATGGACAGGTGGAAAGGGCCCCAGAGCCACCAGCACCCCAAGATGAGTCTAAAGGTCTTATATATTCACAAAAAGTCAAAAAGTCTATGTCCCATGGTCCTTTAGGACAGAATACCTTTAGGGAAACAGTCAAAGGAGTCAGGAATATGGAACTTGACTCACAAAGGGTCAAATGCATGTACTGTGCTGTGCATTCTGCCAGTCAGAGGGACTCAGAAATGGATGAAATCCCTCTGGGGACGGCTGGCTCAGTACTGGTGGAAAACAGAGCTAAGGACTTGCCACATGCCTGAAGAAAAAACATGGAAAGTTCCCCGTTAAAAGCAGGCACATTAGCTTTTAAAAACATATATTTTTTTCCTTAAACCAAACACATTCATATGCCTGCCCCCCATATTACAGAATTTAAAATAATTCCCCAAGAGCTGTTTGTGATTGCCTTTCTGGTATTCACCACTCATTATTCATTTCTGCAGTTTCCTCTCGTATTTTGGAGTCTATTTTTTTTTCATGTCTGAGTCATTTCCTTATGCCTATAAAAAGCTAGTGGGACCTTTCAATGTCCACCACTGACACAGACCGACCAAATCGATGCTAAACATTTGCGTAGACTAAATACACTAAATCCCAAACTATGAGTCATGCCTTGGGAGATAGAACACAGCAGCACATTGAGTTGTCAGAAGCACAGTGGTGCATTATCATGGGTCCTATTACAGCACAAAATCAAAGAGAACATTCCAGATCTTCCTGTTCTTATCCAGAGGACTATGCCCCCCTAATCCCCAGGAGCCTCAAAAATAACTACAGCTGATGGGAACCACAGAGAAAGTATCACAGGGTGGCTCATACAAGGGGGAAGGCTAACAATTGGGTAAATCTAGGGACCTTCTGCAAAGACAGCTCCCCATTCACTCCAACCTGCTCCCCTTCCCACCTTCCTATTTACACCTGAACCTCTAAGTGCCTTCATACTCTTCCCACTTCTTCCCCATGACTGAAACACCAGCACTTCAATCAAGATATCACTATTCCTGGGAAACATTGCCCAAGCCAACAGCTCTCCTTATTTCTTCAGACAAAGGACCTTTGATCTCTAGCTCACATCGCCTGGCTCACCCCCACCTGCCTTCACTCCGGGGATGATGTCTACCTGCCTGTCCTTCACAGCTGGTATCTTGGTTGCTGGGCCTGAGTACCTGTGCCATTCTGCCCCTGGATGCATCTCTTCAATTCTCCTTAGCAGCAGCTGAATTAAGACAGCTCTGAACTGATTCTGATCAGAAACTGTCCTTGGGCCCTCCCAGATACCCCGTTTCCACAGCCAGGAACAAGTTACACAGCATCTCCATGGCACAACACACAGGTGCCTCGGACAGCTGAGGCAACTCAGCTAGCACCCCAATGATTAGTCCTCTCCACTTGAGATGGGAGAAAGCAGAACAGGACAGACCATCCCCCCCATATTCCTGTGAGCAAGGCCCCATCCTTCACAGCTTACATATGCCAAGTGTGTGATAAATACTAGCAGAAGAGAGGAAGGAGGGAGGGAAGGAATCCCTGACCTGCCATCTTTGAAGTCTACATGAGCAGGCTGTTACAGAGCCAGTCCACCTCTTACTCAGTCTCTTCCACAAGCACCCACTTTTCTTTCCCTGCATCTACTATGCTGGGAGGCATCACGAGGCCGCCAGCAGATGTAGCCACCTGGCCTTCTAACCTAAACAAACTATTATTTACAGATTATCCAGGTTCCAGTATTCCGTTACAGCAACAGATGCAGCCTACCATAATACTAGACTCAGACCAAGAAGCATAAATGTGAACTAAATTATGAAAAACAGAAAATAAGTACAAGAATCAATATGACCATCACTGATTCCCAACCGAAGCCCCTTCCCAAGAAGGGTAGTGGCTGTGACAAGAGCTGTGAAGGATGGATGAGCTGGCAGAGGGGGAGTCTGCTGTCCCTCATCCCAGGCGTCAGAAGGGAAAGGGGTTGTGCCTTTCTCTCACTCTGCAAGATCTACCTTGTCCAATGCAGGCCCAAGGAAGGTGACAGCTGTGGGCCCCAGCATTTCCCTCAAGGCAAGTCCAGGCCTGAAGAGGGTATTTTTCTTGCATGTGGCCATACTGAATCTATTAGATGCTTTCTTATGAATGAGGAATTTCCCACGAACTTGAAGTCTCCTCCTCTTCCTGAGAAATTCCCCACACTGTGAATCCTGCCTTCCAGGACAGAACCTAGGCACAGGCTCTGTCAGATGCACTGAGGACACACATTGTGTGGGTCCACCACAGAGGAAACTGCTAACTGCTACTGGAGGAAGCTTGTCCTGGGACTTGGACTCGGTGTGCCAGAACAGGCTGTGCTGGCCCTAGAGCGGGATCTTCCCAGAGCAGGACCAACAGTAGCCCATACTGTAATCTGGTTATTCTCAACCTCTCTTTCTAGCCAGCTCTTTCCACATATGAGGGGCTCTGAGCATATGCACAAGTTGACACCCTAGTCTATACACGCAGGTACATTCCCTTCTATACAGTCTTTCCCCGGGGCCCCCAAGGCAGGAATATTGGGAGTGGAGTCCCCCAAGGTCACTCAGAACAGCCTTTGGCAGCCATGGAATTGGAGTCCAGATAGTTGGGGAAAGAATCCCAGGGCACCTGAGGACCTGAAGCATGATCAAGAAGCAAGTGCTGACGGTCAAGTCTCTAGAGGGCCTCTCCTTTTGACCTTATAGACTCTTCATTATGACAAGGGACGTGGCTCATGAGTTGCAGAGCAGATCTGCACAAGTCACTGGACTTCAGGGGATTCTAGGGGCAATTCTAAGGAAGCCAAACCTCAATAGAAACCCAGGAGTGGAAGTACAAAGCAAGAATAAGTTCTTGCTTCTTCTACAGGCCTGGTGGAGCCAACTTCCAAATCTGAAATTTACAAAGGAAATCCTAGCCATTTTAGTCTCTGTCTCTCTCGCTCTCTCTCTGTCTCTCTCTGTCCTGTTTTTTTTTTTGTTTTTGTTTTTTGTTTTGCTTTTTGTTTGATTTACTGCTATGACCCCAAGCCACTTGAAATGAACAGCAAATTATTTGGCTCGTAGTCCTGGAGTCTGGGAGCATGGAGCTAGCATCTGTGCTGGGCTGTCCATGGCAGAATGTGGAAAGCAGAATGTAGAAGAGCAAGAAAGGGCAAGAGTGAGCAAGCCAGGGAGGGCTGAACTCACTTTTATAACAACCCACTCCTGCACTAATGAACTCACTTCCCCTATACTGGCATTAATCCATTCTTGAGAACAGGGCCTTCAAGACCTAATTGTTTCCTGTGAGTCTTGCCTAACACAGCTGCCCTGGAGAGTACATTTCACACCTGTGAACTCTGGTGACCACACTCAAACCACAGCACACACATTCCACATTTCTGGCCTCATCCCTACATGTCTACCGTTCCGAACAATGCCTCTTAGAGCTACAGCATCTGTAACACATTTGTAACCTCTCACACCAGACATACAAATATATGTGTAGATTTAATACATGGAGAAATATTTAGAGAATTCAGCTCCCACTAACTTAGTCATAATTGAAAAAAAGCAGGAGTTTAAGCATGTTCCCCAGCTTGTGAAGCATCATTGCCTATGTGTTTACTAAAAATCGGTGAAGATGGGTTTTGGTATTGAACTAAGTCCACAATGATGATGCTCCCCCTGGTGCCCCTTTGTTATAAGCATTCAACCAGATTCTTAACAGTTGCCAAACTTAACCAAAAAGTCAGTGTGATAAAGAAGGCTAAAAGGAACGTACAAAGCCACAAAACTACACAGCCATAGAAACTACTTTACAATCCTATACTTACTCACAGGAGCCCTTGATTCTGAAACCAGAATGGGCACATTTCCAAGAAAATCTACAGCCATCCAAGGGACCTGACTCTATCTCCCAGTGCGGTCATCAGCTTTACCCAAGGAGATGATTTTTATACTGAAACAGAGGTGGCTGTGTATTGAGAAGAAAGGAAAGAAGCCTCCAAGATCTCTCAAGGAAAAATCAGGAGGCATCAGAGAAACATCCCATAAAGTAAGCTACTTTGTAGTATTGGGTTTGATTTCTCCAGGTCAGTCTTTGTGTTGAACGTCCAAGTGGTGTTCTCTAAAGTAAATGTCCCTTATCATCTCTGAATTCCCAGTCATGAGACATGGAAATATCAAGGCCCACAAGCTCGAACCCTCTAGACAACATTGGGTACCTCGAACTAACTTCTAAAAAAATCCATCTATTTAGGAGTGCCCAGACTCAGGCTGAGAAAGGAGAGGGTGGGAATGATTCCAGAGGCACCTGGGGACCTCTGTGGTCTGCACTAAGTGGTTTCCATTCTATAAAAATTAGTAACAGACAAAGTCACAGCCAGACACTCTGACCTTGGGAACCATTGGAACCACTGGAGAAATAACTTTACAAAACTACAAGCCAACAAAGCCTCACATACAAGAAGGGACCAAAGAGACTCACTTCCTGGGAACCCCAATGAACATCAAGACCTGCAATTTTCAATCAGAGTACATTGGTTTGGCTTATTTACCCACCCACACAACGAGGGGAAGGGATTATCTTTTTAATCACAGAGGACGCATAAGGATGAAGATAAGGTAAAAAAATTGCCCAACAGGTTTCATGTGCTATGATGAAATGTCAATACTCAGCTGTGCAAGGCTCAAAGCTACAAGACGGCCCGTTACAACTAAGGCACCTGGGTTTAGGGACAAAAGGGGAAAGTGAGGCAGAGACACAGCCACTGTCACAAGAAACTACAATCAAGACTAGGCCAGTGGGGGTGAGACCAGCTCCGACTCTTAGCTGAGGATCTGCAGAGAGCCAAATGATGCAGCACTCTCCCTTAGAATTTTCATTGTTTTCTCTTATATACTGTTTTACTGAGGTAACATATAGAGCAGACATGGATGCCTTAGGTGCTCTGTTCCACAAGCTGGAACAACTCTAGATACCAGGAAGACATCCTGTATTTTCAATTTTCATCAACCCCCAAAGTCCTTTGTGCTCCTCAGTGGTCACCCCCATGTGCATGATGCCCATTATTCTGATTTCTATTGTTGCCTTTACATATACTCCCTACAGTTTATGCTAAATGCATCCTGGACAGCTAGCTTCTGTGCTATTACTACTACAGTTTATCTACTAGTACATGGGTTATGTCAGCCCCCCCCCACCCTCACAAGTGCTCTAATCACCACTACCTAGTCATACAGAGAAGGCAGTGAGTGGTTCTCAACATGGTGGGCAGGGCCCCTGGGAGAGCATTCCAGAAACTATGCTGAAGAGAAACACAGGGAACGAGTGAAGTCCTGAGTGAGTGTACGGGGTCGACAGTGGCACAGCTAGGTCAAGGATCCCAATGTCTTAGATCCACAGGAAAACAAAGCCTACCTCAGGCTAAGAAAATAGCAAAGTCTTCCCTCCTGTGTCCAAGTGTGAATGTTGACAATGTGTGTGGAAAATATCCATCATAGATTTCTCCCCTCTGGATGTTTACAGCATGAAGACCGCTCCCCCTTTAGAGACTGATCCTACTAAGACCAGTGGAACATGCTTATATTAACCTTTCCTCCTTGTTTATCCATATACAATAAACCCTTCCTCCATGTCCAGCTGTATACAATCACTCCACCTCTCGGTTCAACTATATATAAACACTCTGAGCGTCCGAAGGAATGGGGCTTCTCCATCATCAGAGAGCTCAGCCCATCCAATCCCAGCTTTTCCGTATGTATGTCTATCCTTTCCTCATTCCCCACCCAGTCAGGTCAAGTCCCTGGAGACATGCAGGATGTGGCAGGGGACACTTTGGGTGACTATCTAGAATCTGGACCAGTTCAAGGCAGTCCAGTTCATGAAGACTTGATCCCTGTCCTTCATGACCACCAGGCCATCCCCAGACACAGCAACAGAAAATGTATCTGGTGTTTTGAGCTTAACCCCGACTCCATCCCACATCTATAGAAAATGCAGAGTAGGAACAATTTCCATACACACTGAAAGGCTTAGGAATGCTTGTAACTGCTGTAATAACTAAGACGACTCACCTCTTACTACACTGAGACCTTGACCAAGAGTCAAGAACCTGTTAAAGGTATTCATGTGGCCACCAGCTCACCTGTTCCCCTGAAGACTTGAGTTTACCCCCACACTATTCTGTGGTCAACATATATAAAGTGCTGCCTAGCTTTATGCTAATGTTGTGGATTATTATTTTAAGATGCGTTATGTTTGTTTATGCTGTGGAACATTTGTTTTAATGCTGCAAAGATGTGTTGCATTCTTTTATGTTGCATTTGTTTAACTCTGTGAAGCTGTGCTACTTTGCCTATCTAAAACACCTGATTGGTCTAAGAAAGAGCTGAACGGCCAATAGCAAGGCAAGAGAAAGGATAGGCAAGGCTGGTAGGCAGAGAGAATAAACAGGAGGAGAAATTTGGGAGGAGATCAAGGAGTGAGAGGAGGAGGACTCCAGTGGTCAGTCATGCAGCTACACAGCAAGCCCTGAGTAAAGAAAGGTATATAGGATAAAGATAAAAGCCCAGAGGCAAAGGCAGCTGGGATAGTTTAAGTTAAGAAAAGCTAGCTAGAAATAAGCCAAGCTAAGGCTGTGCATTTATAAGTGATAATAAGTCTCCCTGTGTATTTATTTGGGAGCTGGTGGGTCCCCAAAGAGTCAAAAGAGTACAAACTACCAACTACACCCCAAGCATAGGCAGCCTGAAATACATAAGTTTAAAACGAACTGCTTTTTTTTTCTTTCTTTCCATTTAGACATTATATTACTGTTTTTAAAAATTGTGGTCCACTAAATTGTATTTTATCATCTTGGAGTTGCAAACAGATTATTTAAAAATATTTGCACACAGAAGTGTCGGATAGCTGGTGAGGTAAGAAGCCCTGACTGAAAGTGGCAGCCCCTCACTTTTCACTGCACCCCCACTAGGAGTCATTGCTGGACTTTCAGGTGACCTGAGCTGAGGTGGCCCGATGTGCAGAGCTGGGTTCTCCAGACCCTTTTTGTTAGCTCAGCGCCAAGCTGCACTACAGTTACCAACCTGCACTTGTAGAACGGGGAACTTCAGGAGGCTTAAGCCTTGCTCTTCCTAGCCCTTTAATGAAAACCAGATGAAGGATTCAACCCCACTTTACACCAAGAATCCTTTTTTTCCCCCAAATACTTCACATTTATCTTGAAGACACTGACAGCTGCGGCTTCCCTGGTCATTTGAACCATTTCTAGTCAGTGTGGACTCCATGTTTGCTTCCCTCTCATTCTATTTTAATTAACGACATCGTATAAATCCTTTCCCAAACAGATGAGATAGAAAAATGTCTCAATTGGACACACACAAGGAGGAGACAGCTCAGAATCCAAAGGTAGTGACCAGGGACTTGGAAAATTTTCAGGGACTTTCAACACCTGGTGACAGGTCTCTTTGGCAGGGCCCCTCTGCCCACTCTCCGGTACTAGGTGTGGCTAGGAATCTGCTGGCACTTGCGGAGGCCAGAGCAGGCAAGGAGAGGGGGGTGAAGTTGCCAACGCTGCAGATCCTTCTCCTGTACCCCTAACCACTTCACAACCACACAGAGAGAGAAACGCCAGCCAAGCGCCAGCTTTTAATGACACCTGGGTAGCACTGTGGGGCAGGTAATGGCCAATGAGTCAGGGCTCCTGACAACTTCTCTCCTTTGAAGTGGCAAGTTCATTATAGACCCATCCTACAGCACAAGACTCTGAGGACCTATGCTCTTCCCTACGCCATACCCTCTGCCACGGCTGTCTCACTGCCATGGTCCAGCTTTAGCCAGCTTGTTAACAAGAAGTTCCCTCTATGGAATCTCTGTGCAGGCGAACAGACACTCCCTGTTCACACCTCCCATCTGCAGGTTCCCAATCTACCCTGGTTCTCTTGCTTGGCTGGCTCATGAGTCTATCTGAGCACCCCTGCTATTCCTTAGAGCACCACTGAGCTGTGTGTTCGACCACTGTCTCCACACCCCCTCTATTGGCAATGCTCGCTGTGTCCTACAGGCTACCCAGACCCACACTCTTTGCAAAGTGGCAAATTTCAAAGTACTATCTTGGGGGGGGGGGGAGCCTTCCAATATTTGCTAACTTGCCAAGAGGGCCCACGTATGTGAGAAGACAGGGATTTTTCATTTATCTCCATCCCTTTCCCTAGTACTTCCCCCCAGTGCCTGGCACAGTAGTAGCATTCAATAGATACCTGTTTGATAAATGAGTAAAGCTAATAGTAAGCAGTGTCTCGCCAGGGTAGAGGATTTGCCAGAAGAGCTTATGTGCCTCGGGAGCATAAAGAGTACTTTCACGCCTCATTACAACATGGGGGTTCAGCAGAGTCTGTGAGAAAGGGGAAGTTTGGTCCTTCCTCGCCAAAGCTGTATGAGAATTGAGAGCAAATGTCCTTTATTGAACTGCACACTGGCCACCCAACAGTGAGCCTCTACTGGCAAGTACTTACTGGGCACCAGAATGGCTGTCAGCCCAGACTGAAAATAAGTCAGACCCCATCTCCATGGACATCATGTTTCCACCTAGCTCAGGAGTTAGTTTAGGATGTGGAGGTGTAATATTAAATAAAATATAACGTGCAGGATGTTAAGAATTTAGAAGGGCTCAAAGAAGAGAAAGATACCAGCAGCTGCTTGGAAAGTGGGAGGAGAGGTGGGATTTGTCCCCAGCACCAGGCTGACTCCCCGTAGCTCACAGCCGTGGGGTTCCATGCGGTATATCTACCTCCGGAGGATTGGCATTAAGCCAGGGTGACTCAGGCACCAGTTCCAATGACAGATGGACTTCAGCTCCTTTTTATCGTGGCTGGAGTAGCCCAATTGATTAGATTCTGTTGTCTCAGGTCCTAGGATGTCCCTCAGAGCCCCAATTATGGGATGTCTCCATCTGGTGAACATCCCCAACAGTGCAAAGAGCGAGCCCTGGTAGGAAGGGGAGTCTCCCTGCCTCCCCTGACAGTCTTTCTCACTTCCCTCCCTCCCCAAAACTTTAGACGCAGGGGGTGTGAAGCCCAGAGGGTGCCAGTCCTCAAACAAAACAGCCTCCATCTAAGCTGCCATAAAACAAAGTGATCCTGGCATCTCACCCACAGAACTGCTGCGAGGATAAAGGGCAGTAAGAATAAGGGGCCCTATAAACTGGCAGACTCTGGGCATGTTTGTAAACAGTGTGTCTACATTCCCCAGGATCAACCTGTCTGGTGAGAGGATTCATCCCACCAGATGGATTAAGGAATTCACCTCTTGCCTTGTTAAAAATCTCTCTCCCGAGCCCTAACTTATAAGGGGGTTTGTTTAGTTAGTTACAAGTTAATTACACTTGGCCAGATCTCAAGGCCTGGGAGCAGTTTACACAGGGAGACTCATGTACCTAGAACAAACCTGAAGAAAGCTGGGCGAGTTCCCCCAAATTATTTAAATGACCTTTAGTCTTGCATGTGTGCCCACAACAGAGAGAGAGAGAGAGAGAGAGAGAGAGAGAGAGAGAGAGAGAGAGAGAGAGAGAGAGAGAGAGAGAGACTGCCATCACCTTTCTCCTTCATCACAGAGAACGCAGACACGCTGGCTACTGAGTAACTTAAGAAGGACATTTACCAGGGTCAAGGCAGCAGCATGGCCTGGCCACCCCATCTCCCCAACTCTCCAGTTTTCTCCTACCTGGGCTTGCCCGGGTGCCCCAGTGGGGGTGCGCAGAGATCTAGCAGCTCCGAGCCAAACCCGCCCAGACCGGGAGCCACCGGAGCCCTGGGAGCCGCGCGAGGGGTGCTCCGGTGCCGGCACTCAAGGGTCACATTCCTGCCGCTCGCGGGGCAGGCGAGCCCCTCTCGGTCAGCGCCGCGCGCTCCCAGGCGGTTCCCGGCGAGGGGAACGAGCTGTGTCCGCCCGAGGGAGCAGCACGCTGTTCCCACTCCCAGCCCGGCCCGCGGGGGCGTGCAGCGGGCGGAGACTGCCGGCCCTATTAAGCCGCGGGCGCGAGCCAGCTGGCCTGGTGCCCACGCCCCGCCCTGGGAGCCGGAGAGGTTGGACAGTCGTGTCCCTGCCAGGCATCTCAAAGTCTGGACACCCCAGCCAGGCGTCCCAGAATCTCTGCATCCCCTTCACCCCCGCATGCCCACCCCCGGGTATTCCATCCCGGGGTCTCTGCATCCCTGCAAAGCATTTCAGGGTCTTTGTATTCCTGACCGGCATCCTAGCGTCCTTGCATCCCTGCCAGGTGTCCCGAGTCCGGGGAAGAATGGCTGGGGAACCCAAACCGCTTGGCTCCTCTGAGCAGCCTCGGTGTTCCCACCAAAATTAGCTGGAACAACTCACCTCTACACAGCAACCAACCTGGGCCACCTAAATGAGATCTGAGCTAGTGACCCTCCAGGTATCAGATCCCGAGGCCAACAGGTCTGTGCCCAGCGCAACTTCTGGAGCCTGGCGCTAGATGCCTCCAACTGGCTTTGGGAATTTGTCACTAGGTTTGTGATACCACGATTTCCTCTTTGGTTGTAAAGGCGCGCAGCAGCATCTTGTGGCGGGGTAGAGACTAAATGAGCCCTGGCCCAGATGAAACACTGCATAGGCTTTATACTTTGCTGCATTACTGCTCTATGCCAGGCTGAACAACCCTTTCCCTTGTCCTATCAGAACCCAGTTAATTCTAGGACTTAACTATGCAAAGGAAAATTCATGCTCAGGGGAAAAAAAATCAAGAATAGCCAAGGTTATAGGGCTGGGTGCTTCTTTCCCGGTCATATGGCGATCCTGCAATACCACTGCAAATAAACAATGACTGCTTGCTCCTTCTAGAGCACATGGCCATTTCCTGCAGGTCATGGATTCCCTGCCATAGTCCCATAAGCACCTTCGGAAATTCAAGGTTGAAGTCACCTGGGGGCAATTCTGAACTAGAAGAAAACAAAGGAATGACCGTCCACGGCAGCTTGTCGTAGATGTTGCCTGGGGTCTAGCAGGGCAGAGGTTTCTCACTTATCTGTTTCTGGAGGTTTGAACTGCTCCTTTTTCTCAGAGAAGCAGTTTTAAGTCTGGCAGTGACGTGGTACTATGCAAATTCATTAACTGTCCCCTAGGTCAGTGGTCCACAGAGGTGGTTCTCACAGCCTTGACTACAATCATAACAAGATCTGACCCCTCTCGGGACCAGAAATGTCATGTTGTAATTACTGAGGGCTACCCGGTATCTGTATTTTTTACAACTTCCCTGTGACTCCCCTGCTCAGCTCGCATCATGATGCAGGCAGACCAAGTCTTCCACCTCATGGCTGTTTCAACAGAGGTGTACTGCAGTAGTTTCTTTTTTAAAACTACATATTAACTATGCAGAGTAATTATAGGCTAAATGTAACAACTCACGCATACATAAGAGTTTAATCATACCCACCCTGATATCTTATAGTCTCTCTTCTATGGCCATGTTCTTTATTTCTCTTTAATATCTCATTTATAACAGGAAACATGATATTTATCTTTTTTTTAAGTCTAGTTTGTATTGCTTAACACTATTATCAACAATTCTATGCACTTTCCTAAAAAGATCTGATTTAATCCTGGCTACATTTAATTCTTTATATCTGAATAACATTTAGTTTTATGTATATGTGCTTTCTTTACCCATTTATTTATTGAAAGGCTCCCGGGCTGATTCACGATTCTATTGCGGTGAATAGCTCAGCCTCAAAGATGGGTATGCCAGTGTGTGCATGCTGACTTACACTCTGTAAGGGACATAACCAGAAGGGTTGAGGATGATCACATGACAGTCCTTTAATAAGTGGTGGTTTAATGAATGCTAAACAGGTGGATCAAACTGGAAATTGTTGACCCAAGCTGTCACTTGGTGGCAGAGCACTTGCCTAGCACGTGCCAGGCCCTGGGTTTTATCCTGACTGTCACAAACAAAATAAACTAATATATGAATCATTGATATGGAAGCTTTGTGTTGGTAAACATAAACTTGCCTGGGCATTTATGTACTGAAAGATCCCAAAGCAATTTACAAGTAGCAAAATTGATTTGTGCAATGATGTAGAGATAAAATTTGTAATTTATTTGCACTTGAGCCTCACTATGTTGTCTAGGGTGACCTTAAAGTCCTGAGTGGACTTGAAGTCACATGATCTACCTACATGATCCAAGTAGCAGGTCATGCACCATAGGATTTCTTCTTTTTACATATGGACCCATTACCCCTACATGTCCTGGAGACACACAGGCATCTACATGCAGGCAGGGCTCTAGAATGTGCATTCCAAGTGACAGGATTTACAGATCCCCCTCCTCACCTTATGACCTGGAAGGTTTTACCCAGGACCTTGGTGCCGCCTCCTCCCTCAGACATGTTGGGAGTCAGTCTCCCTCTGACTCCCTTTCCTTCAGCTCCCTTTCTCCAGACAACTTATGTGTGGCCGCTTTACTCAGCTCCTCAACTGGAATCTGGGTAAGCACAGACAGCCACCTCCATGTCACTCCGCTCAGTTCTCGGCACCACACAAATGTTCTGAGCATGTTCACACGTTTCCACATAAGACACACCACTAACTCTGCTGTTGTACACTGTTGACAGGCCTAGGCTCCGTCAGTGTCATAACGGAGTCTGGTGTCCGTCCTGGCCTGAGCCAAAGAGTGCATTCTATTACACTGCCGTGCTCACCAAAACATCCAGGAGTCTCCAGACCTTCCTAAGGGACCAGGAATAAAGAGCCAAAAAAGGGAAAGAAAAAAAAGTTATACAAAATGATGCTGGAAGGAAATTATGGGCTTGGCTACAGTTTGTAAAACCACAGGATGACTTGTGGGTCGAAAACCCTCGCTGGAGATCAAGCAACCTTCAATTCAATCTCCTTCACCTTCACTACCCCCAGTGACTTCCAGTTAGAACAAGACGAGGGGAAGAATCATGAAGAGTGTGTTGTTACTGGCAAGGATCCTGGGTCTTGACTCAGTAAACACGAAACAGCTCTGAAGCAGTAATTTTTTTTTCCCTGTCGCCAGAAAGAATGAGAATGCATAAGAAACATCTAGAGAAACGCATTTATGCATTTAGAGACAATTGTGTTTTGACAGGCAGGGCCTCTGTGACTCTTAACTCGCTACACCTATTTTTGCTATTTGTGGAACTTCCAGGAACCTCTCACAGAACCACAGCACAGACTTGAAACCACTGTCCCAGATGGACTTCCTTGTACAGCCGAGTTTTTCTGCTCCCGTCACACATTTTCCATCTACCGACATCCAAACAGGCACTTGTAAACCTCTGTCTTGTCACTGAAACATCTCAGTTTTAAGCAGTTCAGTGTTTTCCCCCAATTCATTTCTCTAAGCAGTTTTTCACGGGCTTCTGAGATTGTCTTTCTAGTCAACATACTGTGATTTTATTTTTATTTTTATTTCTTTATTTTTTGCAGTCCTTTATCAAGCAGAAGGCCACAGGATAACTGGGGGTGGAAGGTGATGTAAACGGATAGCCCACATCAGGGCAATGAGCCATTTCTTCTTAACTTCCTTCATAAGGAGAGGGGAAAAGGACAGATGTGACAAGCCAATTATTTGCTTCATTGCAGTTTAATCTTGCTCAATGAAGGCAAATAGCTGACAGAGGCTTTGTGCCTGGATTATGTCACATATTAACAGAGACGCATGGCCTTGTGCTGATGCACCGAACAGAACCAGATTAGTGGAGGGCGCTCTCCTATCTCTGCTTCCCTTCACCCTCTCCTCCCCTCCCCCGTCTCAACATGTGTCCCTTTCAGGATTGCTCAAATCTGAGAAACTCTCAACACCAGCAACTGAAATTTTGTGGACCAGTAGGCTGTTTCCCATGATTCTCCCTGTTGCCCAAGAAACGCCTGTTGAAACTCATGGACTCAGTCATATGCCATACAACAAGAGCATGACCCCCAGATTCTCTTTTATTTCCTTCTTATGTTTTTATATCGTGTGTGGGTATATATGTCCCTGTGTGCATCCATGGGGAGGGATAGTTTCTGTACGTGTGTACGCACGCGTGTTAAGGTCAGAGGACAACCTTGAGCATCATTCCTCAGGCTCTGCCCATCTGTCTTTGCCTCCCCAGTGTGCTCCCCCGTACATGGTATTTCTAACTTGGGTTCTGAAGATTGAATTTGGTCCTTGTGCTTGCAAGACAGACAGACACTGTACTGACTGAGCATCTCCCCAGGCTCTAAACTTACTGTAAAATTGAGATTCCAAATGGCCCTACCATCGTTGTTCTCTGCAAGTGTCTATAAACAGTCGCTAAGTTATGTCTATGTTCCTTTCTGTATAAGCACCTGTCAAGCCCACACGTCCATGTTGGGAGTCTTTCAATCTGTTGGTCTCTTCTAAATATAACTGAAATGTAATTTCTCTATGGGGGGGGGGTCTTCCTTTAATATGATCATTGTAGTCAATTAAAGACAATCAATACTCTTTAACCTTGAGGAGCCACATTGCATTGCTCCCCACCGAGTGTATACACGCTGTTTACTTACCTTCCCTTGAATCTGGGCTGGCTTTAGTGATTTGCTCAACCAATAGAAGGAAGGAGGTGGAAATGACTTCGGAGGCCAATCAAATAAGCTTATTTAACTGGTGTTTAAGAGAAGATATGGCCTGGTATGGTGGCAAACCTCTGCCCCATGGAGGTACCCTCTGTGTTCCTGTGCAGTCTGAGGCAGGAGGATCGGGAGGTCGGCTGAGGCTACGTAATAAGTTGCTCATCAGCCTTCTTGCTTGTTGTTGGTTTAAATTTTATTTATGTATGTGAGTTTTTTTTGAGGTATGAGTGCTCTGTCTGCATATATGCCTGCATGCCAGAAAAGGGCACCAGATTCCATTTTAGATGGTTGTGACCCACCGCGTGGTTGCTGGGAATTGAACTCAGGATCCCTGGAAGAGAAGAGCAGCCAGGACCCTT